AACCGGTCCCTCCAGGGGTGAACGTGGGGGGCGGGCCGCCTCGCGTGGAGGAACGCTGCACTCCGGATGAGGAGGCGCCCTCTCCCATGCGGGCAACACGGCGCTCGTCCCTGCGTCGCTCGATGTTGATCCGAGCGTCCTGCTCCTCATAGAGGCCGTCATGATGCCTCCAGCTTCCCGAGGCCCTCGACGACATTGGGGCCGTCGACCGCCTAGAAGTCATGGCTGACCGACGGGCCCTCCTCCTTGCTGACAACGAAAGGGTGGGGGTGTATGTGACGTACCAGTGGCGGCGGGCCGGCCACCCGCAGCCAGCTACCGCTGGGCAGTGGTGACCAGGTTGGCCACGTCGTCCAACCATCACTGGACGGGGGTTTCCGGCTCCGAGTTTACAGGGGGATGCCGTAGAAGGGCTCCCGCCGCCTGAAGTGCGCCTCGGGGCGAGCCGCCGTCGTCGTATGTCAGGCGGCGTCGTGCCCCGACACGGCGTGGCTTCCCCCCCGCCCGGCGGCGGGGAGAGGCCCGAGCCACCCGATAGGGTGGGATCTTCCCTCCGTGAGGGATCACGGCGGGGAGGAGTCGGAGAATTGCGGCGACGGTGGCGGGTGCCGCGGCTCCCGCTAGCGTCCTCACTCCCGGAGGGAGTAGGGGTGTGCGCCACCACTTCTTCCTCCAAGACCTCGACCATGATCGTTGAGGACGGAGGGAGACTTGTGGCGGAAGGAAACGACTTCTCTTTCAAGCGCGTGAATTCCCCCTACCTGGCGCCAGCTGTCGAGGAGTGACCATCTCTAGCGGGTGATCGAGAGATCCCCCTTTTGTGAGTTCGGCCGGGGGAAAGGGCGTGCTGACCGAAACCGTGTATCCGCCTGGAGTTCTTCGAGACCGTGCGCGAGAGCGGAGATTATACAGGTTCGGGCCGCTATAGAGCGTAACACCCTACTCCTGTGCATGGGATTTAAGGTTGAGTGTTACAAAGGTTCCTAAACTCTAGGGAGCACTCTCGCTCTTTTTTCTCCTGGGGTTTAGGTTAACTGAGAGTCGTCCCTTGTTTCGGTGGGCAAGGTCCTCCTTTTATAGTTCAAGGGGATACCACATGCGCCGCCTCTACCTACTCCTCCACGGGAGGGGGACCCACTCCGCTTCAATCCGACTACCGCTCGTGCCTTCGCTAGGAAGCTAAGCAGCCGTCCGTCGTCAAGTGGGGCCCAGCGCCGCCCCCCGCCTGACACGGTGGACACCCCTGTCATTCCCATTTAAATGATCGGAGACTTTCGGCGATCCATCTCACGTGGAGGCGTTCCAGGCGATGCCTTGATGGGACGGGGCATACCTGCCCCCACTCCGCCGAGCACAAGGCGGGACGTGGGGGCACTGCCGCCCGTCCAATCGGATGTGACCGACGACAGGCCGGTGACAGTCCGGTCACGCCCGATTGACGTGAGTCAATCGGGCAGCGCCGCACATCCGCCCTCACCGCATTAAATCCAGCGAGGGACGGTTGGGGCGTTGCGCATTGATGGCGGTTCAGCCTGGGTCTCCACCCCACTCGCTCCTCCCGCCACGTGGCGGTCGGGCAAGGGCCTCGGGGCGAGGCAGTGCAAGGGCCCGAGGGGTGTGACGTGGCACCCCGAGTCCCCCCTGGCTGCCTCTGCGTCGTCCAAAGTGTAGGGGGAAAGCCAGGCTGTAGGGCCGCGTGGCTGGACGGGAAGGAGACTTCCCAATACTCCGCATGCCCCCGGGCCCATATCACCGACACACGTTTTCCACAATATATCACTGGAGTACATAATTATAACAATATTTTCGAAACTACGTCTTCCGAAATACAGTCTATTTAACCAAAAATTATAAAATATATATCCTCACATACCTATAAAAAGAAAAATAACCAACATTATGTAAATTACTTAAAGGAGAAGAAAACCTACGCTTCGTAAATAGAGAAGGCTACGTTTTATTGCTCGACTATGGAGCAAAAGTAATACTATATGACTCCCACTATATAGAAAGCACATCTATAATTCCAATCTATTGCTAACCGAATCAGATTATGTACGGACGAAAACATGGACGACAATTAGATGTGACGAACCGAAAAAATACGAATATTTATATTAGTTATAGATATAGATATATATTTGTTAACGACTAAATTTGGTAATCCAAGGATCGGAGATGAAGAAGAAATCGAGATGGAATTCGAGATGGAAATCGTCCCGGAAACAGAGTGAGGATCGGCTGAAGTCCGAATCGGCTGCGACTAGGGTCGGCAGAGATCGAGTTGGACAGGGTTAGCCGATTGAGCCGAATCCGACAATATGACACAGTGTATGTTGTCGGTTTAGGTTGACGTGCTTCATGATGATTGCCACGCATGGATAGAGTCCTGAGAAGGCAATTGTATCTATTAATTAGGATATTTTATATAATTTCCTTAGAGATATGTTTGGGCAAAAGTCTATCGCAAAGACTTATCGTATCTTAGAGTTTGTTAGAGATAAGAGTCGTGTCCGATATGGACATATCTTGTAATTCTCGGGTATAAATAGACCCGAGCCCCATGTAATCAAATTAACACACGTTCAATACAATCTCGGCGCATCGCCACCCTTTTTACTTTCATTTTGTTTCGACGAGTTCTTGCTTTCGGGTTGAGCTGCATCGATTTCGATCTTCAACAAGAGATAAAACTTGTTATGGCGGCTTGCGTTCTCGGGATTAGTGCTTCCATCTTTATGATACTCTAATCTTGTTTATGTAATTCGTCGAGTTATCATATATCTTACATAATCTCCGACAATATCATTATCTAACCTACAATCGACTAACATCTGTCAGTAAAGGGCAGCCGATTAGGTTAAATACCGACGTTGACTTAGATTATATAAGATATCCACCACTCTATGACACATCCAACGGCTTGATTGTCTAGATATTGTCCTTCTTTTCATACTTATAGTTGCATCAGTTGAGTTTGATCTTATGAGTCGTGATTAGAACTTCAATCTTTAGCCTGTCTTCGGTTGCCGATTAGGGTAGTATCAAGGTTTCTGCCGATCTTACCTAATTTAAAATTACATTTTATGTGCTTAATTGTTATGCTAGATCTGCCCTTTATATTAAGATTTCGTAGCATTTAAGTATATTAGGCTTTCGTTGGTATATTTTACTTGCTTTTATATCTTAATATAGAGTGGTATCGGAGTATTAGCCGATACATGATAGATCTATCTGATCGGCTATGCTATGAACACATATAGTTTCGTTATTAATATATATTTCGATCTAAGTGATTTATACTCTCGGCATGGCGACCGATCTATCCCAATCACTTGATTTAAGTATATATCGATATAAGGACTATATACCATTAAGATCTACAGCCGATCGAGTAGATTTAGTTTTTTCTTACTTATTAATGACTGTCGATCGATGCATATATGACATCGGCTCAAAGATAAAAGATATGTCATTGACATCTAGCCGATCGGCTATCGTTTATGGATTTAACCACGGTTTCTTTGTCTTTGTTTCTTGTTGATTGCATGATCAAATCAACTGGCAAGCTAGCATACCCAAAGGCAAGTTTTGGACCTGCACTGGAGTTAAGCAGATCTCCCAGGCCTCGTGTTTTTACATCAACAATATTTCCTTGAACGGTAATGAATCAACATGTTTCATTCCTAACTAAAGATAAACGGAAAGAAATCTATATCTATACTAATATAAAAACGAGGAGTTGCCCCCCTCCAATGCTACAGGCCAATCATCTGGGTTAATCTGGACCGTCCATCCACGCGCAAGTTTTCTCCACTGCACGATTTCACAGCCGAGGATTTCACGCGCGAAGACATCGCTCCTCCTCCACCCGCAGCCGCGGAGACCGCGCGCTTCTCTTCCTCGCTTACTCCTCCCCGCGTCCTCGGAAGAGCGACTCCTCACTGCCGCCGCTCCTCCGCGTCCTCGCCGGAGCCGCCGCTATACACTTCCCGTTGCAACGCACGGGCACTTTTGCTAGTAAACATAATATATAGAAAGTCATATTTTTAAGAGAAAGTTTATATTTTTTACATTAACTTTTTATAGAGAAAGTTTCCGGAAAATATTCACTTTCTAAAGCCCCGTGGCTCCTGCCGCTCCCACCGCTCCGCCGGGCTCCCGTGGTCTCGCCACCCCGTCGTTCCTGCCGCTCGCGCCATCTCGTCGGATGGGAGGTGGTTCATGGAGTTGACGGCGCTGTAGCTGACGGGGGCCGACCGGATGGGGTTCATCTCGGAGGTGTTCGCCGTGCTCGCCGACATGGACTACAGTGTCGTGGAGGGCCGCGCGTGGACGCACTGCGGCTGCCTCGGCTGTCTCTTCTTCCTCCGCGACGAGGAGACAGACACCGAGAGGATGGCACGCATCGAGGCCGCCTCGGACACCTCCTCCGCGGCGGCTCCAGTAGCACCGACGGCGGCGCCGTGGCCGCCCTCCCCGCCGCCGCCGCGCACGCCGAGTGCCGCCTCTACTAGCTCATGTCGGCCGACCGTTGCGCCCGCCGTGCCGCTGCCACCGGGCTCACAGACCTCTCTCCATCTCTCTTGCTGTGAGGATAAAAAGGAAGGAGAAAAGTAACTGACATGTGGGCCCAATAATTTATTTTCATTATTTTACTCACTGACATGTGGGTCCCATTTACATTTGTTTTTATTTTAGTGCCACATAAGCGCCACGCCAATGCTATATAGGAAGTCAACCTGCCACGTAACTGCCACATAGGACAAAACCGCCTCCGAAACCACCGAGGGAGGTGATTTGCTCTGGTTTTCAGAGAAGGAGGCGTTATACCCAGTTTTCCGATTGAGGAATGTTATTCACACAAGCGCAGGAGATGAGGGAGGTCAAATGAACTTATTCCCTTTAAATCTGATGAAACAACTCCCGGCCCAACTCAGCCCAATAAGCTAAATCGCTCCGCTTCTCATCCTCGGCCGATATATATATTGGCGGCCCCACAAAAAGAGGGCAGAAACAGCCCGTCCGTCTCAAACCCTAACTCTGCAAGACGCGCGTCCGCCGCCGCAACTAGCAATGCCCAAGCGGCGTCGCGGGGTTCGCCCCCCTCCTCCCGATCCTTCCCCGGCTCCGGCGACAATCGACTATAGCCTTACTTATAAGGAGATAGCCGCCAGTGGGGCTCCAGGTGAGCCCGTCCCGTCGATATATCTATCTATTTGTCATCCGCTCTCGATCTCTCAATTTCACACGCCTTTAGGTAGGAGCGATGACAATGGAACTTGAAACCCTACACTACACCAGATGCACACACATACATACATACATACATGCCGTGGGGGAACACACTGTGACTGTAGATCTTGGCGAGGCGAATTGATTTCATTTCCACCTTACAAGTGTTAGGGTTCGTGGATTCGATTTGGGGGTGCAGGGTGGTGTGTGCACATGTGTGGGTTAGAATATTGTTATGTTTGTGGTGGTTTTCGCGGATCTGGACTGGAGAAGGGGAGGGCCTTTATTTCGATTTTGCTATATCTCACTCGAAAGATTTTTTTTGTTATCTCTCACACGATTCTCACTCAAATTTACAGGGTATTTTCTTGTAAGTTACAGTGTAATTTATGAAATTTACATTGTAACTTTTGTAAGTTACAGTGTAATTTTTGAATCTTTGTATGTAAGTTTTGAAATTTATATTGGATTTGGTTTTTTTTTAAGATATGGCAATTTAGTGTCCATTATGGTGTTTTTAGTTGCTTTTTACCTTTTACTGTGTCTATTCTGTGTGATATGATCATAAAAATCTTTCGAAAGATGCATATTTACTCCCCCGTACTTTTCCCTTGGTAATCCAGTTTGCTTACTCAATTTTGCTCCACTTCTGTGTCGTTCACAGTGTCTATTCTGTGTGATATGATCATAAAAATCTTCGAAAGATGCATATTTACTCCCTCGTACTTTTCCCTTGGTAATCCAGCTTGCTTACTCAATTTTGCTCCACTTCTGTGTCGTTCACAGGTGCTGTGGACTTTGTGAAGAATCATGGCTTGTACTTGCTGCTGCTTGAGACACCCTCTGGCTTCTCAATTTTCTCTCTTTGTGGGGTCTACATCCACTTACCAGATGCGATACAAGTAGGAGTACTTCTATCTTCCTTCTTTCCTTTTTGGTTAAATAATATAATATATGTGCTAGCTTACTCCTGTCGTTGTGTTCCTTTATATTATCCAGAATATTTGGGCGATGTTCGGTACTTACAGGTCTTCACATGACGTGAGTGGCCCTTCTTTCGTTTCCTTCCCATTGTTTTGTTGCCAAATCAATTAGTAGCAATGTTGCATCATTTGTGATTGATGCATTCTTTTTCTTTTTTCTGTTTGTGTCGAGGGAGCGTAAACACAATCTTCTGGTTTATTATCATGCTCAAAAACATTTCCAAACTCCCCCCCCCCCCAAATTTCTCCATGTAAATCATATGCCCTAAAATTGCTTACCTGCTACTCTCTCTGTTTCATATTGTAAGTCGTTTTGACTTTTTTTCCTAGTTAATATTTTAAGTTTGACCAAGTTTTTAGACATATAATAACATTTTCAACACAAAACAAACATATTATAAAAATATATTCAACGATACATTTAATGGAACTAATTTAGTGTAGTAGATATTGCTATTTTTTCTTATAAACTTGGTCAAACGTAAAAAAGTTTGATTTAAAATAAAGTCAAAATGACTTGTAATATGAGACGGAGTGAGTAATTGCTAGTAGCTTGGAATGATTGAGAAAGTCACTGTATTCGAGCGAGTGAGGCAACACAACATGAGATGGATAACACGTGATTAAGGGAGAATATCACAAGGAAATTGGCAAGATAAAAGGAAAAGATGATAAAAAGGCCCACTAGGCATCAACATCAGCTTAACAACCATTCTGTGTTTTATTTTCAAATACACGTTGTCACCTTAGCATATGAAACTTTTCTGAATTACACTGTAAAGATGTGATAAACAAGGGCTTGAATGAGGGTATTTTAGATGTACCTGCTGAACTGAGACTGATTGAGACATTTCATGATAATTGGTTAATTATTTCTTTCTGCCTCTCAACGTGCTCATCTTTGTCTTTCTTTACCAGGTTATCTGGCTGAAGGAATTTCAGAAATTTGATGACAAGTCTAGCGCCATTAATGTTGATACTGGTGTTAACAAACAGCTTACTGAGATGATCATGAAGTGGCGTCGCCCTAGGCAGAAATTGGTTGTTGGAAAGCCGGAGTATAAATCAATCATTGAAAATACCTTAGTGAGTAAATATAAGACCCTCTTTTAGATGGGACGAAAACTTTCAAGTCCCTATCACATCAGATGTTTGGATACTAATTATAAATATTAAACGTAGACTATTAATAAAATCCATCCGTAATCTTGGACTAATTCGCCAGACGAATCTATTGAGTCTAATTAATCCATGATTAGCCTATGTGATGCTACAGTAATCATTCTCTAATTATAGATTAATTAGTCTTAAAAAATTTGTCTCGCAAATTAGCTTTTATTTATGTAATTAGTTTTGTAAGTAGTCTATATTTAATACTCTAAATTAGTGTCTAAATACAGAGACTAAAGTTAAATCCCTGGATCCAAACACCACCTAAGCTCCTTGTTTGCCTATATATGCGAACAACTTTGAGCTTCATTTCTTATTGTTTCTTTTTTCAGGGAATACCCTGCCTGTGTGATGAAGTTGTGATGGACGTAATGTGGGCCATGAAGCGTCTCATTCGCTATTTTGTGCCCACTGAAACACCCGAGCTGGCTGAAGAGGACAGCCTCACTATGAGTCAAGGACTACGGATGTTTTTAAGTCGTTATGGCTTTGAAATCAAACCAGAGATGGTGAGTTTACATGCTCTGATTTATATAGATCCCCTATCATTTAGTTTCTGTTTGGTTGGTAGCCATTGAATGCCACAGCAACAGTGTTTTTGCCACAGCACAGTGATTTCTAAGGCGGGAAAAGGTCCGCCATAGGTCTGTGGCGAGCCGCGCTGTGGCGTGGCAATGTTTGGCTGTGATCCAAACAGAGCCTTAGTGTTACATTTTATAATGGCTTGTGAGCACACTTGGAATCCTTCATTTTTTCTTTTAGTGATGAAGCAACGCTCTTAATTGATTTGTATCCAACAGGTCTACAACGATATTGTTCGTGCTGCATCCATCGTGTTTAGGTGTGATGCTGTTGAGGACCTTTACGAGCACTTGCAACATCTTGGTCGCCACCTCAAGAATGTGTCTGGCATTGACTATGAGAATTGGGGCACTGTGAAACTCGCGACAGCTTTTAAGATCATATGCAGCCGCAAAATTGATAAATCTGATGAGGTAAAGCCATATATACTGACCATGTAAATGTTATACTGACCAGGTAAAGCCTATCTGATGAGGTTTGTGCCTTGTCTCTCTTGCAGATGTTTTCAGACGACGTGCGATCGAAGTTGCTGGATGATGCAGATAAATACAAAGATCTTGTTTTTTCGACAGGTTGCATTGCAAACTATAAAAAAATTTTAGGTCTCAATATACTCAGGAATGATAAAATGGATCAATTGGCTGAGTTGGTTAAGGTAGCTAGGATTAAAGCTGAACACGTGAGGGTGCCTGAGAATGTGCCTGAGAACTAAGATCACTACAAGCTTGCTCAATATCTCGCTGAACCTCTTGCAGGCTAAATAATTTGGTTTGCCAGTTAGGAAGCGTTTGGTATGCATGTGGCTTAATCCAGATTCTTCTGAGTGTCGAGGTTGTGATCTCGGTTGGCTTAAACATTATTGTGCATCTTTTGTAAATCTAGTCTGGTATTTGAGAAGCTAAGGTCCGTGCTATCCAAAACTTTGCATCGTTTAGCTGTCAAACAAATGACCGTGCTCAGTGGTGATTAACGTGCTCTGTGATGAATGACGATCTTGATTTGATTAAGTTTTGCATTACGATCCGTGATGTATTAGCTATTTTAGGAACACTGATATGTGATGCCTAATGTGTTCGATACACGACACAAGAATATAGTTGCCCTGCTCACTCTATTTTAATTTGCCTTGTAGCCACTCTAGTATTATCTCTATCAGATCCAATTCGTGCAAACTCTAACCCAGCCGGGTGGAACTATCTATTAGAGTTGCGATCCTATATTCTCACGATTAAATATAGGCTTGCTTGCCAACAGTGGCTTGGGCAAGGCATCAACAGCGCGCAGTTGGGGTGGCAATTTTCCTGTTGGGACCGGAGGGCCTGTTCACTTTGCTGCCATTTTCAACCTTACCAAATTTTGGTAAAGTTGCTAAAAAAAAGTGGCTACATTTAGTTTGCTACTAAATTTTGGTAACTATATAAGAAATCCTGTCACTTGCCAAAATTTTGGCAACTACACCAAAATTTGGCAATGCCAAAACTTGGTAAGGTTTTTTTTTTTCATCAAAGTGAACAGGCTCGGAGACCCGACAGGGAGGGATAGGGAGAATTTCCACCGGCGGGTGAGTGGGCCTTGGACTGTTGTGAGGGGTAAAAATATTAGTCTATATATAAATTAAATTGAATCAACGCAAAATATATAACTAACTAAAAATGACAATAAAAGTGACAACATTATGAATGTCTAATAAGTAATTTAATAAAATATAAAAGTAATTATCTTTTTCCGTTGTTAGGGAAACCCGTAGTTACCCTTTTTTTTCGAGTGTCTTTTCAACAGAGATTGCTGGAATATCCTACATATAGATTGGGACACCTCTCTTAAACTAGGGTCAATGTTACAAAATTTGTGCTCAAACTACATTCTCACTTTGTGGAAAAAAAAGTGCTATATTCAGCATGGCACATCTGAAAACAGAGAAAATGTACAATCTTTGAAAATAAGCTACCCTGTGGTATAGTCCTGGAGATTGCTCTTGAAGAGTGATCTACATCTTCTCTCATATAGACTTGGAGAGCAAGAGGGATTGGTTCTAGAATCTGGTTGACATCCTTGTATCTTTTCGCTGTTGTACATATGCAGATATATTTTCTTTTCCCTGTTTCTTAGTATATACACTCAAGGGGCATTGCCCATAGTATTTCAGTAAAATAAATATAAAAGTAATTTAGATGTATGATAAAAGTAATTTATATATATAATAAAATAATTTAAAACCTATATTTTTCATTAAAATATAATATATAAAATCTTTATAGATTTAATCATAACAAACACAATGGTATAATCAGATTTCATTGGATAAGTAATTTTAAAAAATATTTAAAAATTAGGTGTTAGAAATATTTTTCTTATTACATAGGAGTACCTTCATACTCCCACGTGAGATTATGGGGAAGGGATACATAATTTTTTTTGGCATTTATTAATATGGTATTTAGTTAGGATTAATTAGTGCACATGCATTGTGTAGCTGTGTCCTATTTTTATCTAGCATCATCATTTGCATATCAATGTGCGCATTATGCCCATGATTAATTGTTGAATCATATGTTTCTATTTCTAGAGAACAAAAACCCCATATTAATATTGGTTCATCTATATCCAATGGATCTTTTCGTGCATTCTTATTTTTCATAGGATTATCACAGCACATCTTTTCCCTAATAGCAATGATCAAGAATCCCATATTCTCAATCTTACTACTTTAATTGTTTGTCATCAATGAGAATTATGTTGTCATTTCTCAAATCATGGTGGTTTGACAAACATTTGAAGGATTCACTACATTTCAATTTTTTTAGCACAGTATTATTTCTTTTCTTCCAATAATTTAATGGCACCAAGTGTTTTAATCATGCACAAAGGAAGAGTGCAATGTGCAATTCATAATCATCTGCAACAGCACTACACAGGTATTTCATTTAGCCGGTTCAGAAATTCTATTAGCAAGTTTTTATGTTCTCAGAATTTTTATCAGTGAAGCAAATGAATACCTGTGTAGTGCTTCACTGATCAAGGTACCACTAGCTGCTTTCCTGCATCTCAATAGGTTAGTATACTTAGATTGAAGTTAACAATTTTAGGAACATTCTCTGTGAACATCTTTATATATATTGTTTATAATTAGATCAGCGCACGCTGCGAACATATTTGACAGTTTTTCCTAGTGTTTTCATTTTATGATTGTGATTGATACCTATCACATATATATATTTAGACAAGAACTCTTGCAGCAACGCGTGGGATATATCATCAAGTAACATCAACATATCCATCCAAAGTAGTAACAAAATGTCATTTCATTTTAAAAAAGAAAAACAAGGAAAAAAAACTAAAAGCATGGACATAATCATAATTGGGCATCAAACTGGTGAAAAAAACACAATTACCCCCAATAAAAAAATTATTATGAACTTATATTCAAATACTAAAGTCAAATGAAACAGAGAGAATGGTACTCTCTCCGTTTCATATTATAAGTCGTTTAACTTTTCTTTTTGCTAGTCAAACTTTGTTGAGTTTAACCAAATTTATAGGAAAATTTAGCAACATCTAAAATATCAAATTAGTTTTATTAAATCTAACATTGAATATATTTTGATAATATATTTATTTCATATTAAAAATATAGTAAAATACACGGCCGGTCCTTAAAGCTGGAGCGTGGTGTCACTTAGGTCCATGATCTTGAAAAATCGACATTAGGGTCCGTGATCTTGTTTAAGTGGATCATTGTGGTCCAAAGCACGTCTGACCAGATTAACTGTCTTACATGGTGGTCTAGCGTGGCAATATATTTGCATTCACACCCCCCCCCACACACCCATGGCACATTTGGCTTCCCCCACGTCCGATCCAACCCGGTCACCGGTGAGAGGCTCAGCACCGTTGACCTCATCCCCAACGTCGTGTTCCGATGGATCATCGAGAGGATGCTCCTCATCAATGAGCCTAGCGTCGCCGGCGCCGTCACGAACACGGCCGTGCCGTTCAGCCCGGCTGCCGCAGGAGCCGCATGCCTCGCCATCACCTTGCTCACCACGTCGCGGAACGCCCCCCCCCCCTCGCCGCGCTCCCCCGGAGCTCTTCGCCTACATCCGCAAGCTTGCGCTGGGGCTGGAGCTCGTTGGCGTGTGGTTCCTCTGGGCGCTGCGCAACGCTGGCGAGCGGCTGCCGGAGGGGTACGAGGCGCGTGTCACCGGGCACAGCGTGGTGGAGACAGGGTGGGTGCCATAGGTGCGCATGCGTCGCCGTCGGCGTGTTCATGCGTGCGCCACGCGAAAAAGTGGTTGGATCGAACACGGGGAAGAAAAGGGGGAATGCAAATATGTTGCCACGCTGGACCGTCACGTAAGACAGTCAACCTGGTCATACGTGCTTTGGACTGCAATGATTCACTAAACAAAATCATGGACTCTAATGTTGATTTCTAAGATCATGAACCTAAGTGAGACCACGCTTCAACTTTAATGACCGGCCGTGCACTTTACTCTTAAAAATATTACTATATTTTTTTTATAAATTTGATCAAACTTAAAGAAATTTGACTAAAAATAGTAGTATTTTGCCTGTATAAGTACTAAGACTGTGTTCGACACCCCTTTTGCCAACCCACCCTCGTTTTCCGCGTACACGCTTTTCAAACTGCTAAACGGTGCGTCTTTTTGCAAAAAGTTTCTATACGAAAGTTACTTAAAAAATCAAATTAATCTATTTTTGAAATAAAAAAATTAACTAATACTTAATTAATCACGTGCTAATGGACCGCGTTGTTTTACAGCCAACAGCTTCCTAATATTTAGCTCCTAAAAATTCTAAATTGGGACTATCAAAATAAAAATTGGGCTCAACAACCACTCCCTCCTCTAAGAGAAACCTAAAAATTAAATCCCAATAATTTGTTGGTTTGCCACATAAGCATGGTGGGACCACTTGGTAGTTGATCGGCCTCTCTCCTCTCCATATACGAACACCCGATCCTCCTCTTCCCCTGCCCGCAGGCGGAGCCACCTCATAGTTCGTCGCGATCGGACTGCTGTTTTTATCTTAATCTGTTGAAAAACGAAACATTGAGAGCATACCGTAGCTATTCGTGTTATCAAGAAGGTAATCCCCTAGCCAATATCACTGATCCGTTGAGCCCTAGCCAAACGACAAGTTGTTGATCATGAACAGCTCTTCTGCCGCAAAAAAACTGATAACTGATAAATGCATACAGATTTATTTCAATAGCAATCAGTAGCAATTTAGCAGCACTTCAGCATCGTTTCAGCAGCATTTCGGAACTTGCAGCAATCAACATTTTAGAACATCTGCAGCAATCAGCAGCAGGCAGCAGCAGCATTTCAGAACAGCAGCAGCAATCAGCATTCGGTACAGCACCAGTACATACTCCACAGCACATACCCACGAAAAACATCAGCATATACTTCCTGCTAATATTTTCGTGGTCTCTCTCTCTCTCTCTCTTATACTATATATATAATGTTGGAGGACGGCGGTTGAGCGGATGGGGAGGCACCAAGGCCACAGCCCACAGAGACCATACCTGGGTGGGCGCGATGGGACACTGGCACCCCGAATCGAGGCAGCGCCGGCGATGCTACCTGCGGAAGCGGTGACGGTTGTCCTCCGCCTGGATCCGCTGAAGAAGTGAAGATGCAGCCGGCACCGCCATAGCATGCGCCGCACCCGCGAAGAGCGCCGACTCCGGGGAAGCTAGGGAGATCGATGCAGGCATTCCAGCTCTCTGTGGAGAAGAGAACGCCGGCGACGGTACAGATCAAACCAGCGGCAGACGAGGGCGCAAAGAGAAGGAGCTGCGTGGAAACGTTTCTCTGCGCGCGCGCGAGGAGGCTGGTTTCCCGTGATTTCGCTGATTGGGGGACGAACGGACGCCCCTACAGGTACAGAACGAGAAACCAGGATTTGAGAATCATAACTATTGGGCCTGAGGATAGGGAGACTGTTGGATTATATTTTTCAATAAAAATCCCCTAATATTAGGATTGGGATTCATTTAGCAAATCTGTCGGGCATGCTCTAAACCACCCACCCAATAAATGAGAAGAAGAGGAGGAGAAAAAAAAAACATATTTCGTCCATAAACCCTCTGACTGGTGGGCCCTCTCATATCCCTTTTCCCACTCCCCTCTATCCACTGTTTCCGCCGCCGCTGCCCGCCGCGCCGGCGTTCTCCACCGCCGACAAAGCACGGCATGGAGTGTAGGCGCCACCCTTCTCGCCTGCGCGGCCTCTAATCCCTCGTGCCTTGCCGTGCCTGTGCTGGGCCAAAATCTCATGCCTTGAGCCAGGCCGTTGGGTCTCGGGTCTTGTGACCAACTATAGTAGAAGCACCCGTTCGTATCTATCATCCGCGTAAGAAAAGCCGTCTGCCGACTCAACTAGCGCAATGCCCAAGCGGCGTCGCGGGGTTCCTCCCGCTCCTTCCCCGGCTCTGGCGACAATCGACTATTCCCTTACTTATAACGAGATAGCCGCCAGTGGGGCTCCAGGTGAGCCGGTCTCGTCGATATATCTATCTGTCATCCGCTCTCGATCTCTCAATTTCACACGTCTTTAGGTAGGATCGATGGCAATGGAACTTGAAACCCTACACTACACCAGATGCACACACACACATACATACATACATGCCGTGGGGGAACACACTGTGACTGTAGATCTTGGCGAGGCGAATCGATTTCGTTTCCACCTTACAAGTGTTAGGGTTCGTGGATTGGATTTGGGGGTGGTGTGTACACATGTGTGGGTTAGAATATTGTTACTCCCTCCGTTCCTAAATGTTTGGGGGTGGTGTGTACGCCGTTGAATTTTTTAAATATGTTTAACCGTTTGTCTTATTCAAAAACTTTTGTAAAATATGTAAAACTATATGTATACATGAAAGTATATTTAGCAATAAATCAAATGATAGAAAAAGAATTAATAATTACTTAAATTTTTTTGAATAAGACGAACGGTCAAATATTTTTAAAAAAGTCAACAGTATCAAACATTTAGGGACGGAGGGAGTATGTTTGTGCAGGTTAATTGTCATGGTTTTCGGCGGATCTGGACTGGAGAAGGGGAGGGCCTTTATTTAGCCTCATATCATCTGGATGAACGATAGGTTTTCGTACTTTTTCCTTGGTAATCCAGCTTGCTTACTCAATTTTGCTCCACTTCTGTGTCGTTCACATGTGCCAAGGACTTTGTGAAGAATCATGGCTTGTACTTGCTGCTGCTTGAGACGCCCTCTGGCTTCTCATTTTTCTCTCTTTGTGGGGTCTATATCCACTTACCAGATGCGATACAAGTAGGATTAATACTTTGATCTTTCTTCCTTCCTTTTTGGTTAAATAATATATACTCGTATGTGCTAGCTTACTCCTGTCGTTGTGTTCCTTTATATTATCCAGAATATTTGGGCGATGTTCGGTACTTACGGGTCTGCACATGACTTGAGTGGCCCTTCTTTCCTTTCCTTCTCATTGTTGCCAAATCAATTAGTAGCCATGTTGCATCATTTGTGATTGATGCATTCTTTTTCCTTTTTCTGTTTGTGTCGAGGGAGCGTAAACGCAATCTTCTGGTGTACTATTAGCATGCTCAAAACAACATTTCCAGACCCCTTCCAATTTCTTCATGTAAATCATATGCCCAAAAATCAGTTTTGCTTACCTCCTACTCTCTCAGTTTTATATTATAAGTCATTTTGACTTTTTTCCTAGTTAAAGTTTTAAGTTTGACCAAGTTTTCAGACAAATGTAATAACATTTTCAACACCAAACAAATAGATTATGAAAATATATTCAACTATACATTTAATTAAACTAATTTAGTGTAGTAGATATTGCTATTTTTTCTTATAGACTTGGTCAAACATAAAAAAAAGTTTGATTTAAAAGAAAGTCAAAACGACTTATAATATGAGACGGAAGGAGTAATTGCTAGTAGCTTGGAATGATTGAGAAAGTCACTGTATGTATTCGAGTGAGGCGACACAACATGAGATGGATAACACGTGATTATTAAGGGTGAATATCACAAGGAAATTGGCAAGATAAAAGGAAAAGTTGATAAAAAGGCCCACTAGGGCAGGCTGCCAGACCACTAAAGACCAACATCAGCTTAACAACCATGCTGTGTTTTATTTTCAAATACACGATGTCACCTTAGCATATGAAACTTTTCTGAATTACACTGTAAAGATGTGATAAACAAGGACTTGAATGAGGGTATTTTAGATGTACCCGCTGAACTGAGACTGATTGAGACATTTCATGATAATTGGTTAATTACTTCTTTTTGCCTCTCAACGTGTGCTCATCTTTGTCTTTCTTTACCAGGTTATCTGGCTGAAGGAATTTCAGAAATTTGATGACAAGTCCAGCGCCATCAATGTTGATACTGGTGTTAACAAACAGCTTACTGAGATGATCATGAAGTGGCGTCGCCCTAGGCAGAAATTGGTTGTTGGAAAGCCGGAGTATAAATCAATCATTGAAACAACCTTGGTGAGTAAATATAAGCTCCTTGTTTGCCTTATACTCCCTCCGTACTTTAAAGGAAATCGTTTTGGACAGCGACACGGTCTCCAAAACACAATTTTGACTTCTTGTTTCCATAAAAATATTTATTATAAGGGAAGTGCTTCTATGCTCCTCAAATAAAAACTGACACGAAAATTAAAGCACATCGATGGTGGGGATTAAAAGTGATATTAACAGAGTAATCCCCATTAGAAAGGGGCAATTTTGTCCTTAGAAAAATCTAATCCCGTATTTATGTCGATCCCATCGATCGAGCGATAGATTCGCGGCGTGGCGCGCGGCGGCAGTTCTCGTGACGCCATGGCCGCGAGCTCCCTTGAGCAGCGCCGTCGTGTGGCTTCATGCAGCGAGGCAACGAGCAACACGGGCCACATTTGCCCCCAAGTAAACCACCACATTGAGCAGATCATTCCACATAATCGCAACCATAAGAGTTTGTCTTCCCTTCCAAACACAAATCGACAGCCTCGGCCGGCCATTTCCTATTCGGCTATTCCCCATGGAGTCAGAGTTGAATGCGCCCTTGTTGCCGAGGTTGTCGGTGCGCGAGTGCGCGACGTCGGTGCCGTTGGGGTCATCTAAAAGCTGATCCACCAGCTGGTGTTCACATTCGAGACGCACCGGGGTCAATAACGAAGATGATAACGTTGACGAGAAGCCGAGCAGGGCGTCCCAGCGCTCGGCCCCGACGACGGCGGCTGGCATCCCTACTCACCGGAGCTTTCCTCCCGTTGTGTCGGTGCGAACTGCCCCGCGAATGCAGAGCCGCTTGGCAGCCTGCAGGGATCACCGCGAATTGACCACCACCGCAAGTCGATTGCTCGATCGATATGGATATGGGCTCAGTTTTCTCTAAGTACAAAATTGCCCCCCTCGCTGATGGGGATTACTCTGTTAATCTACTTTTAATCTCCACCATTGACGCGCTTTAATTTTCGTACAGGTTTTTATTTGAGGAGCATAGAAGCACTTCTCTTATTATAAAGTGATATATGTATACTTTTATGAAAGTATTTTTCAAGACAAATTTATTCATATAATTTTTACATTTTCAAACTCAATAATTTGAGAGTTATTCATGATTTATATTCCCAAGGTTTGATTCAAACATTGTCCTAAACAACTTCTTCTATGAGTATGGAGGGAGTATATGTGAACAACTTTGAGCTTCATTTCTTATTGTTTCTTTTTTTCTGGGAATACCCTGCCTGTATGATGAAGTTGTGATGGACATAATGTGGGCCATGAAGCGTCTCATTCGCTATTTTGTGCCCACTGAAACACCCGAGCTGCCTGAAGAGGAGAGCCTCACTATGAGTCAAGACTACGGATGTTTTTAAGTCGTTATGGCTTTGAAATCGAACCGGAGATGGTGAGTTTACATGCTCTGATTTATGTAGATCCCCTGTCATTTAGTGTTACATTTTATAATGGCTTTTGTGAGCACACTTGGAATCCTTCATTTTTCTTTTAGTGATGAAGCAACGCTCTTAATTAATTCGTATCCAACAGGTCTACAACGATATTGTTCGTGCTGCAGCCATCGTGTTTAGGTGTGATGCTGTTGAGAAGGACCTTTACGAGCACTTGCAACATCTTGGTCGTCACCTCAAGAATGTGTCTGGCATTGACTATGAGAATTGGGGAACTGTGAAACTCGCGACAGCTTTTAAGATCATATGCAGCCGCAAAATTGATAAATCTGATGAGGTAAAGCCATATATACTGACTATATAAATGTTATACTTACCAGGTAAAGCCTATCTGATGAGGTTTGTGCCTTGTCTCTCTTGCAGATGTTTTCAGACGACGTGCGATCAAAGCTGCTAGATGATGCAGACAAATACAAAGATCTTGTTTTTCGGACAGGTTGCATTGCAAACTACAAAAAAAATTTTAGGTCTCAATATACTCAGGAATGATAAAGTGGATCAATTGGCCGAGTTGGTTAAGGTAGCTAGGATTAAAGCTGAACACGTGAGGGTGAAGCCTATGCTCAATAGATCGCTGAACCTCTTGCAGGCTAAATAATTTGGTTTGCCAGTTAGGAAGCGTTCGGTATGCATTTGGCTTAATCCAGATTCTTCTCAGTGTCGAGGTTGTGATCTCAGTTGGCTTAAACATTGTCCATCTTTTGTAAAGCTAGTCTGCTACTCCCTCCGCGGAAACATATTTGACAAGTTTTTCCAAGTGTTTTCATTTTATGATTGTGATTGATACCTATCACATATATATTTAGACAAGAACTCCCGTAGCAACGTGTGGGACATATCAACCAGTAGCATCAACATATCCATCCAAAGTAGTAACAAAATGTCATTTCATTTTTAAAAAGAAAAACAAGGAAAAAAACTAAAAGCATGGACATAATCATAATTGGGCATCAAACTAGGTGAAAAAAAAACACAGTTACCTCCAAAAAAAAATATTATGAACTTATATGTTCAAATTCAAAAGTCAAATGAAACAGAGAGGACGGTACTCTCCCGTTTTATATTATAAGTCGTTTAATTTTTTTTAAGTCAAACTTTGTTGAGTTTAACTAAATTTATATAAAAATTTATCAACATCTAAAATATAAAATTAGTTTTATTAAATCTAAAATTGAATATATTTTGATAATATGTTTGTTTCTTATTAAAAGTATTACTATACATTTTTATAAAATTAATCAAACTTAAATAAATTTAACTAAAAATAGTAGTATACTATTTTTCGCTTTATGCCTCTAAGTACTAAACGACCCACCCAATAAATGAGAAGAAGAAGAGGAGAAAAAAAATCATATTTCGTCCATAAACCCTCTGACTGGTGGACCCTCTCATATCCTTTTTCCCACTCCCCTCTATCCACTGTTTCCGCCGCCGCCGCCGCCGCCGCCGCCGCCCGCCGCGCCGGCGTTCTCCCCCCGCCGACGAAGCACGGCGTGGAGTGTAGACGCAGCCTCCTCGCTCTCTCTCACGCCGGCGAGCAGGGTCTGGAGCCAGGAGCGACGCGGCGGCCGGGGCCGGGGCCTCCATCTCGGTTCGAACCGCACTGAAGGTATCCCCTTCTTCTCCTGGCGCGCCACTTCTCGAGCCGGCGTAGATTGGTGGATGTTCATCCGCCGGGGTGGGGTTGGACGGGATTAGCCCCCCCCCCCCCCCCCTCTAATTAATTAGATTATTATTCTTCCCCAATTTCCTTTCTCTGATGATGATGCGTGCTTGATAGTACATTTACTAATAAATAGCAGTTTGTTTCCAAGCAAATTTGATGATGATGCGTGCTTGATAGTACATTTACTAATAAATAGCAGTTTGGTAAATCAGGTCCCTCCCTGCATTAGGGCGCACAATGGCACTGACCCTTCTCAGAGGGATGCGAACGCCGGTTGTAGCTAGAAGGAATGCTGGCTTGTTCTTCACCACATTGCAGTCTCCGTTGTTGTCCCGCTTCACGATGAGAGCGGAGAGCGCGCGGGCCGCAGCGCCCAAGTCGATTCAGCTGGCGACCAAGGAGGCGGCGGAGCAGAAGGCGCAGGGCTTCGAGGCGGTCATCGGGATCGAGACCCATGTCCAGCTCTCGACGGTCACAAAGGCGTTCTGCTCGTGCCCGTACAGCTACGGGTCGCAGCCGAACAGCACCGTCTGCCCCACCTGCATGGGGCACCCCGGAACGCTGCCCGTTCTTAACGCAAAGGTTGTCGAATGCGCCGTGAGGTTGGGCCTCGCTCTCAATTGCGAGATCGCGATGACGTCCAAGTTTGATCGGAAGCAGTACTTCTACCCGGACCTGCCCAAGGGGTATCAGATTTCGCAGTTTGACATTCCCATTGCCAAGGAGGGTTACCTTGATTTGGATCTTCCGGTGGAGTTCGGCGGTGGGCATAGGAGATTTGGGGTCACAAGGGTGCATATGGAAGAAGATGCTGGCAAGCTGCTTCACTCTGAATCCGGGAGTTACTCTCAGGTTTTCCTTGCTGTCCCTGTCTTGAATAATATCTATGGAATCTGTACTCTGTTAAGTTGTCATGCTATTCTGATGTGCTGCATAACATGACTCTGAACCACAGAAACAATTTTGGCATTTACAACAATGTAATACTCCCTCCAGGTTGATAATACTTGTCGTTTTGGACAAGGGCACGGTCTCCAAAAAACAACTTTGACCATTATTTTTCATTATAATATGTGTAAAATTGTTAGCAAATATATGATCTTATTAAAGTACTTTTTAAGACTAATCTATACATGTAGTCACCATATTTGAAAGACAAATATTTTAAAAATGATTCATAATCAAAGATTCTAAAGTTTGACTTCACCCTTGTCCAAAACGACAAGTATTATCAGCCCGGAGGGAGTAGTAGATTTTCTAAAACAACCCATCCATAAATGAAAGATGGGAAACCAGGGAAGCAACTTCCTCAGGAGAAGAATTGTCTCAAACCTCTGTCTAGGAGTCAAAATATCTACTGATACAAGGGATTTGATTTCTTATAAATGTGAGACAAGAATGAACATATTGATAATTGTGAAGTCTTTCGCCTGTCTTCACACAAAACTCAAGAAAATGAAGCACATTTGTCCTGAAAACAGTAATGTAATAGTTTACAGAAGCAGTTATTACACATATAAACTGATTGATCAGCGTTTTCTATTCTGTTTATCTAGGTTGACTTAAATAGGGCTGGCGTTCCTTTACTTGAAATTGTCTCAGAGCCAGATATGAGAACAGGGATAGAGGCTGCCGAGTATGGTGCTGAGCTACAGAGGCTTGTTAGGTACCTGGGCGTGAGTAATGGTAACATGCAGGAAGGTTCCCTTCGCTGTGATGTGAATGTTTCTGTTCGGCCAATTGGACAATCAAATTTTGGTACAAAGGTAATCATGAGAGCTTTAGAACTTCCCTAGCTGACTGCTATGCTATGTTCACATGTTGCTATCGATTTCATAATTTTATCATCCACCAGTGCAAAAACTTATGTAAAGAGCATGTTGTAAGCCCAAGGTTAGACCTGCAATCTATCAGTTTCAAATGATGATATCACTTTATGTCAAAAAAATATATGGATTATCATGAGTTTTTTTCCAGCCTTGCATACAGAATTGACAAGATATGCTAATTATGTTGGGACAATACATGATACATTTTAGCCATTTGGTGCAATTCCTGAAATGTTCTTCCACTTCGGACATTTGCTTCTCTGAAGGGTTGGTCAGGCATCCTTTGTGTATGTTTGTCAATTCTCTTTGTGAAAATTATAGATTTTTCTTTTACTTCTAAATAGCATGTCCTAAAGAGAAGTGGTCATGGGAAAGATTCAGTGACATAGGACCCGGAGACTTTAAGCAAACATGAAGGCTACAATGGAACTGTTTTCAAAGCGCACCATTAGTTGTTTGTCTTATTATGTGTATTATTATTCACTACTTTTATTTCATCACATGCTTCTTTCAATGGCTGCCAGGTTGAAATAAAGAATATGAATTCATTTTCTGCAATAAGTAGGGCAATAGATTATGAGATCTCCCGGCAGATTCTTCTTCATAAAGAAGGTCAGGCTGATCAAATTGTACAAGAAACCCGGCTGTGGGATGAATCTTCTCAGGTTACTATGTCTCACTTTGTTAACTTGTGTTTCCGCCCATTGTCCTTTTGCTACCATTTCTAAACTCTGCTATTTATTGTTTATTTGCATCCTCAGAAAACTTTTACAATGCGAAAAAAGGAGGGACTTGCTGATTATAGATATTTTCCTGAGCCTGATCTTCCTGAAGTTGTTCTTACTAGTGAGTACATTGATGAAATTCAAAACTCAATGCCAGAGCTTCCTGAAGCAAAGCGTAGGCGCTTCGAGAATATGGGACTCAGCATGCAAGATGTTCTTTTCCTTGCTAATGACGATAATGTAATAATCTTCTGTATTGTTTTCCTTTCCCCTTGCGATGGATGTGGATATTTACTGCAGTTGATTAGATATCTCTGCATTTTAAACCAGGAGGAACTCATCTTGAACTGGTTATTTATTTAAATGTTTTATTTCTCAGGCTTGCATGATCACGTAGTGCTTTGTTTTTTCATTGAAAAGTCCCTCCAGTTTCTTCTTTTCTTGGACAACTCAATTTCTGCATTGTTCGCACAGCTTTAACGACCTTATCTATGTATGTTCCTCCCAGGTTGCTCGGTTCTTCGATTCTACCCTTGAGCACGGCGCGGATGCAAAGCTGGCTGCCAACTGGATCATGGGTGACATTGCTGCTTATTTGAAAAATGAAAAACTTTCCATTGATGAAATTAAATTAACACCTCTGGAGCTTTCTGAATTGATTGCATCTATAAGGAATGGAACTATCAGTGGGAAGATTGGAAAGGAGGTAGATTTGCCTCTATTTCTTCTGACTGTTGTTTCTGTACTGAATATGATGGCCAGGACTGAGTTTTGACTGTTCTTATTATTTCTATCTGGAGATAGGCACAAAAATTAATTTTTGTTCTATCGTTAGTGCTGCATGCCTTTCCTGCTATTATCTGTTTCTGGTTTAATCACCATTAGTTAGTTTTGGATAATGCATCCTTAAATCTGTCCTTGCAGATTCTGATTGAACTCATTGCGAAAGGTGGAACTGTCAAGTCTGTGATAGAGGAGAAAGATTTGGTTCAGGTAACTGTAGTCACCTTTCTTAATTTCCAGAACCATAGTATATAAATATGAGTCATCCTAGTAGTTTTCTCTCTTTTCCTCTTTGCCCTTGCTATATGAATATTACCATGATGGATAAAAGACTATATTATTACTCAATGTGAGTATGAATGAATGAAGGGCATCACAGTCATTTAGCTACTTTCTTTTTGTGCACTAGTCTAAAACTATTTAGGGGTAGTAGGGACTAGGGAACTAGCAAATAATGCATATGACTGCCTAAGACATTAAATGCTGGAAAGCCTGATAATTTTTTTGTGCCATGTTTGTCTGCTTTTAGTTGATACAATTTCAATGTGTTGGTTTCTGGCTGGGCTTTTTTTGAGGTGGAAATTTGTTGTGCTCAGATAGCAGATCCTGCAGCAATTGAGGCAATGGTAGATCAAGTATTAGCTGATAATCCAAAGCAACTTGAGCAGTATCGGTCCGGGAAAACTAAATTGCAAGGATTTTTTGCTGGCCAGGTTTGTCTATTCTGATTTCTCTGTTCCCCATGGTAGCGTTTGTCTTACATCAACAGTTTAATCAAATTATTTCAATTGTTTCCAGGTGATGAAAGCATCAAAGGGTAAAGCTAATCCTGTTTTGTTGAACAAAATCCTCGGGGAGAAATTGAAGGCCAATAGTTGAGGGGGTTTGTCGACAAACGGAGACTCATGTTGTAGTCCACGAGTGGACAATCGAACTAAACCCTGCAATTTGGGGTCTATTTTTCAATGATGAATTCTCTGTTAGCTCCAGTAGTTGTAAATGTTACTACTTTGTGGGTAGTTTATTTTTCTTCTTTTCTGAAAGAAAATTTTGTAAAAGCAGCATAATTTACATAATAAAAAGATGAATATTTATGCATCCAATTAACTGCCTTCTCCTTTTTGCTGGAACAGTTTCATGTTGAGTCATGTTGAGTCCTTGTACCTGCAACCTGCAATATGGTCATGGCCAGTATGATCAGCAAATGCTCATGGCCAGTATGATGAACTAAGTGAACTGTAGAATTTTGTTTCATCCATTAGTTTACTGGCAGCTTTACTTGGTAATTGTCAGGCTGCAGCTATATGGAGCTAGATTTAACATTTCAAATACAACACTAGTTTGTTCCCACTGAACACTGGATACTCCACATTTTCATCTAGTACTTGCATGACTTCAATTCAAAATGGAGAAGGAAATCAGATGTTCTAGTTTTAGATTACACCATAATAGGATAGCAGAAAATTAGTGCCTGGTACAATATCACGTTATAACAGAATATCACTGCTTCAATACCGGGTTAATTCTGACAAAACACTTCAGTAGTCAATCATGTCAACAATGTGAGGCAACTAGCAAGCAATTATTGGAAAACAGACAAAGTTACACGGGACAACTACATACTGCATTACATCAGCAGCACATCACAGCTAGCTGCAGCTACATATTTACATTTTACAACACCAGGAGAACTGCCCTGTTAGTGCATAACAATCAGAAGATGGCCGTGGCTAATCCTCGTTGTCGTAGTCCTCATCCTCGTCAACTTGCACCGTAAGATGTCCAAAACCGGATGGTCCGACACCGATGTTTCCAATCGCATCTGGCATAGGCCAATCCGGCTGATGGTCGTCGTTTTTCGCTTCTTCCACCTTTGGATTTGGAGCTGGTATCTCTGCTGCCGATGGGGCTTCTGCTGGAGGGTGTGTGCTTGGAGGTACGCTCTCGGTGCCATGGATGGTCTCTGGAACCGTCTCCTCTCCTGGTAAGGCTTCGCCCTGATCAGCAAACATGCTGCTCTCATCCTCAAATTGTACATAACCAACTTCCTTCCGCTTGGTGGGTGGTCGTCCTCGCCCTCTACCTCGACCTCTCCCACGTCCTCTGGGACTGATATTTGCACTTCTTACGGCCTGCGAAAGCAATTATTCTATTACCGACTAGCCCGGTGTGAAAACTTAATGCGTTATGCGAGAAGATATACCATTTTGCTTGATCGAGATTCCTCATTCTCTGGGTCACTTCCATTTGGCAAGGCTTTTCTGAAAAAATGAATTTCAAGCATTAATAAGGTACGTGTAGTTTCTACAGTGAGTCAGGCAGTCATTTATATTATGTGAATTTACCTTCTTCTGGGTAATGCTCTATCATCTCCACATGAGTCAGCGCCACCGAGGTCCGGTACCTTGTTGACAACCTCAGTTAGGAAGTCAAAAGAACTGTACCTCCTCACACATTGCTTTCTGAATTATATAAGACAAGTAACCACTTAAGATACAAAGCTGAAACATCCAACAAAAATTAAATTGTGCAAACAGTTTACAGAGAACACAAAAGTCTTATTCACTTGTAGCTAACAAAGCTTGAAATTGAACACAGTAAAGAACAGAGGACATTCGTATAGCAACACTCACAGAATACTAAGAAAAAACTAATCAATTATTTATATAAACATCAATTAAAGCTCAATTTAAAGATGAACAAATAATAAATAGAGTCTGACAGACATATTTAGACCCATAAGCAGGATCGTCCGAGTCTAATTTCAATTTGGAAGACATACCATCCATATTCTCCTAGAGCTCAGGTAAAAATACCACAATATTATCAACTTGCAGTGAGAAGCATATGCCATTTTCAAATTGGTTAAAAAAAGAGTGAAAATTTAACTTTGCTTTTGTGTTAAAAACTCAGATTTTAAGTTAATTAATTTGAAGACAATAATACAAAGATAACCAGATTTGATGGAAATTATAGTAGATAAAAATGAAATCATTCTTTGTTCCAGAATAATTCATCAAAGACACTGCTATACTTCAATGAAACTCAACACAAGCTTTTCATAGGTCACAAAAACATGAAAGGATAAACAGTACATCACTCCATAAAAGCACAAAATCATAATGCGGAGTAAAATTTTAAAAGTGCAGTGGTATAGAACTCACAGGTGGAAGGAATTCAATGTCTTTGCACCACTTTGCAGTGTAATTTCGTAAGTTCGGTCAATTAAATCTTGCAAAAACAATTCAAGGGCCCTCGCTGCACGTAAAGAACAAATTCAGAATGTCAGGCACTCAGGTTGTATGCTTTATCATGGCAATAACTAGAACTGTAACATTATGCAAAACAAACCAAAAAAGGTACTCCAAAACACATATATTATCATACAAGAAAATGTGTATCAATTAGTTAGTGAAACAAAAATGAAATGCAAAACGATTATTTTTCTAATGGGCAACAACCGATGTCAAAATATGTGACCAGTGACTTGGCATAAAAAGGCGAGTTGGGTTCTTCTCCATGTGGCAGAGCAAACTTGTCGCTAGTTCAGCTTACTGAATGTAAGACAAACTTTTGGCAGAATGCTTTCTTGATTGCATTTTTTTGTAAGTACCAACCCCTAGAGAGAATGGAGCGATAACACAACTGTTTACATACTACATGGCTACATCAATACCCAAAAAGAAGTAGCACAGGCTGTTGTCAAAACTTACATACTAAAACAGGTACAGCTAGTGCAATCTTGCCAACGTCCTCATCAGCCTGCATGATCTTTTTGATCCGTGCCTGTCACAACAAAAAGAACAGAAAAAATGATTTCACAGTGTTCAAAACTGGGTTATATTTGAAATATATAATCCTCCAGCATACACTTGATATACCGATATGTAGGGAACACAAGGTAATCCTAAAGAGTACGTCCTATATCATGAAAAAGTCACACAAGGTAATGCTAAGAAACACTAACAAGAAAAATCTGAATTTCAGTAATCAGTACAGGCAAGAGGGAAAAAAAAAACAAAAACAAAACAAAACAAAACGTTCAGTAATCAGAGGTCTCAAAAAACGCAGTTCACAGTGCCATGTCACATGGAAAGGTCTCAAAATAGTAATGAAGACGGGAGTATTCAGCTAAAATTCATACCAGCACTCTCAAAGAAGATAGTTCTGTGTAAATTTGAAATTCTGGCTGATGCCCATCTCATGACAATTTGAGCAGTATAAAACGTAGAACAGGTTCCCAGCAGACAATACAGCTCACGATATATGCCACACAAGTAGAACTCTACTGCACAAGAACTCCAGAAACTGCCCGAGCAGGCCATAATCCATTTCATGCCTCCAGAAACAGTGCGATACAAGCTCGCGTGTTGAGGAGATCTCATGAGAAACAAACTACAAGATGAGAAATCCAGCCCTCTTTACACGCATCCTGGAAGCAGCTGCAACCAATTGCAGCCCATCCTAGCTAGCTGCCTGCTCAGCTTTGCACCTACCAGAACTAATTGCTCATTCATCTCGCCCTCGAATTCAAGAATCTTTTCCCTCCACCAAACCCAAACCCAAACCCCCAGTAGAACCACTTGCCCCACCACCTCGAACCACCTCCATCCACCAACGAACCGAAAGAAAACTCAACGAGAGTGAGTAAAAATAAAATTTCAGCTAAGCTCACTGGCGAGGCAACACAGACAAAGAGCCCCCCACCACAACCTGCTCTCGATTCCGAATCCCCACAACCACCCGGCGACGAAGCGCGACCGCACAGAGAGAAGCGCAAGTACCCCGCCGGTCAACGGCGATATCCGCCGCCGCCGCCGCGAGATCCGCGCGCGCCGACCAGATCGGATCACGAGCCGCCGCCGCCGCAGCGCAGATCGAGGAGAGGAGAGGGGAGGGGAGGGGAGGGGAGGAGGGGCTACGTACCGCGGGGAAGCGGGTGCCCAGCTTCTTCCTCATCTTCGTCTTCCTCCTCGCGTTCGCCTCCGCCTCCGCTCCTCCACGCTATCGCAGTCGACCTTTTTTTCTCCTTTTCTTTTTTTTTTTGGCTCGATTTTTTTTTCTTTCTTTTGGGACGCTTCGGTTTCTTCTTTTGTTTTTTTCTTCTTGCTGCGCCACCACGAGAGTCGAGAGGAGAGGAGAGGAGAGCACGCGCGGGCGGCGGCGACGTCTCACGATCCGGATCCGACCCGACACGAGAGGCGTTCGTGCGTGTCATGTGTGCGGCGACTGTGTTCCTTTCGTTCGTCAGCACAAAAGGCGGGGCCCGGGTTGGCGGGATCGATCCGGCCCGTTAGGCCTGGAGAACAAGGCGATTCCGTGTGCTTTGGGGCCCAACTTGGCAATTTAATTCTTTTTATGCAAGGAGAAATAATCCGTACATACGAAAATTTGTCTTACCCAGCTTCTCTTTTTTAAGAACCACGTTACAGTACACAGGCACTCATACCCTCATAAACACCTTCTAGAGACTAGGCCAATGTATCTTGAAGTTGACAAAATCACCATGAATATCTCACTATCGATAGTTATGTCGCCTATCACTAAAAGAATAATTATGGTAAATACGAACACTCACATTGAGTGTAGAACTTAAACCCGAATAGACTGATTCCACCACAAGTACCCTTAGAGCAGGTACAAGCCAACTATAAACATATCGAGAAGATAAAAAAGTAGAGAAGAGCGACATGCAACATATTTGTAGCCAACTGCAGCACAGACTCCAAAACACAATGTGTGCATGACAGATGGGACCATGAATTAATAGTGTAGTACATGTTTATAAGTAACTATTATATAAATTAGCTATTAAATTTAATATAGATAATTTGGAGCTAGTAGCTAAGTATACTATTAAACTTGCTTTTATAGTCAAGAAACCTTAGTTGACTATGCTCACTTTTTACACAGTTCTTACAAATTCTTACTACACTGATGTAGCACTGTGTAATTAAATTTCGATATCCTATAACCTACATTTAATTAAATCAAACGGTTTGAGAACTTTGTTTGATTTTCCAAGTAAGCCTATCAGATCACAATATGAAACTTTGCTACCAGGAGCGAATAGTTAATATTAAGTGAACCTTGCTAATTATAAAAAAATACCAAATAGATTTTGAAATAGTAAAAAAAAAAGCTGAATTCCTCCTCTAAAATAACACTATAAGTGATGAACTAATAAAATAACTGTCCGATACAGGAATGTCACGCCGCTTTCAAACTAGAGTCTACAGGAATACACGATCGAAAATTCAGATAACAAACCTGATATATATTATACATAATAATGAGATGGGAGCTACAAGAATCATCTGCGCTAATGTTTCACCAACGCTAGAGCTAAAGAATATGTTTCGAATAAACAGAATAAACTCATAAGTTAAACTTCTGAACAACTGCCTCCATCCACGCACGGACAGCCAACTAGGCGTCTAGGCCAAATCAACATGAGATGAACTTGCATGGTCAGAATTGCCTGCTTCCACCTTAGAAACCGCAAGAATCAATCACTGTCGTGCTCAGCATCTGCAGAAGCATATGGATTTTATTGAGAAAAAGAGATATGGAATCGCTTGGAATGCGAAATAACACTGAACATGCTGTAAATGCCACTGGATATTCCCCTGGATGCAATAACTAATGAGATTATAAATGACTAGCTGGTGACAGTGAAATTGAAATACCATGTATTATTGAATCTTACCATCAGCAGATCCATCGCCAGCTTTTCCAACATCATTGTCACCTTCATCTCCACCCTCCACATTCACCTCCTCATCATTGTCATCTTCTGCGTCTTCTTCGTCATCTTCATCACTATCAGCTACTATTTTAGGCGTTGGCAGGGGTATGAAATTCGATGTACTTCTCCGACGAGAACTTGTGATAATGTTGCTCATATCTATGCCCTCGAGTTCCTTTGCTCTTTCCTTTCTTTTCTTGACTGCTTTAATTTCTGTACAAAGAAAGCATAACATGTGTCAAGTAATTATATAGGTATGCTTTACGCCATATATACGCAGCTTTATATGCCACTCATAAATGAACCAACTAAAAAAAAGAGAGAAATAGGTGAGGTCATAAGATTGCATTTAACAGTAATAACTTATTATTGGGCACATACACCTTATGTAGTGTTCATAGTTTGGGAGAAAATTGAATGATGACTGTGATACCAAACATCCTAATCCTACCCATAGAAGTATAGAAAAAATAGAAAACAATTCAACACAAGTTTTCCCGCACAAGTTATTGTAAACAATTTAACAACAAATGAACTTTTCCCGCACAAGTTATTGTAAACAATTTAACAACAAATGAACCTTTTTCAGAGGGGTTTGTTGACAATCCTTCTTTTTCAAGTATATCCTCCAACTCCTTTATCAAACAGGCTTCACGCTTGCTCTCAGGAGCCATCTTTGCCTTCCGATACACAGTAGGTGCGATACTAGTTAAAAATAAACATAAGTCGGTAAATTTATCATTCCGAAAATCCATAAAACTGCATTCAAGCATGCAGAAGTACCTCATTCCACAAGATTTGATTATTGACTTCAGCCGTTCCACCCGTTTCCCGTAAGCTGGAGCTACTTGTCGTTTTTTCTGCATATTGAGATATAAACAAGTTAGCCAAAATTATATTTACACTAATCATGCAGTCAAGAACTCACACAAAATACCTTATTATCTTCTTCAGCTGATGAATTTGAATTATCTTCTTCTGATCCACTCCGCTCTTTACTTTTATCTAAATCTTTTTTGGCAACCTTTTTAGCCTTTGAATTTGACAGTTGTTTCTCCACTGTAGTTTTTTTCTGCCTTTTTACAGCTTTGCCCTTTTCAGCCTTTTTCTTTTTTGGCCTTGCATCCTCATCACTGTCTCCCCTCTCACAATGGCTATCATTTATTTCAGAAGTATCAGAGTCTTGACGAGCTCTCTTAGAGTTTTTGCTTGTCTTCTGGCCAGAATCCTTATGAGATTCAGTTTTACTAGTTTTCTTTGTCCCATTTGCAGGTTCTTGAAGAATCTGTCACACAGAAAATTAATGAAACACAATGAGTTCGACTTCTTAGTCCAATCATCAACATGCATCTGAACTAATACATGTGTGCACCGCTGCACCCTCAATCCAAACTTTAAACTTACATTGTCTAATTCCGTCGAAATAAAAGACTTGTAAGCATCCAAAGCTTTCTTCTGAAGCTTGAGATCTTCTTCTAAAGTCCGGCGAACTCCTTGTAAAGTAATAGTTCTGCATTGCTTTCATATTGTGAATACATGCTGAAGCTGACTAGCCAAATGCAATATGAGCAGGTAAAGTGGACATCGAACATGCTTTTGGTGGCAGCAAGCATCCGTATGGCGCAGAATCCAAAATTTAAACCAGAATAAAGTAAAATGCTGAAGTAACATGATTGGACATACTTAGGAAGTAACCACATCCTTAGGGGGAAAATACGATGGTACGATTTAAGTATTCTTACAAAATTTCTTGCCAAATGTCCAAATAATAAAGCTAGAAACTCAGATATTCTAGAATAGACTCTTTAATATGTGTCGTTTATAAGTCATTAGCACCTAAGAATTCATCTCAAGACGAACACATACAATATAAGCAAATTCCTATATTTCCGTTTATCGCCAATTGGTTCATAACTCTAAAGAACTGCATCACATATGATCATGTCCTATATAATATTGGCCGCACACCACTCTTAACAACAAGAATGATATGTTTTAAGAACATATAGGCAATTTTCTTTGTAAAACTCAACAGTTTCAATCATTATGTTCCAAATGTATATTCAGATCAGTGCACACAACTGGGCTCCTGTTCATTTTTAGACGGTCTACATTAAGAATGACTCAATGGCCTTTTCTTTTACCAGCTAAGACCCATATCCCCCCCCCCCCTCCCTCGGCATGGCCCCCCACAAATTTGTCACTCAGAATTGTATAAGTGAACTAGCACGCAACGAAATCTCCCTGCTCACCGCTTGCATCACACAATGGGAGCAATTATCTCTACTTTCGTCCCTTATTCATATGTTTCACCGCAAGATGTGGAACAACTAAATGGTTTCTCTATTATTACTCAATCAGGTCACAAAAGGTTGACTATATTTTGGTTGACTCATTTTACTGCCCCAACCTCCAGTTTTGTTTTCTAGTGTCAAAAAATTACAATAACATGATAGTATCTTTTCAGATATCTGCTCTGTGATGTAGTGGGGTTAAATATTTCTTTTTAAAAAAACAAGGTTTCATTACATTCCAGAGCAAGAGGCTTTTGAGACTACAACTCTACAAGTTGTCAAGTACAATGATTCGCTGATCAATCTGACACATGATAATTTGGAGTGCATGTTAACTATTAAGTTTCAATGATAAGTACAATTTAAGAATGGCAAGTTGAGGACACATACTCTGAGTTCTCTCTAAAATATGAGGCCCTTTTGACAATAGCATTTTTTATCGTAGCTTCACTAATGTCACTGCCAGAACTATGATCTTTGTCTCCCTCCTGATCTCTATCTGTCTCACTGGATTTTGCCACCGGCTCATCAGCATTGGAGGAAATTTTGTTCGAGTCAGATGTTGGTTGGGCATCTTCTGATTCTTCTTTAGAAGAACGGTCATCTTTAGCTTCATCCTTCTCTGGTGCATTATTATTCGTATTGTCATCATCAGAACCAGAAAAAACCTGTTGATGTGCTTAGCCAAAAAGAAAAAGGAAAAAATGAGTATTACTGTACTGAAATCAGAGTTCAATAAAGTTTGAAAGTTCCCAAATACAAGCTAACAGGTTCCAACTGGGAATATAAAGTATAAATGACAACTGAACAAGTTTTATGACCTTCAGAAGTTTAAATAAAGGTAATTATTCATCTGAATTAAAGGATCTCATTACCAATTTGCATAAACTGGGTGAAGAGAGGTTCAAGAAAAACAGCTTGACACTTGAAATATCAAGACATTTGGTTTCCATAACACAATTGTAACAAATATAAGGACAGACTCAATTATTCTCTCTAGTCTCTACAGTGTCTAAGTTCCAAAGAGATCCTTGTGGCTCCTGCTTGTGAATGGTGATTTTAATATATATTCCTCAAAGGAAAAGATTATATCAACACATGTGAGCTTAATATATTTCATCTTCAGAAATACTGGTTAGGTAAATACTTGTTTTGTACTCTAGTCATTCTTTTATTGTATCAGAATTGGCAACTGATGTTGAACTAGTTCACAACATGAGCCAACACCCGTTAAAGAGACATTGGACAGTGATGATTTGAGGTAGAATGCTGCTCTGTGAATGCGGGACTTGGTTAGGAGGGACTAGATCTACACAATAGCAGGCCAAGAGAAGAGAACACAACAAAACTGATATTCGGATTATCTTCTTTTGTTACTCCATTGCTCCAACATAAAATACATCATAATACCATATCATCCTTATATAGATGGAGGATGGCTTGAGTTGACCACTAAGAAGCCATCTGTCCATCTCTAAACAAGGAATCCTGAAGATGCGTAACCAACCATGATAAACTACCAAATTTGAGATTTGCATGCAGGATCCTAATTACAATATAATCTTTAAAATGCCAACTGTCTTGTCTTGGTATGTACTGCTGTAACAACAGAAACCGGTACTAGTCAGATACTCAGAGCCAATGGTTAACATACTCATTTTTTTGCTTCTGCAATAACATGTTTATGATTGTTCAACTGATTCTTTTCGCACAGCTCAAACGCCCAATCGTAATGCATGCTGACATGTTAGCTCCCCAAGCTAATGTACTCCCTCCGTCCCAAAATATAGCTACATAGGAGTGTTTTGAGGAATTCTGGATTGGAGTGAAAGGTCTAAAAGTCCCTCATTAATAGATGGTGAGGTGACGGGAATCAAGAATAGTACGGGTGGGTGTGGATCTCGAGGGTTGATGGGATGATATGGCCTACTAGGGGTAGCATGGGAAGTAGTGTGGTAAAAGTTACTTTCTACATATTGTAGGTAGTTATATTTGGGACAAAATTTGAACCTAAAGGTAGCTATATTGTGGGACGGAGGGAGTATATGAAAACTGAAACAGTGCATCACAAAATCACTTGCACAAATTAATGCACTCAAGCAGGAGTAATTGTTTCTGCAGCGGTGTGTTTAAATAGCAAACATTTATTCCGCATTATTGACAAAATATGTTATGTACTTATGTTTACTTAGTTTCCACAGACGATTGAAAAGTCAAAAATTGGCCTTGAACACAAGATATTATCAGTGGTTTCTATTTTTGTTGGAAGTGAAGAGTCAAGAGTTTAAACTAGGAAATTATACAGCTCCCTGGTTCATAGAGAGAAAACATTAGTTGCACAAATGTGTTCTTCTTTTCCTAACTATTGCACTAGGAAATTCCAAAATTGTACAGCTCCCAGGTTCATACAGCAAAAACATTAGTTGCACAAATGTTCTTCTTTTCCTAATTATTGCACTGCACCAAACCCCATATACATTAATGTCCACCCGTACCTTGTCTACACATTGCTTTATGAACTTTTTATGGGCGTCAAGTGAATGTTTCTCCAAGCCCATGTCCTTCTCCAGTGCTCTCCTTACACCTTCGAGGGTTAAGGAGCTGAAAAGAAAGAAAAATATATGTGGTGTCATTCCTCATAGTTGACCAATATAAGAGATCTAGAGAGCAGAAAAGGTTCGAATTTCTAGTAATTAGAAGAAAGCATCGACCTCTCCTGCCTGCGTGAAAATTAGGGAGAATGCAACCCTAGGATGCTTTATATGCAGCAGCTATATACATTTATCACTCACATATCGCCAAACCCTTTTCATTTCTTCCTTACAGGTTTAAATACCTAGAGAGACACAAGAAATCTGATGCACAGCCATTATTATCCTTAAATAGCTGAAATGCTGAATACAAGGCTGCAACTACACGTGGTTCTTCAGAACCCTGCGCAACTAAATAACCAACCGTCGCCCAGCAACATTTCTGAAATCACAACATTTCTGAAATCAGAAGTACCACCTTGTCAAATCCTAGCTAGAACCTGACGAATTTGGAGGTAGAACAGAAATATTTGGTGCACACACCTGCTAATACGAAATTGTTGGTTTCCCTCCCCCCCACTAAACCCTAGGAATCGGCATCACTCCCCCTTGCTTCTCCTTCACAACCCTGCCGACCACCCGCAGCAGCAGAAGAATCCCGAACTAAAATCGAAGATTGGAAACAACCAACCAGGCCATAAACCCCTCCCCGGTTCGAAACCCAAAAAGCGGACACCAAACCCCCCGCAAGCGTGCACCAGCTGCCGCCGCCGAAAAACCCTAGGGCCACCGCCAACAACCTCCCGGGCGCGACGCGAGGCAGGCAGCCAAAGACACAGGAACGAACCCTAGAAGCCGCGCCCGCGTAGACCAAACCATCCCGCGCGGGAGAGCCGACCACAGCCTGAGAGAGAGGGGGGGTGGAAGAGGGAAAGGGAGAGAGAGGGCGGGCGCGCTCACTCGGCCTGCTTCCTGAAGTCGGGGAGGCGGGCGCGGAAGGCCTTCTCGATCTCCGCCTCCCTCTCGCCGGCGGCCGCGGCCGCTGCGGCGTCGGGCTCCATGCGGATGCGGCGGCGGCGGCGGCGGCGGGAGGTTGGGGAGGCGGCTGACGGCTGTGCTGCAGTGCAGGCTGCAGCTGCTGTCCCGTCGCCCGACTGTCTCGTCTCGTCTCGGCGTGGACGAAAATGACACGAGGGAGAATGCTGCGTACGGAGTAATAGGTAAAGAGATCGGCCGGGCCGGGCCGGGCCGAGTTGGGTTGGGTTTGGCTGGAGCCGGATCCATAACTATCTGATTTTTTTTTATTTTTTAACCTTTTTAATTTTTTTAATTTTAAAAATAAATCCATCCAAAATTTATATTAAAGATCTGAACCTTTTGGCCACACGGCCACGCCAGCCAAACTAGCGTGGCAAAACAATACTGTCACACCGCTCCCACTGACGTGGCAGCGTTATTTGGCCACACCGCTCTCGCTGGCGTCGCAGGACAAAACTTTCACGCCCGCTGCAGGTGGCGTGCCATTGTTGCTTTGTCACGCCAAGCGGACTAGCGTGGCCAAAAGGTTCAGATTTTGGAAATAAATTTTGAAAGGGTTTAGTTTTAAAATTAAAAGCTAAAAAAGTTCAAAAAATTAAAAAAAAAATCTAACTATCCATACCTGATATAGTTACAAGGAACAAGTCTATTGTGCATCCCTCAATTTATGCTACTGGTTGAATCACATCGCTTAACTGTAAAACCCGCCAACTCCAAAAACCAATGCATATCAACTTCTCAGGTGGGTTGGGAGGTAGCTTCATCCGACCTGGCATCTTTGACCCCATTGACTAGCTGAGCCAACACGTCGATTGAGGGGTTGAGTAGGGGTGCATTTAACCATTTACCACTTTTAAGATGTGTCATTCACAATGTATGACATGTGGGCCCTCATGTGTCTATGACATGTGGGGTCTAGTGGCAAATCTTTAATTGTCACTTGTAAGAGTGGTAAATAGTTAAATATGTTTGTGTTCTTCGCAAGCTGAATCCCCAACCACACCATAAAAACACTAGCCCTCGACACATTGGCGACAACAAAGGTGCAGGTTGCGGGGATGGCGACGTGGCGGCAACATGGGGAGCGGTGTGTCAGCGATGGCTAGTTCGAGGAGCTACTCGTCATTGGCGAGTTCCCATTGGCCATCTGCTTCTCCCATGTTGTATAGGGTTGGGCCATTTGATTACCAGCCGACCGTGATGTGCAAGTGTGGCAGCAAGGCTGCGTGGTGGATCTTGTGGAGCATCGAAAACCCTAGGCATCGGTACTTCAAATGTCACAATGTCTGGGTAAGTTGCCTATTTGGTCACATTTGGTGGGTTGATTTGGATCGGGGAGTGAAGTATGTGGTTGGGGATTGTAGGATTGTAGGATCGAGATGTCGACTAGAGGGGGGTGAATAGGCGATTTAAAAACTAAAAGACACCTAATCAAAACTAAACTAAGTTGCTAGGCTTGGTGAGGGTTAAGTCTAACTAAGCAACTAAGTTATGTTTTGCAAACCTAGGGTGATAGTGACTCAATTAATTCTCTAGGAAAGTAAATCACACTCCTATGTCAAAGTTTTGCAATCCTAGGGTGATATGATCTCAAGTATGTCTCTAGGAATGTAAATTACACAAATGTAAATGCGACAATCAAATGAGACAAGGAGACAAGAGATTTTTCACCGAGGTTCGGAAACTCGCCGGTTTCCTACTCCCCGTTGAGGCGAGCCCAACTCCACCACTTAACCACGAAGCCACCGCACGCCCCCTTCGTAAAGGGGTGGGCAAGGCGGGAGCCAGCCCACGGACAGGACTACCCAAGCCTCGATCACTCGAGGTAGTTCTTCCTTCACTCCGAAGGTGGTGAACTCCAAACAACTCACAAACCGGCACCGGGCCTCCTCCACAATCTTCTCGGAGAGGTCACAGGGCAACTTCTCCACAAGCCGTCTAGGAGGCGGCAACCTCCAAGAGTAACATGATCAATCAAGTGCCACACTAGCTCTACAATGAAGCAATGCACTTGACTCTTGGCTAATCAACCCTCAAACACACTAGATGGATGAACACAAAGCTCAAGTGGGTGTGTGAGAGATGCAAGGGGTGTATGCAATGAATTGGGTACCAAGAGAGGCCCGTTGCTGCTGGAGGGGGAGTATTTATACTCTCACCAACCAAAACTAGCCGTTGGGGGCGAAATCCCCCAACTCTGTGTGTTGCCGGTCTGACCGGAGGTATGTGGCCGGTCAGACCGTGCTACTCTGCAACGGCTAGAAAACTAGCCATTGTAGCCCTGTCAGAGAGCCCCATTGGCTTGGCTGGTCAGACCACAGTTGATTGGCCGGTCAGACCAGCCTCGGCTCAGTCAGACCGCCATCAGCTCGGTCTGACCGAATACGGCTCCGTCGGCTCTGTATTGGCCACCCCGAGCAACACCATCCCGGCCTCCAGGGGGCCGGTCTGACCGCACAAGTGCCGCCGGTCCCGCCGGTCAGACCGGCCTTATGCACCGGTCAGACCGCCGACTTGGGGCCGGCCAGGGCACGCCCGTCAGACCGCCACTGCCCCTGGTCAGGCCGAGACAATGAATACAAAGTGGTTGTGTGTGTTGTGAAATGTGAGCACAAGTCTAAATGCATAATGACCTAATGTGGCAATTAAAATCATATCTTTGCTAGATCATTACCCCTCTTAATAGTACGGCAAACCTATAAATAAACTAGCACAATTTTGATCGCCCAACGCCTCGATCAATTTAAAATGAAAACACTAGTTTACCGTCTTCTCTTCCTTTTGCTTTGCGCCGTCAATTTTAATCCATCGATAATCATCCATGCGCACACATGATGTGAACCTAACTTAAATGTATATAGCTCAAAGACAACGGTTAGTCCACAATTAGTGCTTGTTATTAATTACCAAAACTAACAACAGGGGCCTAGATGCTTCAAAGATGCAATTTCTTTTCTTGGTTTGATGGGCCAACAACCACTTATATGTGAGATTTGTTGAATGACTTGCGAGATTTGGTTTGGTCAATGAGCAAGAAGAATGAAGATCTGGTTTTGGCTGTTCAAGAAGAGAGGTTGAATGCAGAGGAGAAGAGCAGAGAGCTTGATGCTGCCAGGCAATAGTTGGAGTCAGTCAAAGCCTTGGGTTGTGAGAATGCAGAGAAAATTAGTACGTAAACACTAGGCTAGAGAATGAGAGATTTTATCTCTCGATTGTTGTCATATTCTGTGTTCTTGTCGTATCTGTGATGGTATCAAGAATGTGAACTGCACGTTGTAGTATTTGCAGCTACAACTTGCATTATGAATGCAATGAGTATTTGGCAAGAATATGTTACAAACTGTGCTAGTTGATTTTTTTTATATGGCATGACATAATTTTGATTCATTTACAGCAGAATATGTGTTTGTCTGTCATAACAAGTGGGTAGCACAATTGGCTTCACATAACAATCGACAGGGATAAATTCAATCTCAGGAAAGAATAGTTGACACAATTTGGATCACACAAGTCTGAAAATCTTTATAGCAGAATAAGTCATAATTAGGTTCACTTAACCAGCATAGCAGCACATAATTAGGTTCACTTAACCAGCATAGCAACAATTGGGCATAGTGTGAGGCAATATAAAGCCTTCACACATCAGTTTGGCAACTAGAGTTACCTAGCACAAAAGCCACATTTGGCAACAGTCATTACATGGCACAACCACGGATGCAAGCGGGCTTTTTTTGCCCACTTATCCTACTTCTACTTCATTTTTTCTTCTAAATTTTGTACTACCATGTGAAAAATAAACTAGCAAACGGGTTTTTATGTGGATAGCGGGACTACCCACTTGAATCCCTAGACACAACAGTCATTACACAACTATCATTACATCACACATCACAATTAGATAGATTTAGCTATCATTACATCACAACTTTGTAGACTCCCATGAAGGAGGAAGAAGAACTGCACTAGGAGTTGGTTTCTTTGGCTTCATCTTTGTTGGTTCTTGTGCTGAAACATTGACAATAGCTTTGCTAGAGTTGTGCCTCACTGATGCACTTGAGAAACCCTGTGAATATGGACATGCTGTCCAGGTTTGTAGTATTAAAATATGTCACATCCTGTATCATATTAACTTATCTTGGAAGAGCTGTCCGGATTCATTGTACAATGATATGTCACATTTGAGTTGAAAATGTTATAGTTCAGGTTGAAATTTTCACATTTGAGTTTAAAGTTTTTGTACTTTAGGTTAAAAAGTTTGAAATATTTTGGGTAGAATACTTTAAAATTTTGAATTGAAAAATTAAAATTTAGAGTTGAAAGCTTACTCACTTTTAAAATTTGAAATAAATCTATATTGAAAAAGTATCTATCATAAAATTTTACTTTCAAATACCAGATTTAGATAACTTTCCATCTCTCCTAGATCAATTATAATATGAAAAAGAATGCCTATACCTTCTTCGACCAATAAGACCCATTGAGTAGGGCGCACCTGCGCAACCACACGCACGTGTGCTTAGTTACATCGCCAGCTTAGCTGCGCTAATTAGTTTATTGTATTCTAACAACTTTTCATGCATCATGCATTTCGAAGGTAAAATTTACATGACCCAAAAAATAATGGTCAACATGCATACCAATAATTACTTGGCATATAACCTAAGTATTATGTGAGCAGAGTTTCACAAAATGGTACCATTGACCAATTATTCATCGATACACTATACCAATAAATTCTAAAACTAAATCTTAAATTTATAAAAAAATCTTTGATCCATTGTATAAAAGTTTTAACCATATAAGATAACCATTTTTTTTAAAAAAAAATTGCTACTACGTTAGCAAAGTTAACTTTGGAATATGACCATAGTACCCAAGTTATATAAGCCGCCCATGCCAATACTATGAAAAATAATACTATGAATCTGGACGAATATGTCATATCCGGTACTACAATTTTTTTTATGGAACGGAGGATTATGTTGTTTCATGTAATTTCGAGCCTATAATAATCTTTGATTCTCTGAAATTTAATAATTTTTTTTTAAAAAAAAGGAAAAGGAAAGACGAAGAAGAAGAACTGTTGGCACGTGTGCGCTACCGAACTCCCGAAGCCGATAAGCCGCCCGCCTCCTCTCCTTCTCGTCGCCGTCGCCGGCGCCGGCTCAGCGCCTCCGCCCTCTCCCCCCACGCCGCCGCCTCCCCCTTCACCCTCTACCCCCACCGCGGGCGCCTCCCCTCCCACTGCCGCCGCCTCCTCCTGCTCCTCCTCCTCCACGTCACCGACGCCGGAGCTTCTTCGATCCATGGCAACGGCCATTTCCGTCGGCGTCGCAGTGCCAGCCGCCAGCAGGAGGCGCGAGGATGGGGCAGGGCCGCCGCTGCTTCTGCGGCGGCGGTGCCTCGTGGAAGGACAAGGTCTGGGCATCTCTATGTCCTGCTCCCTTCCTCCTCTTCTCTCACGCCCCACTAGAGTAATAATCAGGGATCTTGTGCTCGAACGCTTCTTGCATGGTTGATGATCAGGCCAGTCAGTCAATGTGGCTCAATCAAACATATGTGGCATCCTTACTAGTACAGTAATCTAGGTCTTGTTTAGATTGTAGCCAAAATAAACTTTACCAATTTTTGGCAATTTGGCAATACTGCCAAGTTTTGGCAGGGTTTCTTATGTATTTACCAGAGTTTGGTAAAAAAACTAAATAGATGCACATTTTTGACAACTTTACCAAAAAATGTTATGGTTTGAAATGACATCAATCTAAACAACCCCTAGTCTAATTTCAGATAGTGTCATGGAGGAAGGGCCAAAATGTTTCAGATAGTGCCATAGTGGCATAGAGAAACCCAAAATTATGGGCGTTGCATTCATAATAAATGTAAATGTTTAGCCTATGATAAGTTTTAGACCCCAATTGTTGTTTCAAGCTAGCATCAGGTTTTGCCGATTTCAGGTTATCGATCTCCTAAGTTGTGTAGGATGGAAAAATTAGATAGGTTCTTTATTGTATGCACAGGAGAGATAATTTGGTGGGCTTTGGATTACTATGCCATTGCAAATTCCAAGATAAATAAATTATGTTTGTTCTCATTGACCAGACAGCAAGATCTCGTCCACAATTAGTCAATTACACATGGATCACATCTCATCCTAGGCGCTGCCATGAATTCCAGCTTGCTTGTTGTTTCCTGTCACCACATGGATCTGAAATAGTAAGCACAGATGGAATTTGAATGCGACATTGAGGAGTGTGGCACAAAAAGCATCAAGGAGATGTTTTTGTTTTCTGTAAATATAAATACCATGTTTTCTGGGATTGTTTACTCATCAAATTCTGTCAACCTTTTGAAAAAAAAAACAATTCTTGTCCATGTCTCAGATCAAATACAAGTATCATTGTTTCTTTGTGAAACTCGTTGATGAAGTTGATCGTATTGTTTGTTATGGATTCCAACTCTACACATTCATCCGCAATTCATTTTAATGTCAAAGGAGCCTTAGATTCATGCCACCACCTAAAACCATCTTCCCTTGCTACTTTCAGGCATAATGACTCCATTTTGTAAGATTTCTTGTTTGAATTTGGACAGGCATCGTTATACTATTTTGATTGCATAGTTTTATTTTAACAGTGAGATGTAGGTTACCATGGTTGAGACCAATACGGCACAATGTTAGAGTGCAGACATCCAATGTAAATGTTGGAGCTGGAAGCTATGAAGGTGGCGAAGCAGGTAGCCATGGGGAACATTTGGATAGTTCTGCTACCAGAGATTCAAACAAACCGTGAGTTCCTATACTCTACTATGTTTAACTCAATCTTCATCCCAATCTCTTCTAAATAGCATTAAACTGCACATTGGCTTTGGTTGGCAGAACAAAACCACCTTCAGGATCTCGTTACCCTCAATCCATTGCTGCAGTGCTACTTCTATGTGCTCTGGCATCCGCTTTTATTGTTTTCTTTAAAGGACAACCATCTGCAGTTGTAGCGATGCTTGCAAAGTCAGGTTTCACGGCAGCATTTACACTGATTTTTGTATCTGAGATTGGGGATAAGGTATACAGTCCATTAAAGTTGACTTTTTCTCTTGCCTTATCCTTCTAGATGCATTACAGATGCTCTTTACCTTCTTTTGACTAATTATGAAGTCTGGATTCTATGGTTCTTAGAGTTTTCATTCTGATGCTCCATTTCTGAAATAAATAGGTCATCCACATTTGCTATGTCCAACCAAATGTCTATAGTTTCATTTCTTTCCCATGCTACATCACAGTATTTATTGTTGCAATTTGATAGATGATGAGACCTTCTTGTTGTTTTCTATACATGAAGCTAAGCAGTAAGTAGTTTTATGTACTTTTATGCTCCTAAATTATGATATTTCAAGGCTTTACAACTTGAGTGTCAACTCAGTCAAATTGGATTTGTATTATCTTCATAGTGAATTACTCATTTACTGTTTTGGAGTCATACCTACTGTAGATCCTATTTTTCTCCTTGTATTACTATCATTTAGTTGTAGCTACATGATCTTCAGTGTTCTCCTAGCTTGGAGCTATGTTCAAGAATTGTTTTTTTTTACCATTCTGTAAAGCTTATGCTATATGCTTAATATGTTTGGGCAAGCAAAGAAATTTTGTTGCGCTGACCCTTCTTTTGTTGCAGACATTTTTCATTGCTGCACTTCTTGCGATGCAATATCAGAGAGCATTGGTACGTTTGGGCATGGTGATTTAGATCTGTCTCAAGTTATTGTCCAATTATTTGAGTTGTTTCTTTTCTCTTCACAGTGTTGCTCTCTTCTTTTAATATGTTCTTCCATGTAAAAAACGATTAATAATAAAATGTCACTACCGAACTAAAAGATACAACCTCAAAATGATGGTTTTGTCATTTAAGAAAAACTAAAGACTTGTTTTCTACCTATAACTGAATTATATTAAGATTCTCCGCCGGGCAACTGAATTATATTAAGGGTTTAGAGAAATATATTTTTCCCTCAATTTTCATTTTTATTTTAGAGAATGTCTCCCTTTGGCTAGTCACTCTAACATTTATGTGCCTGTGTAATTTTGTGAACAGGTTTTACTTGGGTCAATGGCTGCTCTTTCCCTAATGACTATTGTGAGTGTTATAATTGGAAGGATTTTTCAGTCTGTACCAGCACAATTTCAAACAAGTATAAACTACTATGCTTTCTCTGGCAATATCTCTATGTAATTTCTAGTACTCATATTTGGCATTCTTTCTGCACTTGGGTTTACTTTTTGGAAGTTTCCATAAGTATCTCTGATATCCTAATGGACATACTTGTTGATACATGATTATTATTATTTTTTTTTGCAGCACTACCTATAGGAGAGTATGCTGCGATTGCTCTCCTGGCATTTTTTGGTTTCAAGTCAATAAAAGATGCATGGCAACTTCCAGATAATGCAAATGGAAACCTTCAGGGAAACTCTGAATCTGGGGAGCTGGCTGAGGCTGAGGAGCTTGTCAAGGAGAAGGTTGTGCTTTTTCAGAATGTTGATTCTGTGAAGAGTTTTTGTCAAATCATATAAATGTTTTGCTTTTGCATTTACTTTCTGCAAAGCTGGAAGCATGCAGTAGCCAACTAAATATTTGGAACATTTGCATCTGCTGCTCTTGAGAATTTATTAAAACCATCTTCTTCTTTTCTTTTTTTTTTTTTTGGGGGGGGGGTGGCAAAACTTAAGTATCAAAATAAGTTTTCTGCTCTTCACCTTTTTTTTTTTTAACTGAAGGTTGTTTCTACTTTGTGGCAGGTGGCTAAAAAGTTGACTAGTCCTCTTGAGGTCCTTTGGAAGTCTTTCAGCCTTGTTTTCTTTGCAGTAAGTTGATTCCCATGTACAATAAGGCTTTGACTAACATTGCTGTACTAATGTATCATTTATGCCATACAAAAGCATAATCATACGAAAGTACTCCGAATATGAATCTAATAACATAAATTTTGTGTCACAAAAATTATGTTCTAATAGGTTATTGGTTGGTCAAAGTCTTGTTTGAACGAAACAAAATAGCTGTTCTATTTTTTAACAAAGGGCGTAGTGAACTAACACCTTATTGCTCACCAAATGATTTTTACTGGCAGGAATGGGGAGATCGCTCTATGCTGGCTACAATTGCGTTAGGTGCTGCTCAGGTTTGTTTTGGACTTGGCAACAGAATGCATATGTATAATTTAGTTTAGATTTGTATTACCATAAAAAAAACATGTCTTTGTTTTTGTAGTCTCCTTTTGGTGTCGCAAGCGGAGCCATAGCTGGACACTTGGTTGCAACTTTCCTTGCAATTGTTGGGGGAGCATTCCTTGCCAACTACCTATCTGAGAAGCTGGTAAAAGTTTTTTGTACAATTAACTTGGTTTCTTGTTTTGGTTTAATAGTTAATGCTCTCGGTATTATTGTGTTTTAGGTTTTTGGGTATTTCACTTACATGAATGTACAATTTTCCAGGTTGGCCTGATAGGAGGAGTACTTTTTTTGCTGTTTGCTGTTGCCACATTTTTTGGTGTATTCTAATATCTGAAGAATTTGTAGCTTGTAAAGGATTCTGTAGGTCAATTTAATCCTATTTTAAGGTTTTAAGGGCAAAACTGGGCCTTGTCCTTGTTGTTTGTAACTAGTAGGCATTATCCTCCTTTTCAGGAGCGATTCCTTTACTATTGGAAAACAAATTGACGTGAACACAATCAACACACACGCAAGCTGAGCTGCAGCACGCAAACTATCAGCTATATGCCCTAGAGAGACGAATTGTATCATATACTATAGAGTATATACTATGTTTATAATGAAATGAATAAAGTATTATTCTGTTTTGTGAAATAGATAACTTATTATTAATTTATAAGAATGTGACTTAATCGTAGGACTCTTTATTTGATACATTATTATTTCTAAATGATCTATGATCCGCTGGACAGGGCTAATCTGACTGACTCTCGTCCCATTGCTTCGCTTGTTAAGTGGTAACGATATATGATCTCTTGCTTTCATGGTTTCCTACCGTGGATTTTTTTTTTGTCTAGCTTACCCATAGTCCTACACAAACTACACATACAAATGTAAAGTACTAACAAACTGAAAACTCTTCTTTTATGGAGCTCTTGCGAACCTCCTAGCACCACGAAAATCCCCAACCTTTATGTCCCTCTTTGTGATTTCGGTGGCTCACCGTCACGTGATGGGAGAATGATGGATAGGATTTCTTTGGTCCCTAGTAGGGGCAGGCTAGTTGGGTTAAACCTGTACTTCTGTTCATTTCGTTCTTCTTCCTTTTCCTTTCTTTATGCAACTCAAGAGGTTACGGGCATTTGGCTATTCTTGTCATGACTTGATAGGCATGCAGGACTTCATGGACGGTGGTTGTTGGGTTCTCCATCAACGCCTACCGTTGGGAGTTCAGCTGATTTTCTTGGGGTTGAGGACTTGTCCAGTTGTCCTCTATCCAAACGAAAAGAAGGTCATGACGATCGCTCAATTCTTCTCCTACAAGCTTCCCGCATCGGTGATGGTTTCTTTTTCGTTTCCAGTGAGAGATATATAAGATATGACTGATATTATCTTTGCTTGCCAAAACTCCTTCAACCTCCCATTCTTGGAAGCCCCATACATGTTCGAGCCTAGGCATCATCTTCCGAAAGTCCTACTGAGCGATTGATCGCTGGCGGCGATCGTTTTTGTTTTTTTTCTTTTTCTCTTTTATTAAGTTTATACGCATAAAGTTTACACATCTAAAGTTTATCCACCTAAAGTTTGTAGAGCGAATTATTATAAGTCAAAAGTTTATATACCCAATTCAAATTTGAATTTGAATTCAATTTTTTTATATATATAGTATTTCTATATATCTAAAGTTTATACACCTAAAGTTTATAGATTCAAAGTTTATAAGTCAAAAGTTTATGTACCCTATTCAAATTTGAATTTGAATTATATCTGATTCAAATTTGAATTTGAATTCAAATATTTTTTATATATAGTATTTCTATACATTTAAAGTTTATAGACCCAAAGTTTATAAGTCAAAAGTTTACATACCCGATTCAAATTTGATTTTGAATTCAAATATTAGTTTATAGACCCAAAGTTTATAAGTCAAAAGTTTACGTACCCGTTTCCAATTTGAATTTGAATTCAATTTTTTTTTATATATAATATTTCTATACATAAATTTTTCCAACTTTATTTTTTTTAAAAAAAATTATGGTGTAGTAGGAAGAGAAGAAGGGGAGGGAGGAAGGGGGGAGAGGAGTGTACAGTGAGATGGGGATCGATCGCCCATTAGCCGTCCCCATCATCTTCTACAGCTCAACACTAGTTCTCTTTCCTATTAGATTTGGCCGAGACAAGAACTTGATGGTCTTTTCTTTTTCTTTTTAGCTCTTCTTTCATATTCCTATTCTCAAAATGTAATTTGCCCAACCTTCTGGGCGTTCTTTACAAAATTCGTTCAACTCTCAATTGCTGAGGCAGCTGGTTAACTTATGATTGGTACTCCATCCAAAAAATGTAGTTATTTTCTAGCTACGAATCTGACAAACTAGCTATGCATGCATTCATTGGGCTACTACCTGTGTTCTATCGATAGAATTTTATGACATAAGAAAGACAATAACCGATGCTTATAAGTTTCGCTCTTTGCTGTTGAGGCCTAGCAAGAATGATGCGAGGAACATGCACCATAATTTGCATAGGTTGGTTTTTCTAACCGAATCATATTTTTACATTGGGCCTATTTGGTAGGTGATGCTAAAACGTTGTTGTGATTGTAGTCAGCAAGATATAAACCACCGTTACTGGCTTGTAGTTATAGCCCACACAGCTGTAGCAAAAGGATAACGAAATAGACCTATTATGTATTCACAATTTTTTTCAATTTGCCTCTTCATAACTGAGACACAACATGATAGTGAGATGTTGTATAAAACATTTACAAGATTGTGTATTCTTCATGGACTTAGGAGAATGCGAAGCTCTACTCTCTCTTTTTTTTCTGGCAACCCAAACATTTTCTACCATCGTCGTCGTCGACTAAGGACATTTAATTATTTGCCACTTTTAAGGTGTGGCAATTAAGAATTTGTCACTCGCTGCCTATGACATGTGGGCCCTTATGTGTCTATGACATAGAGTCAAGTAACAAATCGTTTAGAACCACTCGTAAGAGTGGCAAATCTGTAGAATTTATAGTTTTTGGGAGGGGCATCTCAGGTGCTACAGGCGAATAGTACCCAGGAGTCTCCAGGTCTATCCGATGCGATATACAGGAAAATTCTATCCGCCTCCGCTCTACAGTGCAACAATACCAGTTGTGGTGCCGTCGCCGTGTGGTCTTCCGCTATGGGCCCCACAAATCCATGGGTCTCTTCCGCTCCCTTCAGCTTCTCCCCTTTCCTCTCCGCCGCCGCCTCCCAATCTCTCACCCTCTTCCTTTCCCTCGGCGCGCGCTGAAATTGCCACCGCCTGGGTGAATTGGCTCTTGCCGGTGTCCGCAGGCCTCTCCTTCCATGTTGTCCTCGGCGAAATCGCTGGCTGCCGAAGTTCTCACCGCATCGTCTCCCCCAAAATCGCCGTCCACCAACTTAGGCCCTGTTTGGGGGAGCTTGTCCCAGCTACAGCTTTTCTCAAAAGCTGCTTCTGCTAGAAGCTGCCCCAAACAGTCCACAGCTTCTGAGAATCTGTAGTTACAGATTCTGAAAAATAAATTAACTAAGAAGCCAGAAACTGAAGAAGCTGAGTTTCAGAGCTTTTCTAGATTCTCAGAAGCTGGCTACCCAGCAGCTGCTTCTCAGAATCTAAAGCTCCCCTCAAACAGACCCTAGCCGGGCTGCCGGCAAGGCGGCAACCAGGTCATTACCCGGCGTGGATGCTATAGCCCCTGTGTACGTCCATCGGTCCATCACAGGGGCGGGGAGTCCTTGGACCACCTGGATTTTGGCCCGGCCCAAACAAAAAAAAAAGCCCACCACAGGCGCTAGGGTTAGGACGACAGAGGAGAGGCGCACCACCGCGCCCGGACGGCCGCCGCTCCGCTTGTGTCTCATCTCCGCCGCCCCTCGCCTCCTCGTCCTCTCACTCTGCGGCTGCGGCAGGCGCCAGTAGGCCCGGCGCGCGGCCGCCCCTCACGGCGGCGACGGCGCACCGGAGTCGGGTCCCTCTCCCTCCTGCTCGACGAGTCCTGAGTAGACGGCACGGCTCTGCTCCGGCCTCCAGTGCGCACTCCATCACCATTGCTTCATTCTTGCCTTCTCTGTGTCTGCTTCAAGGGCTCAAGGCTAATGTTTTTTTTTTTAACTTTTTACCGTGTCGGCATGGTTTAGATCAGAAAATTATGCATTTTTTATTAGGGGTTCTTTACATTAATTACTAGAAAATTAGCGCGTCAATTTATAGCCCGTGTATATTATTTTGTGCTATTAAGTAGTGCAAATTTCATAACATTTTATATAAATTAGTTGAATTTCCATGAAACTTATGTAAAATCATACTACATTCTAAGTTGTAAAAATTTGCACAATTATTAGGAGAAAATGATTTTTGTTATGTTCATTCTTGCTACTAATTGTTTTACCTTTTATAAAAATATAGGATATCAACTATGTTCAATTACCGTTTCCAATTTCAACCTGCATACTTATTTGAACATTTCTCATCAACTTTTGTAAATAGTAAATTTTGTTTTAGCAGAAAATATGTTCATCACCTTTTATATTCGTATTTTTATAATTCACATGCCTTTTTATACATTTTTTTATTAAAATATACAATAATAACATGGTATATATACTTGCATTTATTTCCTCTATAAAATATAGTAGACCGTACTTTACCTTATCGAAATATAGGATATATTGTCTTTTAAAGTGATATTAGCCTTGAATTTTAGTTGTTAATTTTTTTATAATGTATTAGCAATAACTACAAAATTAATTTAAATAATATTACAACTTGTTCCTTGAAAATATTTCTTGGATTAGCCCAAACCTAACAAGCCTAATAAGGCTGCGGGCTAGATCTTCTATCCAAACACATGGGCTAATTTTAAGCATCGCCATTGCTGTCCTTGCAGTTGTAGAGGCTCGTGCTCCGCTTGATTCCCCGCTCCTCTTTCCGGCCATCCCGCCGCCCCTTCCTGGCCTCCTCCTCCTCTCGCCGCCGGCTAGAAGCGCCGATAGCTGCCGTCCTCCGCCGCTTCCTGCTCCCGTTGCGTTCGTACCATCGTCTTACTCCTGCGTATGCTTGTTCCGGCCGTTCGGGACACCATGCGCACCACGTGTTTGCGGGATTGCCTAGCCGAGCTGCTCCGCTGCGGGGGCCAGCGCCAGGGCCAGGGCCGATTCTGCTGCCCCGCACAGTTATCTCTCGCCCGGGGGATGACGCAGAGCCGCAGCGTGAGGCAACGGAGCAAGAAGAAGCGGGTGCACGCGCTCGAGGTGGCCACGGAGCGGTGGAAGGTACTCACCAAGGTGCTCGCCGTCATCGACACGCTCAAGAAGGAGGAGGAGCACGTCACCCCGCTCAAGCGCCTTGAGATCCTGCGCTCACAGCTCGGGCTCACCAAGCCCAACAAGGTGGCCCACTTCGTGCGCCGCTCGCCGCAGCTCTTCGAGGTCTGCCGCGACAGCCGAGGCGTCATGTGGGCGGGCCTCTCGCCGCAGGCCGAGGCGCTCGTCGAGGAGGAGGCACGCCTGCTGGAGGATCACTCACGCACGGCCGCTGAGTACGTCACCAGGCTGCTGATGATTTCGGTGGACCGTCGTCTGGCCATCGACAAGATTGCACATTTCAGGCGCGACATGGGGCTTCCTCATGATTTCAAGACACGATGGGTTCACATGTTCCCTGAGCAGTTCAGGGTGGTCAGGTTGGAGGACGGCGATTACCTGGAGCTTGTCTCTTGGAATCCAAACTGGGCAGTCACCGAGCTCGAGAAAAAGACGGCAGCATTGACTGGTGATGCAAATGCTAATGACATTGCCAGTCCACCAGGAGAGCTCTCACTATCATTCCCCATGAAGTTCCCACCAAATTTTACAAGTTACTACAAATTCCGCGGAAAAGTTCATCATTATGTGAAAAAAGGCAATACTGAGCAGTTTCAGAAGACAACATACCTATCTCCTTATGCAGAACCAGGAGGATTGACTCCTGGCTCGCCGGAGTTTGACAAGAGGGCAGTTGCAGTGATGCATGAGATACTGAACTTCACGTTGGAAAAGAGGCTGGTGACTGATCACCTCACACATTTCCGTCGTGAGTTTGTTATGCCGCAGAAGTTGATGAGACTGCTTCTGAAGCATTATGGCATCTTTTATGTCTCTGAGAGGGGGAAGCGGTTTAGCGTATTCTTGACGGAGTCTTATGATGGGACAGAATTAATAGAGAAGTGCCCATTGGTGAGGTGGAAGGAAAAAGTCCTTCAACTTACCAGCTATAGAGGGAGGATCAAGAATCTTGGTAAATTTGCCGAGTTGTCTGATTCAGAGGACTATTTGTTTGGTAATGATGATAGTAGCGGTGCTACTGATTCTATATTGGATGTCAAAAGTGAAGATTCGGATGATATCATGGATGATGGCGCTCTTGCAGATGATACTGAGATGGATGTAGGGGATCTAAGTGATTGTTGCATAGAGTGAATAAGTGACATCGATTAATTTAAAGAGCAGTTTTTTATTTTTGTTCCCTAACGATCAAGCTCCAAAAGTCTATTCTTGTGATCCTAGGGCAATGGTTATATTCTGTTACTCCCTCGCTCATGGCATATTTGGATTCTTTATATTAACCTAGGGCTTAAAAACTGTTGCTGATTGGATATGTCATGTTTGCTTATTGCTAAAAACCTAAACCATGCGTACTTTATGTTATTCACAGAAGATGATATTTACAAACAATCCAAGCAAGATTTGTTTTAACAGTAATCGCTGTCTGAAGTCAGTTTTCTAGCCTTCCAGTTGGTGATGGATTCAATATTCAGATAAGTACATCGCTACTATTTGTCATCGGCTATTCGAAAGCTTTATTTACACATAGTTAACTGTGTGCTGTAAGAAGGGAATATTTTTGTTATGGTGTCATAATAAGACTTTCAAAAGGGTTTTGAAGCAGCTGAACAGCCGGCCAACGTGGAAGTGTGGAACTTGAACTCTAGTGCTCGGTAAGAAATTCTATTTGGAGCATTTCTAGAGACTCAAAAGAAAACATACTGTAGTACATAATTTTATTGACAGAGAGATTTTGTAGATGTTGCCACGTTTTTTTGTAAACTTGGTCAAATTTGACTCTAAGACAAACCCAAATTGCGTTGTATTATGGAATGGAGGGAGTAGTTACTCCAGTAAATTAGTAATTTGCTCTAGGTGTTATTAGTTTTCATATGTGCTTTATCAAGTGTTCATTGTGACTGCTGTTTTTTTTAAAGAAAAGAATATTCTGTAGCCCATTAGATGTGTTTCAGGAGTAACTGGATTGTCTATGTTTGTCTTGTTCTTTATAAGGTCTAAGTTTTTTACCGAGGTAAAAAAAAGGATAAAGTACAAGTCTTCTAAATGGTGTATATTAAGTGATAATACCTGATAATGCTCTGTTTTGTTTTCCTGCTAACATAACCCATTCTTACATTGGCCAGCAATTTTACTGACGACTTTAAAATAGTGTCAGAATTTTGAACATACTGTATGTCTGTACTGCTCATTTCTTGCCAAAAACTTGAAAAATCTAGCAACTTGTGTATATGATGAAACTAGGTCCCAGTTACATTCATTTACGTATTATTTGGTGGTGGTGGTGGTGCTGTATGCAGTAGAAAAGAAATCTACTACTCCATCCGTCCTATTTTAAGTGCAACCATGAGTTTCCGTGTCCAACCTTGATCGTCTGTCTTATTTGATTTTTTTTATAATTAGTATTTTTATTGTTATGAGATGATAAAACATGAATAGTACTTTACGCGTGACTTACGTTTTAAATTTTTTTTCAAAAAAATTTCAAATAAGACGGACGATCAAAGTTGGGCACGGAAAATCATGGCTGCACTTAAATTGGGACGGAGGGAGTATCTACCTGGTCATCTTTTGATAACAACATTAAGGACGAATAATATTCCTTGCAGCATGTACTCTATTTTTTAATATATTGTTTTAGAATATTTTACTAGAGGGCATATTGTTTATTTATCTTAACACTAGCTTCGAGATGACAAATTGCTCTAGAATGCATTCTGCTTATTTCCACCGATGATTTACAGATTTAACATGAAAAATTCGTTCCTGTTCACAAACAGTTAATATTTCACTTGAGCGTTCAGTGACCAAAAAGTGACCAGTCTATTGGGAGATCCATCACCTCTGCTACAAACATGCTCACATAGCGATCAGAGTAAGGGCTTAAGGCCGTGTTTAGTTCTCCAAAATTCTCAACTTTTCATGACATCACATCAAAAACTTTCCTACACACATAAACTATCAACTTTTTCTCTAAACTACCAATTTTTCCACCATCTATAACATAGCCTAATGCTACCACATGGGGGCATGGTGTCACATTTATTTCCTGGATGGTTGCAACCATGAATGTTCTTACTGCACTGTAGATCTCCCATACAGCCAACCGGCCACATGAGATTCTCTCATTTTTTGGTCGAAAAATATGGGATGCTCATTTGGACGGAGCCATGTTCCTTATTTAAGGCTTAACACGGCCATGCATTATGACTAACCTAACCACCGATATACATACTATTGCAGGTTTATCAGATTGGCCAGTGGGACATCATCGGCACAATCCATATATTCTCTCATTGTTCAGATTCGATACTTCATGCTATGGTGGCCATCCCTCATACGAATGATCATCTTTGCATGGTTATATTATCAAGATAATGAAGAAGTGTTTTATTTCTCTACTTCCTGCATCTTGGTGCATATACAAGACAAAAGGTCCAGCATTCTTTTTCATTAAAACAAATCTCAGGTTTAGCACTTATTTTTCAAACCATTTTCTTAGCTTAGCATTTTGCCTTTTGATCTATCATCAAGTCAATTCTTCTCTCCGTTGTGACTGTGACAGCACGGCCATCATGGCTTAACATTTGCCGTGCCAATTTAAAGCAGGCTGGAAGTAGTTGAAGGCCATTGCCAGAAATTGCTGATCAAACCATTAATTTTGTCTATATCATTCTCGTTATCATAAGCAAGTCGCACTAGTATTACTTGGAAGCATGAGATCCTTGCACCGTGCACAGTATGATATATAAGGAAGGTTACACGTGGGCCGTCTACTTGTTGTTTGTTTACTCTTTTTAAAATATCAATTTTGAGTGACTAAGATTGCTCCCATAGATTCCCATACCAATTTATAAGGTTGCCCCATTTCTTATCTTCCTCTCCTTCCAATGGTTGCCACCGCCAGCATTGCCTCTCCCTCCACTTGGCAGTGTTGCGAGGTGCTCCGCCCATCTTTTTAGGACATCCACACAAGGGCATGCTCTATATGGTGAATGGGCGAGTGTCCTCGCCTTTCCACGTTGAAGGTAGAGCCATCATCTTGGGTGGAGCCATGCCTAGCCTCGTAGAGAAAGGGCCTGGTCGGTACAGCTCCAACTCCTAAATATTGCTCCAGGAGTTGAGTCTGGAGTGGAGTTGTAGAGCTGTCTAGACCCAGCTTCACAACTCTAGTATATTTTGTGAGAGAGCTCCACCCAACTCCACTCCCAGTTTTGGTGGAGCTGAAACTGTTTGGCTGAGCTCCAGCCAAACAGGCCCAAAAAATGGTTTCAAGTGAGAGTAGATGGTCCACGAAGAGATTTGGTAGTTTAGAGGGTCAAAAGGAGAGGTGACGGAGAAAAGATGGGTGGCACACGGAGATCTAGCACCCAATGAGGAAGGTGATGGCATAGCCAGACAAGTCTGACTATCGCCGCGGACGAGAACAACCATCATGGAGCAGATCATACTAGTGAAGGACTCTAGCGAGTAGATCTATTGTTTAAGCAAATCAAGCCACCACCAATATGTTGTCGTAGAGGACTTGGGAAGTCGCCATACCGGCCGTGGAGGACTTTATCGTCGTTACTGCAGCTAAGAAAGACTTGGGCAATGGTGTCACCATGGTAAGGGGGAGGGAGAGGAGGAGGCTTGGATCCATAGCGACAATTCCATCGACAACATGGAGAGTAGGGACGAAGAACCCATGATTTGGGGAAAGTGATCGCCGGTGGGTGGGCGAGAGGTTATATGAAATTATTTTGCATCTGTTTAGAATAGGTAGCTCTAGCAATAATTGTACATTAAAATAAAATGAGGTCTAGTGTAAAAAAATTGAAAGAGTATACTATTTTATATATAGAGAGAGAGTGTCCTTGGCTCATAGCTGAGAGAACCTCTTCTTATTACTGTGTGGTGTTAGAACCATGAGTGCTTCTTCATGAGTTGGTGCAATTACGACGTACGGTGTATATTTTAGTTGGTGCAAAGGTTAGGAGTTATATTTCCTCTAATTTCATATATACCGTCATTTTGAACATAATCGTAATTACCGAGGAGTTAAATAACTTTGAACTCAACGTTTATCTTACATTGGAAATCAAATTAAGCAACAATAACTACAGGGGTAAACTTATCTAATGCGCTTGCAATCTCTTTTAAGAGCAAGTTTAATAGTAGACTATAAGCAAACAATAAACTTATGTAAATGAGAGAAAATTCAAAAAATGAGAAGAATTGTCTCTCAAATAAGAGCTATTCACACACTTTAAGATGATTCCTATCTTACTATAAAGTTATCCCCCACTAACTCCTTAAGCTTAATATACAAAGATGTCACATCATCATCCACTAACAAGATACCATATTATTATCCACTAACAATTATCACATTTAAACATCTTGCAAATATGTTATATCTTTATAGTTTTTATAATTTAAGAGCTTTTCAAATACAAACATGTTAAATTATCATCATATCTTACTATAAAGTTATCTCCCACTAATTCCTTAAGCTTAGCATGCAAAGATGTCACATCATCATCCACTAATCCACTAATTAACAAGATGCCACATCATCATCCACTAACAATCATCACATTTAAACATCATACAAACATGTTATATCTTTATAGTTTTTATAATTTAAGAGCTTTTCAAATACAAACATATTAAATTATCATCCAACATAATTCACATGTTTCAATGTATATCTTTATTATGTTTTATGATATCCTATATACTTATATAGTTCATCATCACTTAGTGCTTAAATGATTAATCTATGGTCCAAATTATCTTTCTCCATTTTCCTCTAATTAAGTCATATCACATCAATTGTTTTTAGCTTTAAATGATTAATCTACGGTCCAAACTATCTCTCTACTTTTCTTCTTCCATAAAGTCACACCACCTTACTTTTTACGTTTAAATCACCATTCTACATATTATTTAAATTTAAATTATCATAAACCACATTAATTACTTAATCTGATGTTATCTAGCTATCTTATACGTTATTTTTTTATTACCATACTAAATTCCCGTAGCAATGCGCGGGGTTTCACCTAGTACATTAAATGCACAGGTGAGAGATTCAGAGAAAAGAAGAAAATATAGATAACCTTATAGCCTCTCTATTGTATATGTTAACTCTAATATATACTATAAACTCATAGTTAGCTCTATTATTAAACTTGCTCAAACGAAATTTTTACTAAACCTAGAAACACCAGTAAAAAGTAATTTTTCCAGACGGGCCAAAAGTGATTTTCTTGTGCGGACCTCCGGCCCGTCTGCCCCGGAAGGGTCCGTGAAAATCTAAATTTTCCATGCAGGTGGTGCACCCGCATGTGAAAATCGGCTTTTCACGTGCGGGGACGCATGTCGTTCGCATGCGAAAACAAAAATCTGAATAAAAAAAAAGGCAAAAAGCGCACCCACCGCCCACCCTTCGCCGCCGCTTTGTTTCTCCCGCCGCCGCCGGATCAGCGTGGATCCAGGAGGGGATAGTTGCTGTCGCCGCCTTCCCTAAATGTTTGACGCCGTTGATTTTTTTTAAATATGTTTGACCGTTCGTCTTATTCAAAAACTTTTATGAAATGTGTAAAACTATATGTATACATAAAAATATATTTAACAATAAATCAAATGATAGGAAAAGAATTAATAATTACTTAAATTTTTTAAATAAGACGAACGGTCAAACATATTTAAAAAATTCAACAGCGTCGAACATTTTTAGACATTTTTAGGATGGATGGAGGGAGTAGTTAATTATTCCGGGAATACAACCCAGCCAAGCAATCCGGATCGTCAATCCCCAACCAGACGGCTGATGATCCCCCAAACCAGCCACCAAGCTCTTGCTTCTGCCCACACGATGATCGTACCCATTCCCCCCCCCACTGACAGTGGGCCCCACGACCTAGGTTTTTCACCTTCTTCTTCCCCTCTCATCCCCTTCGCGTCGCGTCCTGTCCTCCCAACCCCTTCTTCCCTCCGCCGCTGCCATCGCCGCCTTCCCCCCTCCGAATCGATCGCCGGCCGGCCGCCCGCCCGCCACCGATCCTCCTCCGGTGTCCCGTGCCCCGGCCAGATCCGCGGGATTCGGGGGGTGTAGCGGTAGCCTTCCTCCCGGGTCGGATGCCGCGCGACCTGTCGCGGTCGCCGCCGCCGCGCCGGCGGCGGCGGCGCTCGCCGTCACCGCCGCGGTACCACCGGGGAGTACGCAGGGCGTGCAGGGACCGCAGCCCCAGCCGCGGCAGCAGGTCCCCGTATCGCTCCTCCTATAGGTGATGAATCTCTCATCTCCTCCCCCCTTGCCACACAGTACACACGCGCCAACCGCCGCGCGCGATCTGGCGCGGCGTTCCCCCCCACCCCCCCCCCCCCCCCCGTCTTTAATTTTGTTATTCTCCTCTTCGTATCCTTCCTTGTGTTGTGTTTAGTAAGTAGGATTATTGTGTAGGAAGGACACCTAAAAAAAATGAGAGAGAGAGAGAGATGCTAATCTGATTATTATTACAGTAATTTTGTTGGGCGATGTACTGTAATACAGACTTGTTTAATGGAAATGAAACTTTGATTCTGCTTCTGGCTGTTGTTCGATCTATCATCTTTGGATAGATGGTTTAGCTGATTATTATAAATATAAATATCTAGCGTGCTATGCTATTAGCACACTTAATGTTAGTAAGTGCAGTACTTCGTTAAACCATCAGTTAGTATAATGGAGAAATCTCTGGTTTCTTTTATTTGTTGCGTAGTCTTGAAGTTGATGCGGGCGATAGGAGCTGATTGGGTAGTCTAGATGATGCGTAGGTACCATTTGGAGAACTCCTAAAGATTTATCCAATGAATTCAATCTATTCAGAACTTCCGTTCACTTTCTTTTAGCATGCCATAGTCTCGTAGATTTTAGCCATTCCGTACGATTATGATTGAAGTCAGGAGATCAAAGCAATGATGCATGCCCTGGGTGCACCTGTGCACGCTGTGCTCACTGGCTACTATTACCATGACATGTTGGGCGACGATCCTTTGAACATTGCTTACACGTGCTACAAGTCAGCAGTAGTATCACTAAGGTCAATGTGGCTGGTTGCATTTGCCACCAGATACCAGTGGTATTCCAGAAGACAGGGGGATTAAGTACATGATTTACTGAGCACTTTCTTTGGCCAGTAGAGTGGTGTTTTGAGAATCTATTGATTCATCTCACTGCCCACCATTTTCCCCTAATCGAAACGCATGTGCTTATCTAGTGATATGGATGATCAAACCATTAGAGATGAAGCTGAGAAGCTATTGAGATAACAGCATAGTAATACCATGACACACTGTTTCATGGAAAGTATTTAGGAGAGTAGAGCTACAGCTGTTAAACATAGTATGAAGTTTTGGAATATAGTACATGGAGGGCTGGGTTTATATCTGAAGAAGATGTTCTCGCTAAGCTGCTTCCTTTCTCCTGTCAAAACTATTTTTTATTTTTCAAGGTCTGACTTTTAATCCTCTGTAATTAAACCCCAATGATGTAATTTAAATCCCCTTAATCAAACTAGGTCCTGGCGGTATTGTTTTATGTTCTCGCTCAGTTGTTCTGATATAGAAACCAAGTTTTTTATAACCATTTTGCATCTGAACCAAGAGTCTGAGATAAAATGTGTGATGAGTATAAAAAATGGCAACTTGGAACACATAGTTGATGAGCAGATAATTCTTACATATAGTACCTCCTTATTCTGCATTGCTTGTCTGCATGGAATATGGACTAACAAGTATTCCTTCGGTAAAAAGCATGGAACCTACAAAGATTTTTACTCTATGCTGTGTACATGTGGAATGCTCCAAAGGTTATTCTAACAATGTTTGAGGTAACTGCTTTCGCTCACTGTTTAGGGCTTCTGTAACTGACAGTGATCCCCTTTTAGTTACTATGCACCTATTTTGTCCTCACATCAACAATCTTTGTATTGTAGAAGGAAGAGCCCTTCACCTTCCCCAAGACGGCGCATTAGTCGTTCTCCATCTCCCAGGCGACATAAAAGTCGGTCTCCATCGCAAAGACACTACAGAAGAAAGAGAAGTCGGAGTGTCACTAGCTCTCCGATTACCAAATCTCAAAGTCCTCCTGTTGCGCGTGGGCCAGCAGAGAATAAGAATATTGTTGATAAGCAAAGGCTAGAAGAAGAAAAGAAAAGGTGGGGAGTATCTACTTTGCTATGCGGAGTCTGCATACCATCTACAAACCAAACTGTTTACTATTTATTCGCTTCCCTATTCCTCATTTATGTTGACAGCATGCTATTCATTAATCAACATTTTTAACATCCTGTTAAAATTATATTCATCTAACTGTTGTTTTTACCAGAATATATCTTGAGGTCAGCTCTATTGGCAATCTGTGCTCTAAATACATTATTTAAGTTCTTTTATGAAGAATAATGTTTTTTTTAAATGACCTTCTTGATTATTTAATCTGCAAAACTTTTCTTTAATGAAACGACTGCACGTCTTGCTTCCAAATTGTTATGGTCTCTTGTTATCCTTGCATATAATTGTTGGCTTAAGATGTTGAACTCTAGCTCTGAAGAAGTCATCTATGATGAGCAAAGCCATCGGCACTAGATGATTTTTCTGTGTAAATTCTGTGTAGTATGCATTTAATGTCTCCTCTTTCCCACCAAGGCAGTTTTCCCCATTTGTTATCTATTATGAAATTGTATTACATTTTGCTGCTACTTTGATTGTTTGTTAAGGGTTGCCATGCAACATATAGATTAATGAGTTGAGTCCATGATCCTGGAGATGCCCAATTCTCTATTATTGTAAACTGTGATGTTCTTGTTCTTTCTGGAATTTCTTTGGGGCAAGGAACTTAACAGTGAAATAGAGGCTTGCATCAAAAGAACCAAAAAGAGTAAAAGAGGGTAATTTCTACCAGTTCTATTGATGACTTTGTGGCTTAGCTTTGGTTCGTTTTCTGTTTTATATGAAAACAGTATATTCTTCACTATGGACCTCTCTGCTGGTTGGCAAATCTGAATCCGTTTGTTCAATCCATTAGGTTGCATTCTTAAAAGGCATGGAGTTAAATTTCCATGGTGGTTTTTCAAAGTTTACTTTGGTTGATGCTTTCATAGACGTAGTATGGTCCAATGTGGGGCTGTAATTTGTCATCATTCCAGTTATGTCATCACATGTGGCATGTGATATACCTGTCATAAAAATGCGTTTAATATTGCCATGCTTTCACCAAGTTGTAACGATACACTATTGCATAATTGCTTTGAAGTTTGTTTTGACTAGATTGAAGATGTGAAAATATGATCTAATTGGAATACTGAAATGTCTACATGATTAGCTCTAAACCTGCCACAAGTTACTTGACATTCTTCTCTACAGGCTTTTCTGAAGGAAGCTACTGCTATAGTTCCACTTGTTATATTTGATGATGCAATTGGTGATCCTTTATCTACTCTTGACCAGTTTTGATAGTTCATTTTTTGGATCTGGAATCGTACTAGAGGTATGCCTGAAATGCATTAGCTTGTATTCAGAACTATGCTGATGAAGGCATAGTTGATCATAGATAGTGTTAAAGATTGTAAATCTGCGGTTTTCTTTTGGCTGCTTTTGTTTACCATTAAGATTTGAAGAAGGTGCCAGGCATAGGCAATTCTTTCTTTCCCAAAGTAGACTTCATTAACTTGTCTCAATTGCAGGCGCCAAAAAGAAGTTGAGCTCAGACTATTAGAGGAGGAAACTGCAAAAAGAGTTGAGCAAGCTATTAGGAAACAAGTTGAAGAGAGTTTGAATTCTGAGGAAATCAAACATGAAATACAAAGACGGATTGAGGTAGGGCGAAAGAGGATACATGAGGAGGTATTAGTCCAAATTGAGAAAGAAAAGGAGGCAGCCCTGGTTGAAGCTCAGCACAAAGCGGTAAATGTCCTGTCGCTAGCTCATCTTCTGCTCTTTGACATTAGAACATTATCCCATTCATGAAATTAAAAGATCATCTGGAGATTTTTCCATGATCAATACAGGATGATGGGCAGAGGGTATGATAGGATATTTGAGGAAGACTATAATCATCGATCCTTTATCTGTTGTTCAATGCTCAATTGCTGAGTGGTTTTCACGGATATTTGAGGAAGATTATAATCACCGTGCTTTTATCTGCTGTTCAATGCTCAATTGTTGAGTGGTTCTCACAATACTGCTGCAGAATTCTCTCAATTGAATGCCCTCTTATTCTTTTCTTGTCGACGCAGGAACGCGAAAGGAAAGAGCGGGAGGAGCTAGAGAAAAAGCTCGAGGAAGAGCGGAAGAAAGCCGAGGAGGCTCAGATGAAGGAAGCAATGGAGCAGCAGCAGAAAGAGCTGGAGCGGTACCAGGAGCTGGAGAGGCTCCAGAAAGAGAGGGAGGAAGCCATGAAGCGGAAGCAGATGGAGGAAGAGCAGCAGAAGCAGAGCCAGATGAAGCTGCTGGGCAAGAACAAGTCGCGCCCGAAGCTGTCGTTCGCGCTTGGGATGAAGTAGATGAAGGAAATTAGTGCCTTATTATTTAGTCGATGTGTATTTTGTAACAGTCTATCTATGCCTGAAAACATCATCTCTCTTGCTGGTAAATCGTTTGCAGATCGTGGGCAAGAAGAAAGCTCTAACAATGTTTACTGTACTACACAAGCCTGTGGCAACCTGCAAGTTGTAATTGGCTTGGGCATTTTACCATCTCATCTCAAGTGTAAGCTGACGATTTGTTAACAGTTCAGAACCTCCGAACCTACCGAATGGGTTCTACCTCTACCCATATCTATGCCTTACGGACATAGATAACCTAGTGGGTACCTGATGGGTTTTTAATAACATAATGAATAATATCTCTATAAATAGATAACTGAAGTAGCAACGCAATTAACTAGCATGCGCGAGGTCACGGCGACGGCGGAGGCGCTCCAGTTCGCCATGGACGAGATGGGAGACGACGACGAGCGCGCGAACAAGGCGGCGCTCACGTTCGCCCTGCTCCGGGCCTGTTTAGATTGTTGCTAAAATAAACCTTACCAAATTTGTTAAAATTTTGGCAAGTTGTCAATATTGCTAAAGTTTTGACAGAATTTCTTATGTATTTACTAAATTTGGCAACAAACTAAACAAAGATATTTATTTTGATAACTTTACCAAAAAAAATGATATGGTTGAAAATTGCATCAATATGAACAGCCCCTCCATGAGAACGCGCCTTGGCAAGCACTGCGGCCTTGCGCTATTCACCTCCAACATGAACCGCTACGGAGACATGGCCACCAAGGCCACAGATAAAAGTAGATTTATCTGATATTTTGAAGCAACTTTTAAATAGAAAATTTTTACACAACACATATCGTTTAGCAGTTTGAAAAGCGTGCGACGAGTATCTAAATTTTCATCCATTTCTTTTAGAGGAAACGAAGGGTACCATGGATTTTAAACCGCATTAATTCACATATCCTAAGGTTATTAATTCACATATCCTAAGGTTGTGTTTAGTTCACACCAAAATTGGAAGTTTTGTTGAAATTGGAACGATGTGACGGAAAAGTTAGAAGTTTATGTGTGTAGGAAAGTTTTAGGCTATGTTTAGTTCACACCAAAATTGGAAATTTGGTTGAAATTGGAACAATGTGACGGAAAAATTGGAAGTTTGTATGTATAGGAAAGTTTTGATATGATGAAAAAGTTGAAAGTTTTGATATGATGGAACTAAGCACATCCTTAATGTGATGGAAAGTTTGAAGAAAAACTTTGAAACTAAACACGGCCTAATTCCAATTATCTGCAAGTGGGCCCCATGCCAACTAGTAGTACTAGCAAACTCGATCTCAAGTGTGGACTGGGTCACTGGGACCAGGAGGCTTCACTCTGTCACTCAAAAGGGAGGAAACCCCCTACCTTTTCCCAGCAACCCAGCAGCCTTTCTTCTCAGTTCTCACTCCCCTCCAGGCCTCCACTCCACCCTGTCGGCGATCGAGCCATCCATCCACCGATGCCGCCCGCCTCCGCCGCCGCCGGTGACGGCGCGGCGCCCGACCAAGAGCCGCCCCCGAGCCCCCCACCCCCGCCTCCCCCTCCCCCGCCGCCTCGACCGGCGCCCTCCCTCGCCTCCGCGCTCCCCTTCTGGTTCTACCTCACCGCCGCCGTCTCCCTCCTCGCGCTCCTCCTCCCCCACCTCCTCCCTTCCTCCTCACCCCCACCCCCTCTCCCCTCTCTCCTCCGCTCCCACGCCTCGGGCGGCAGCGTCCTCAAGCTCCATCCGGGCCCCGACCTCTTCGCCGTCACCTCCAAACCCACCACCACCGCCGCGGCGCACCGCCCCGCTGTCCTCGTCCTCCCCGGCCTCGCCGCCGGATCCTTCTCCTTCCGCCACGCCCTCCGCTCCCTCTCCTCCCGCGGCCTCCTCGCCGCGGCCGTCGACCTCCCGGGGCAGGGCATGTCGCCGCCCTGCGACGCGCCGCCGCCGCCGCCTCCAAGCAAGAGCGCCTTCCGCGAGATCATGGACCGCGGCGTCTTCCACGCCTTCGAGCACCTCGTCGAGACGGGCGAGGTGCCGTTCCAGGAGCCCGCCGCCGCGCCGGAGCCGCCGTCCCACGCCCGGCTCTACGCGCCCCACGAGGCGGCCGCGTCCGTCGCCCGCGCCGTGGACGCGCTCGGCCTCGGCGCCGCGCCGGTGCACCTCGTGCTCCACGACTCCGCGCTCGTGGCCGGGGCCGCCTTCGTGTCGGCCAACCCGGCAGCAGTGCGGAGCGTCACCCTGGTCGACGCCACGGCCGTCCTGCCGGCGTTCCCCGTGGCGGTTCTCGGCGTGCCGGTGCTGGGGAGCATGGTGGTCCGGGTGCCGGCATTGTTCAGGGGACTCCTGCGGCTGTGCTGCGCGCGGGAGATGGGCGCGGAGGTGGCCGAGGCGCACCGTGCGGCGATGCGAATGGAGGGGAAGAGGGATGCAGTGTTTGAGTCATGGAAGGCTCTGAATCAGAGCTTTGATCTGAAGGAGTGGAGGGGCTCTTTGGAGGCAGTGAGGAAATTGCCGATGATGGTGCTGTGGTCGGGTTCTTGGACTGATAGGTGGATCGATGAGGGGAAGAAGGTGGTCGCGGCATTGCCGGATGCCAAATTCGTCTACCATTCCGGTGGTCGATGGCCTCAGGTCAGTGTGATGGTTTCCTTTTTCATAATCAATTCAAAATGTAGAGAGTGTTTAGCATTGTGCTGAATGTATAGCTTAGCTGATGTAGAGGTTCAGACTACAGACAGTCATGCAAGATTGCTTGGGCAGGTTGGCCTTCAAGCTCTACTTTAAGTTAACTAGTGATTTACTATGCATCATACCAATGTCGCTGGTCTGATACAGCTCACCATGATCCATCATGTTTTGTTAAGAATTAGTAGCACAAGCATCAGGTGTCCATTGGCTAAGGATGCAAATAATCTCTAGAACGGAGCAGTACTCAACACCCATCGTCTCATTGCAAACATCAAGACCAGCTAACTGAATAATTCACCTTCTCACTTATTTGGCTGCCCATATTATTCTCATATCATGTGTTGATTCCCTGCTATAAGGGATCCTTATTTAACTAAAGCCAGTTTTTTAGGTACTTCTATACAGGAAGTCATCATTACTGCTATTTTAAGTCTCCATTTATGTTCATGCATTGGTGTATATGAAGTTCTTGTGTAGCTAAGTTGCAAATTGAGGTAATGAGAGTATGGTGATAATATTATTCTCATTACTTTGGAATTCCAGGAGGATGCGTATGATGAACTCTCGGAGCTGATAGCAGAGTTTGTGACATCATTACCAACATCTGTGCGGTCGCAGCATATTGACCAATCTTCTGAACAAGCAACAGCTCAAGAGTAATCAAGTTGTACAAGATTCATCCCCATGGTTCAGCATTAAGGTTGTGTGTTTGGAAATGCCTGTGGGCATATGTTTTCCTAACCTTCATAGATCCTGCTGTTAGAAGGAAATATGTACCTATCTGTGGTTACATCCTTTTCGTTTCCCCACTTCATGTACCACTCCTTCAGGAATTGCTGAACAAATGAACCCGTAGAGCCTTCGGTTTTTCAGGTGATGCTGACTACTTGACTAGTGTAACTTGAGACTGACTCGCTCAAGAAGAATTTGTGTACAATTTGGTTCACACAAACCATCTAATGTTACATTGCTTTGCTGTTCTCTGGATTATAAATTGACTACTGAACTTGCTGGCACGTCTTATTTGTATCGATTGCCATCCAAATATTCAGAGGCTCCTACAGTGCTTCTCTTATCTGTGCTTTCCTCAACAGGTCTAAAGAATTTTGAAATACTTTGGTAGATTGATACATAAAATCAATCTACAATGACACAAAACTGGAATCTAAAAATTCTACCCCATGGATAAATGGAAGAAAAAGGACATGTGGCATATATTTTATTTTAGCTAGTAATTCCTACCAAATGAATAAATTATCTCCTCCGAATTACATCAAGACTCTTTCTGTCTAGTTTGTGGTGACTGTCCCTCTTGCTGTATCCTAGGAAACAGAAGTTCGTGTATTTGCTTCTCTGCACCAAACTCTGAAGTGGCCTGCAGTGCAGAACATTCGGAAGCACATGAGGATGAAAATTCAGATAAAATCTGTTGGAGTGGTTCAGCTGAGAATGTAAGCAGTTTTATTCGTCAACGCATAGATGCTGGTTTCCTCCTTGTAGAAAAGGGTACTGGTTTCCTGCAATTTTGTTCATACTGAAAGCTGATACTGACCTTTGCAGGGAACGCAAATCTCAGTGTCTGCACTTGTGTTCCTGAGCACACTCTCAAGTCAAACCCAAGGCAGTCCACTCCAATGACAGCTGCCTCCTGTGGAAATATTACATTTACAGTGATGACCCAACATTAGCAGGCATTGTACTTCCTCCATAATGTTCAGCAATCTGAAGAAATTTGTACCTCTATTTGGATGGCCTTGCACCTCCAGCAGAGTGATTTCAGAGCCTGGCTTATCTTGTCTCCACCAGCTCTCAAGCGCGATATTATGTTCGGTGCAGAATGCGCAATGATATCTGGCCTAGCTTTCCGGTATTCCCCTATCTTTACCTTTGGCTACAAGGAATTCAAGCATGAAAACAATTTTACTAAATAGAAATTCACAGTACATTGTTCATTATTCATAGACTGAGGATAAATAGAAATACCATATCAAAATGAAAGAACTATACCTCAGTTCCATATGCAGTGATCAGCTCAATGCTCAGAACCTCAACCTTGAAAAATGTAGCACCACTCTCCTTGTTATCTTTCCGTGGTTCATCATCTGTACAAATTACAGAAACCTGTCAAAATCCTATGTTCCAGAAATCCTATGAATATAAGATACATTTCTGAGTTCATAGCAATTGCTACTTGATAAATGCCTTGAAACCATGGTGCTCTCTTCAGCAAAGGCTGGTCTCAGTTGACCCTCAACAACAAGGCTTGCAGGTGGTCTGTCCAACCAGTCTATACTAGACTTGGTTGAGGTCTGCACGTACAAGTGAAGAACATGATGCTTGAACAAATCATGGCAACTAAAATGACAGATGCTAAAATTCTGAGTCAGATACCTCTGCAATCATCCTTGCAAAGTACAATGGATGGCAGGAATTCATGGTTTCTAGATCTGTCCATCTAGGCAGATCTTCGTCTTCTCCATCCTCATCGCCATCGTCGTCATCGACTGCAAACACACCCTCCTGCAATGTTTTCAGAGATGCAGCAGTGTCAAGGAAAATCCAATCACCAATTGCAATTGGCAAAGTAATCAAGAACCCTGAATTTCCTGAGAAGGATTTTTCATCACCCCATCAAAGTCATCGTCAAAGTCACTCTCCTCATCATCCGAGTCGTCATCATCATCGTCGTCGTCATCGTCTTCTTGAGCAAACTCAGTCGCAGATGCCGCTGCCAGATCCAAGTCAGCAAAGACCTGAGTGTTGTCAAGCCCTATGATAACATGCTACAACCATGAACCATCATCCAAAACAAGAATTCAGTATACAACGAAGATAAAAATTCAGAAACAAGAACGAAAACCGGGGAAAAAAAAGGGCGTAATCGTCACCGCAGTCTTGTCGTCTCCCATGATGCTCTCCAGGAGGGCGTCGTCGTTGTCGACCTCGAAGTAAATATCTGATGAGAGCAGATTGCCACACATCACAGCATGCAGCTTCAAGAACAAAATTAACAGTGTCTCCAGCAAAAGTCACAGAGAAGGAGCTAAGCTAAGCTAGCTAGCTGCATCAAAGCATCAGCTCAAGCATCCGGTTTTCTCGCATACCTCCGTTCTCATCGGTGAGGTAGGGGAACTCCGGCAGGATGATCCTCTCGTGCACGCCCTCGTCGATCAGCGTCGAGATCATCACCGTCGCCTTGCTGTTCACCTGCATTTTGTTCCACTGATTTCTTGGTGAAAGCTTGAAGAAGAGTGATGGTTGGTTGTCACCAGGCAATGGCCGTCCGGCCGGTTGCGTTGTGTAACAAAAACTCTGCTTTCTTCTAATACATTGACGCGCAATCTTTTTGCGCGTTCACGAAAATGAAGAGAGTGATGGAAGAATTTTATGAAAAAATTTTCAGATAATTTTGTGTTATGTGTAGACCTCGACGATGGTTCGTGCGGACTCGGCGTCGGTGAGGTGGGCGGGCTCGCCGTCGTCGACCTGGAGCTTCTCGGCGATCTCCTCGAACGGGTGGTAGCGGCCTCTCCCCGGCGGCAGCTCGTCCATGTGGTCCTCCGGCGTCGCGGCGCCGCCACCGGCCCTGCATTATTACTCGCCGCCATGAAACTAACTCTCTGCTAGCTCATGCTCAAGCTCAACTCTACAATAAACGCCGGCAATGGCAGCATCGTCGACGCGTACCAGCAATGGTGGCTGCGGCGGCGGCTGCTCCGGCGCGCTTTCCCATTGCCCCACCAGGATCGGCACCGGCGTGGCAGCGAGAGCTGGAGCTGGGCAGTGAAGCGGGTGGTGGTGGTGGCTCTTGTCGTCGCGGCGAAGAAGCTAGAGCTAGACGACACCGGCGCTGCTGTGGCAGTTGCCGCCGCCAGAAGCATGGTGTACCATGGAAGGGGGGAGGGTGGCCGGCGGCGAGCGGCGGAGCTGATGGGGAGAGGAGGAGGAGGAGGAGATAGTTATTTGTGGAGAAGATAGTTTCCCAGCGCGCCTCTCACTTCCTATCCCGAACTGAAGCTTTGACGCGAATAATGCCACAGGATGAGAAGCGGAGCGGCTTCGCTTCTTGGGCCGAGTTGGGCCGGCAGTTGTTTTATCTGATGGTACAAGTCTAATTTCTATCCTATTTTGACCACCCTCCACCAAACTTTTGAAACCGGTGTCATTTGACTCTCTGAGCGGTTTTGAGAGTGGTTTTTGCTGATGTGGCTCGCTGATCCGGTCTAACCAGCTGACTCAGCATGTAGGACCCGCATGTCAGTGTCACATTTTCATCTCCCTCTCTTTCTTTTCTCTTTTCCTCCTCTTTCTAGCCCGGCTTTGCAAGGTGGTCGGCGAGCATGCTCACAAGAGCCCTTTCCCGCCCTCCCGGAGCAGGCGAGCAGCCACAAGCTCGGCTCCACCAGTGAACGAGCATCCCTCCTGTGGTTAGACGGAAGCGGCAATCCAGATTCGTATGATCCTAGCGGATGCGGAGCATGATGGTGGTCAATGTTGATGACGAGGCTGTTAGCTCAGATAGGGTTGGCAATTCAGGCTCGGGTACTAGCAACGCTCACGACCAGATGAGGTGACTGGAATAGGTGAGGGATAGGGCGCCGATGCCCACAACGGTGGTTGACTCCATGAACGGCGAACTAGAGCAGGTGAGGATGAGGTTGTCGTATGCCTCAACCACCACGCTCCCTATCCCGCGAAGAGGAGGAGAAGCAACTTCAGTGATGAATCAGATCCCACCCGCACCGAGCTCCGCTCCTCTGACCGCCATGAGCTCTAAGACCACCTCTGTCGCCACCGTCAGCGTAGAAGAAAGTTGGAGCTGCTTCGTAGGGCCGTCCGAGGCTAGAAAATTTTCTTCTTTTTTTTTAAAAAAAATCAAAACATAAAATTTTCAAATCAGGGTTCAGCGGTTTTCTTAGTTTTTGTGAGAACCATATGAAAACTACTTACAAATATGTTCAAATTTGGTAAAAATTTCAAAATTCAACTTGAATTTTTGAGGTTAACCGAGAAACACTCTGTTTGTGTTCTCAATCCAGGAAGTCCGGTTTCCAAAAAACCAATTGATTTTCAGCGTTTTTGTAAACCTAGGGACTGCCCGCGGAAATTTTGTGATATCATACAAATTTTCCTAGTAGCCTTAGAGACTAATCCAGCTGATAATTCGCGGTGATAATCTGACTTTAGCTTTCTCAAAAGGTTACAGAGGTAGCAACTTTGCTCCAAGCAATTGTTCCCTCCAATCAAATTTTACGACAAAATTTGGTCAAATTTTTACTAAATCTAACAAGTGCAAGACATCACGATAGTAGTGTTTTTGAAAGACAAATCTCTACACATATAATTATTTTGGCTCTGTTCATTCCAGGGTGATAGGGGAGATTGAGTCTCGTTTTCCACGCGCACGCTTTTCAAACTACTAAACGGTGTGTTTTCTGCAAAAAAAATTTCTATAGGAAAGTTGCTTTAAAAAATCATATTAATCCATTTTTGAAATTTAAAATAGTTAATACTTAATTAATCATGAGCTAATGGCTCACCTCGTTTTACGTATCTTCTCAATCTCTTCAATTCCCTTCTCCTCAAACACACCCTTTGTTTTTATACGGGCAACCAACGGCCACCACCTCGCTGTACGACTTTTTTCCAAATTTAAATTTTGAAAATCTGAAGCAAAGACCAATCAAACAAATCCACATTAATGCACTGGCTAGTGGGGCCACCAACCCCGTCGTACTCTCCGGAAAATGACCCAAAAAAGGAGTAAAAAAAAAGGCGAAACGAAAAAAAAAAAGGAAAAAAAAATCGCATCCCACCCAACTCGCTCATCCGTGCGCTGCCTGCCACTCGGCCCAATCCCCTCCGTCCCCTCCTCCCCTCCCCCTTCTCCCCAACCGAATCCACGCGCCCCACCTCGCCGCCGTCGCCGCCGCCGCGATGGACGCGGAGGCGTCGGAGCTGCGGGCGAGGCTCGCCGCCGCGGTGCACGCGCTCAATCACGGCGGCGGCGGGCACCACGACCCGTCGGCGCGGCTCGCGGCCAACCAGTGGCTCCTCGCGCTGCAGCGGTCGCCGCAGGCGTGGGGGGTGGCGACCTCGCTGCTGGCCGCGCCGCCCCCGGGCCACCCGCCCCCGCCCGCCGACCTGCTCTTCTTCGCCGCGCAGATGCTCCGGAGGAAGATCCAGTGCCCCCCCGCCGCCGCCGGTGGTTGCCCCACGCCGCAGGAGGTTGCCCACCTCCTCGACGCGCTCCTCCTCGCGGCGGGGCGGTTCTGCCTCGGCCCGCCGCGGCTGCTCACGCAGATCTCCCTGGCGCTCGCGGCGCTGGCGCTCCGCGCCGAGGGCGGGGTGGACGGCCTCTTCGCGCGGATGCGGCACCTCCCCGACCCCGCCGTGATGGAGCTGCTCACTGTGCTCCCCGAGGAGGTCGTGCAGGACCAGAGCGGGGACACCGGGGTGGACGCCGCGGCGCGCTGCAGGTTCACCCGCGAGCTCATGGCGCACGCGCCCGCCGTGCTCGAGTTCCTCCTCGCCCAATCCGAGAACACCGCCGCCGCCGCCGACGGGGTCCCCCTCCACGAGCGCAACCGCAGAATCCTGCGCTGCCTACTGAGCTGGGTACGCGATTCCACGGCTCACCCGCGTTCGCGTCTCGCCGCTCGATCATAAGGCTAACAGAGGCGACAACGTTTTGCAGGTCCGCGTGGGATGCTTCTCGGAGATGCCGGCGGCGGCGCTCGCGGCTCACCCACTTCTCACCTTCGCGTTCAACTCGCTGCAGGTAGAAACAAGCAGTCACCCTCAGTTCTTTATAAGCTCATAAAAGTGTACTTTGAAGGACAAGTTTGTGCATTCACGTCCTCACATTTTGCTTTGTTGTCATCTGACTAATGAAGGTGTCCTTCTCGTTTGATGTGGCCGTAGAGGTTATGACCGAGCTTGTCAGTCATCACCAAGTAAGTTCTGATTGCTGCATAGTGCCTCACTTCATTGCTGCAGCCAACTGATGATCAGTAACTTATTTCTATCTGGTGGCTGCATGCTTTTTCGATTGAGTTGGACTGTTGGACTTGTTAGTCACTTAGCCTGTCCCAAGTTGTCACTTATCGGTTGGCCCTAATCTTCTGTTTGATGTCATGCATTTCTGTTGTATGAAAATGTAACATTTGAGGTTTGCCATGGAATAGTTTGCACGATTGAGTTTGCTCTCTTCTGTTTGTGTCAAGACACCAATTTGATTAAACTAAATCAGAGTTCATTTCAGTTTACATTTTAATAATGTTCAACCTAAGCTGCTAGTTAATGTAGTTATATTTTGCCTCAGATATCTACATGATGTGAATATTATGACTAGAAGAGTTGCAATGCCCGTCCTGCTCCTCATTTATTTTCTCAGACAATGACTAGAAGCATGACTGCTGTTCCCCTTGTTGAATTTGTTGATTAATTCAATACAGTTCCACTAATCTTGATGCGTGCCACTTTTTGGTTGTAGGATCTACCTCAGGCATTTCTAAGTAAAATGCCATATATTAGAGAAGCTCTTCTTCTGCCAGCTCTTGCCAACAGAAGCGAGAAGACTATTGCTGGTCTTGTTTGTTTGATGTGTGAAGTTGGTCAGGCAGTAAGTTGTCTCACCTGGTGGTTGTACTGCAGTGTCATATTTGCAACCTATCTATGTTGCATTTCTGTTACTCAAAATATTCCTCCATTCATTGTTCTACTATCAAGTTGAAGTGAATATTAGACCTCTACTGTAGTTAAGTTAGTGAAATAACTGAATTAACTGTCATGTATTTCCTGAAATCAGCATTTTAGTAACGGCTCAGAGAATGAACCTGAGAGAAATTCCAATGTGAAATAGAACACACCTTATATGCATAATCACATTGCATTGTTTTCTAAGTGTGAGACTGTTGAATATAAGCTGATAACCGTTGAACTTTCTTAGGCACCTGCTTTGGTTGCAGAAGGGAGTGTTCAAGCACTTGCTCTTGCCGATGCACTTTTGAGGTCAATCTATTGAATTGTTTGTGGTACTTTTCTTTGAGTTTTTAAGTTGCACGTTTCAATGTTTCAAATGATGCTATTCTATAGTTCAGTTCACTTTATTACCTGTTGTGATCCTGATGAGTTTTATCCTCAACACAGATGTGTAGCCTTTTCTAGTGATGATTGGGAGATTGCAGATTCAACCTTGCAATTTTGGTAATAATGTCTATGTCTTTGCTTTGTTTCATTTTCATGAATCACAAGCTCTTCTTCTGATTAATTACAAGTATTAGTTTTTCGGAAACATATTATTCCCGTATTATTTTCTTTATGTTTGTGTTGCGATGTATTCCTGCATCTTGTCTATGTGGAAATTTAGGATGGCTGGGTTGCTGATGAGCATATTCCGTAACCTTGTGGTCGTGTGGGGGGTTTAGAAGGTCTAGGAGTATCACAAGATTTTTGGTGTTCGACTGGAATCTACGTACAAACTTTCTCAAAGGACTTGTGATTACCATACTTCAGGACCGGATTTAATAAAAACACTGTAACCTGATATGCCTATGGTCCTTCTAGCTATGTCTGACTTTGTTTTTCTTGTCATGGTCCCCTCATTGCAATCTCATTGAGAGTTAAAACACATGCTTTTACATATATTTTTGGATCATATAAGCATCAATGATAAGGCAACTACTCCCTCCAGTTAAAAAAAATGACTAGAGGGAGTATTAGATAATACAAGTGTGCAGATTTGAATTCCAATATTCCATTCTGTACTTCCAGAGTAGAGCTAAAATCGTACTACTAACTTTTCTTTCATGTCTGTAGTCAATTAAGTATTTATACTTGTGCGTTGAAACTTTGCAGGTGCAGTTTAGCACATTTTATACTTGATAGTGATGCACAAACAGAAAAAAGGAATGCTGCACAAGAGATATTTTCCCCTGTGTTTTCTTCACTGCTTGATGCACTTCTTTTTCGTGCTCAGGTTTTTTCTCCTTTTCCCATGAATTCATTTATTTATTTTCTAATGATCAACTGAAAGTACTATCTTACAAAATTGTGCATGTGGTCACAATTTTTATACTTCAGAATTCAGATTGGTTGCAGTTCCTTATCTGTACACTAAAGTAGAAATTCCAATTTTGCTTTTCGGTATATCCAATTCATTTAAACCCAAATTTGTAAATCCATCCACTTTTTAATGCCTTGTTTTATCTGATAAACCATAGATTGACACTGATGAACATGGCACTGATGGGGAATTATGCATACCTGATGGACTAGCACAGTTCAGAATGAACTTGGAGGAGCTTCTTGTTGATATTTGCTTGCTTCTAGGTGCTCCTGCATATATTAATAAGGTATGTGGTTTATTGCTGAAAGATTCCTCATATTCCATGTCTGGGGAGAAAAGATTGTAATTTGCAGAAGTGGTGGTATCTTTAGACATCCAATAACCGTATTTATAAGCTAGATATGCAATAGTATGATGTAGATATGTTATGCACCATTGTTCCAAATAAACACTATTTACAACTATACTATTGCATATATATATGAATGTACTAAAAATAGAAAACACAGAAATAAACCATATGGTTCTGAAAATCTGAACCTTCTTGGTATTTGCTGCAGCAAACAAATACCCTTATGGTTTCTGTAATATTTATACTGCCCTATGTGCTGGTCTTGAAATCGATTTATTAAACTTCTACATATTGCTTCTAATATCTTGATACGTGGGATACTTTTGAGCCCCTTTTGTGACAATTATTTTAGATGATTTTATTACACTCCCCTAGTGAGACCATTATGGCGATTAACTTTGAACTATGTTTTTGTATGCAGCTTTTTTCTGGTGGATGGGGTTTGGCTAGCCAATCAATTCCTTGGAAAGAGGTAGAAGTTCGAATGTATGCACTTAGCATGGTAAGTGCCTCATATCTTTTGGTATACTTGTTGATAATTAAGATCATTCAGTAAAGTTGCTTACTACTAGATAAGATGGAAATGCAATTTCATCATTATGTCCATTAGACCATTATGTTGATACTTATCAAGGTTGAGATCTGAAAAGTTTGTGTCGCTTAATATCACCCAGGTGCCCAAAATGTTACCACCTGTTTGAAGGTGTTGATGATTCTTAGGTTGATCGCCCATAGGTTGTCACTTAAGTTGTCAGCCCATAGGTTGATCGCTTATCTGTAATTCTATATAAATATGAAAGTATAATGTGCATAATGGCAAGAATAATCTTACTGATGGGTTTATTAGGCTTGTACACTAGCCCCACAGAAAGCCCTAGTTCACAATACTGCCTATGAGGCTATGACCACAAAAACTTTTGCCACTTGAGACAATGTATGGGCAGAACAATTACATGCATAGAAAATTGCCTATCTTACTATGCAAATATCTTGGACAGTTAGCTTTTGACAAACTTGGTAATAACATATGGCTGTCTATCAACTCTATCTTGAGCAAATTGTTATTTTGCTTGTGTTTCAGACTCCTGCCTTGTTGCTTTGCAAGTTAAATTTTCTCTTGTTCTGTTTCTTTGTTGATTGAAAATATGCGTGCTTGTTTGTCTTTGTGTGGTTGTCTGGTTGCACGTAAGCATGCAAGGAACCAGCATGTTAAATCTACGCCTTACTTGCAAGTTACTGAATTTCAGGTCGCTGACACAATTTTACAAGATGGAAGCCCCTTCGATTTTTCAATCATAATGCATTTTGTGAACATTCTGTCCAGCAGAGCACACAGCGAACTTAATGGATGCCTATCCTTGGTAAAACACTCAATATGCTTCCTATGATTGCTGTTCTATGAGTAAACTAGGCAAGTGCTGAGAAAAAAATACTGGCAGAATACAGCAAATCTTAATGGGTGAAACAAAACACGCAAGAGGACATATATATGTTGAAAATGGTTGATGTAGTTCTTTCCTCATGGACTAGTTTATTGCTACCCATGTTTATATAAAGACATCAGGCTAGCTCAATGACATGATATGCAAATATGCTAGAAAATAATTCTCATAGCAGCCACATTATCTACTTCTGAGAGTTTTTATTCCTTGGGTCCCATGTGTCATTCCATATTTTTGGAAGGTGGGAGGGCAATGAATTCTATCTGTATCAATATACCATCACTGTCACCAACAACAGACTTTTAAGTAGTACAGACAAATATGTTTATTTTATTGTATTATGTGAAGCTAAGCTTTTATTGTGGTTATCCTAACTGTTCCAGGTATACAAATCATTTGGTGATGTCATTGGTTCTTACTCAAAGTTGTTGGCATCCTCTCAAAGTAATATTAAACCATTACTGTAAGTGTTTTAAATATGTCATGAATTGAAACATTGCATTTATTCATCATACTTAATATATTTACCTTTACGGTCAGCCTGTTCTGTGCTTCAGGGATTTCAAAATCCATATCATCAAATGCTTGCTCATTAGCTTTGCGTAAACTTTGTGAGGATGGTTCTTCATTCATGAACGAGCCTCAGAATCTGGAAATTCTTTTCTGGATCAGTGAGGTAAATTGACTTGTACTTCAGTAGCTTTTATTTTTTACATGACATTTTTGGTTCGGGGTCGATGCTACTAATCTTAATTTAATATTGTTTTTCAAAAATGATAATTCAATTGAATGTTGAGTATGCTAAGCACTTACTCCTGTCCCAAAATAAATTAATTCCTAGCATCTTAAGAAAAAAATAGTAGTGAGGGATAATGACTAAAGTGACCCTCTTTAATAGGAAAGCAGTATTGGTGGGTGGGTAGGTAGCTAAGGGGTATTGAAGGGATAAAACTTCTCGATTTGTGGACCAAGGGTAGGTAAGAGGCTAGAAATCAAATTATATTGTGACAAATTTCAAACTCTAGAAATCAACTTATTTTAGGGACGGAGGGAGTAAGCTAGTACTCCCTCCATATTTTAATGTATGATGCCGTTGACTTTTTAACAAACGTTTGACCTTTTGTCTTATTCAAAAAATTTATGTAATTATCATTTATTTTATTGTGACTTGATTTATCATCAAATGTTCTTTAAGCATGACATAAGTATTTTTGTATTTACATAAAAAATTTGAATAAGACGAATGGTCAAACGTTGGTTAAAAAGTCAACAGCGTCATACATTAAAATACGGAGGGAGTATATTCTAGATGTATCACTCCAGGTTTTGGAAAGAATGCTGAAAATGATTTTGGATTGATTTGAATGGCATGTTTCCTTGTAGTCTGAATCGGGTTGAAAGTGCTATTTCTGATATCTTGGATTGCCTTATTCATCTTCTTCAAGGGCAAAATATGTTCACTACCCTATCAAACTATTAACCGAAGGCTGCTAAAAGAATCACTCAGGATAGTTTGGTTTTCAGGCACACATTCTTGATGCAATTGCAATATGACTGAAGAAAGATAAGAAAATTTTACTATCTAGAGAGAAATAATTTTGATTATTGTATGCTCTAGGATGGCAAAAGCTTTGTAGTGATGATTTCTTTGGCTGGTAGTTATATGTGCTGACAGCTTCATGCTAACATTGAATGATTTAATTTATGCGAACATGGCCTACCACATCACCCTCTACCTTTAACACTTAACTTATAAGTTGATTCTTTCTTTGGCAATTATATGCAATCTTATAGGGCATGGATGCGGGGAATCTGCGAATAGAGGATGAGGAAGAGATCATTACTGCAATTACACATGCTTTATGTTCTGTTCTTGACAAAGAGTTAAGGAAAAGTTCACTAGCAAGGTTACTTTGTTCCAGCTACACAGCAGTGGAGAAGCTTGTATGTACTCTCTCCCTAGTTCAGCCTTGGGCTTTCGTTGAAACAGAGGAATTTCATGGGTGGAACTAATTCCTGTGAAATTCCTGTAAAATTCTTGCATTTTAAAGGAGCCCGGAATGTTTGCTGATATTTTATTATCTTTATCACCATGATATCATCTAGAGAACCATTATGAACCTTTGTATTAGCTGTGTCCATGATAAGTCCTTGAATGAACCTTTAACTTTGTTGACAAAAGCTTAATGGTTCTTCCATATCTCTGTTGCTTTTCAGCAATGCCAGTGTTTATTTGCATCTGAATGTTTGTATTTTAGTAGTACACTAATGGCATCATATATCAGGTGAATCTCAATTGTGGTTTGTACGCTTTTATAAATTAGCCAAACATTCCTAGATGCACAGCATATTTGAACATGTGCACCTGCCACGTTTTTTTTTTGTGAAAATATGATTCACTGTATGAGTAGGACAATCTACATGTTCCCATTGCACTGCAACTTTTTTTTATTGCACATAACGATCATATTCTTGTGCATATATTTACAGGTGCACATGTCCCAACTTTCAACATCCAACATGTACACCAATGAATTTGTTTAGGATTCATTTTCCTGATATGCACTCCAGTACACAAGCCAGTAGTCCACAATGGTTGCTCATGAACTCTACTTCATAATTTTCTCATTTGTGTTCTGAGATGCTTTATTGTCCACTTAAATGCTTGTAAGATTATATTTTGCTTCTATTTGTGGACATTCCTAGTTAGTCGAAACATTATTTAGTTGATGGGATTTCGAGGACTATGATGCCATGAAGTTTCATGTGAAACATTCTCAAGTTATTCTTAATGGTTGCATATGAACTCTGCATGGACACATTCATGAATTTGACCATGACATCATCTAAAACTATTAATGTTGTCTTTTTGCTGTCCTTTACAGATTGACATAGACAGAGATCAATCTCTGCGTCAAAATCCAGCTGCTTACACAGAAGCATTGAACCTTGCTGTCCATGGTCTCTACAGGTGCTTAGCCTTTAAGTTCTTTCATTCTTACATTTTGTGGCCCCATTTTTTCTAGCAATATATATATTTTTGTATCTTCCACACTTTTCAATGATACTACTACACTTGACTAATTCAAGAATCAAGCATGTTAACGAAATGGTACTAAAGTTAGCAGTTTGAAGAAAAATAGTTTTTTGTACTGTAAATAATATAAATTTGATTAATATTGGTGCAATTTTCCGTTGTGTCAACATATTATAGACTATTCAAAGTCATAAACTATGCAAAGCCTCATGTTGAATGATATTTAATTGAAGTATAACTTAACTAATAACTACAACTTGAAGTACAAAGTTGTGCAGAAAGCGAGTATTTGCTTTTGGGGCGATCATCAAAAGAACATGCCAGCATAAATATATTCAATTGATGTATAAGTATCCAATCATATTACTTTTTGAACTATCCAGTGAAAGCTGTGCAGTATCACCAACTACATTCTAGCCAATAGAGATGAATAAATGCTATCTAGAGTCAGCTGCGCGGAAGAAAAATTGACTGTAAACATGAAACCACTTTGTTCTAGATTAACAAAAGGAGAGCAAAGCAAGTGGAGAAGCATCTCCTGTTGGTTGATGTTGATGTGATCTTTAATAAAAAGATGGCTTTACCATTTAGTTGGGAGTTATTTGGTTCTTGGAAAGGTGGATACTTTTACATCCTCCCACTTAGATCATTTATGGCAAGCTATAGAAAAAACAATATGATATGCTTTGACCGGATCATAGAATTTGACAGATAAAAGAACACAAGTAACAACCAGTCATTTTGAACCTATTTTTAAGGATATTGTATTTTGGGAGGGATTTTTGGATGCCGTGGAAGAAAATTAGAAACATGCTGTGATCTACAATGTAAGCAAATGAAAATGAAGTTTCCTTTTTCAGGATGGGTGCTCTATTTGGCCATTTGGCGACATCAATTACATCTAGTCTGATTGATGATGACACGGTTTTGGTTCTTCTTGGTATATTCTGGCCACTTCTTGAAAGACTTTCCCGATCATCTCATATGGAGAATGTTAGTTTATCTGCAGCTGCATGTCGTTCTCTTTCTTCAGCCATACATTCTTGTGGTAAGTTAAATGATACCTGCAATGCAAAATTTCAAGACTAATAGCATTAGATCGTTGTGCTGATCAAGCAATTGCATTTTACAGGACAACACTTCCAGATTTTGTTACCTAAAGTTCTGGAATGCTTATCAACAAATTTCTTACTGTTTCAAAGGCATGACTGCTTCTTAAGAACAGGTAAGAGGGTTTACATGTGTGCATATGTAATTTGCTTTCTGTTATTCAACTCTACAATGAACTTGCTAGTATTTTTACCAACATGCTAGCAGTTGCTGATTTACATGTACATTTGACTTGTGGTTTACTACCTACATCACAGTAATACATATGCTAGTACTCACAGGAATAGATTAATCCCATCTACATAGGTTTGCCTTTAATTAAAGCATTTGGGGACATCAATAGCTGCTATTTACCTGCCTTTGCTATGTACTTCTGATATATTTTTAGCCACCATCCCATGCTCTTAGAATATAATTTTTGAAGTATTTTGTAGCTTTACATTTACAAAACAATGCACAAGATAGGCTTAAAACACTAAGATACTACTGCAGCATCTTATTCAATATATTTGTGGACTCCACACTGCCTTGACATCAACGACATTTTCAGCTGCCAGTGTTATTGAAGAATTTGGTCACAAGGAAGAATATGTTGCTTTATGTGTCAGAACTTTCGAAGCACTTAGCTCCGCAGCTTCAATATCTACTTTGAATTCTTCTTACACATGTGATCAAGAACCTGATCTTGTTGAAGCCTATGCAAACTTTACATCCACATTTATTCGCTGCTGCCCAAAGGTGAATTTATTGTGTCTTATATGTTAAGGTGTTTTGGTTCATTGCTGCTGCATGATATGGATAGTGAGTCTGATAGTAGTTATCTGTGTTGATTGCATATATCATCAGGAAGCTATTGTCGCATCTGGCTCCCTGCTTGAGTTGTCATTTCAAAAGGCAGCTATATGCTCTACAGCAATGCACCGAGGAGCAGCACTTGCTGCGATGTCATATATGTCATGTGAGGATATCTATCCACCTTTATGTATATATTTTTTTCTTTATCAATTGAACACCTTTTTTCTTAGAGCATTTGTTTTTTTGTCATGGAATGTTAGTAAATTAGCCAGTTGCATAAAGGGGAAACAATGAATGCATACTGCTCATTCATTTCAGCAAAAAGGATAATGTCCTATTGGGCCTGTTGGTTTTTTAATTTAAAGAAATTTATTCCCCTGAGAAGATAAAGTATATGCAAAGAAAAATAATGCTTGGATTGTGGTCTACTGGTAAGCAATCATGTCAAGTTAGTGTTTTTCCCCTGCAAAGTCATGGATGCCTTTTCAGCTACTTTCTGGATAAGGTTTGTTACATTATTATGTCTGTTGGAACTAGTGTATCACTGTAATGTGAGTTGGTGGTAGAAAGCGTTATTCTTTTCATCACACTTATAATCCCTTTGGAGTTAAAAGATCTATTTGTACTTGCTGCACTGTTCATACCGTTTACATACCTTAATCTGTTACTGTGACATATGCTTCAGCATTCAGCTCAAGCTATTGCACTTGAAACATCGTGTAGCACCTAGTATATTTTTGTGCTCATTTGATCATTTGCCATGACACATGTAGGTTTTCTTGATGTTAGCCTCGCTGCTGCACTAGAATCTCGAGAGCACCCCTCTGATGGATCACCTGGTGTGGTGCTAGCTCAAATTTTGGCACGCTGCGGTGAAGGTCTCATGTCAAATGTACTTTATGCTCTACTTGGTGTATCGGCCTTGTCAAGGGTGGGTACAGTTTCAAAGAGCACCATCGTACCATTGCTTCCACACAATTGCTCCTATGCTTGTGCTTCAAAGGCCATCTTTTTACCTTTTCCCTCGCTTATGTTTGCACCCTGACCATAATGATTACTTGCTTAAAGTTTACTTTCTGTTGCTTTTCCAGTTTAGTACCATTGATCATATCTATGATTTGATTCTTTTATAAATATGGTCCACTCAGAGGGCAGGATATATGGCCATAGAGACTTTGCATGATATTCACATTTCTTTCTTTCCAACAGGTGCATAAATCTGCAACAATATTGCAGCAGTTGGCAGCAGTGTGCAGCCTCTGTGAGAGAACAACGTGGAAGGCCATTATTTCTTGGGATTCCCTTTGTCGATGGCTGCAATCAGCGGTACTGCATTTCTACAATAACCCCCTTGGTGTAATTGCGAAAGGAACCCTATGTGTTTTTGTTTATTTTTTTGTTCGTCTAACATCAAAGCATTAGAACACATGTCATGCATAAGGTTAGTAGTACTGTACATCAATCTTGAAAATCACGATGAACATGACGTGGATTTGCAAGAGGATCTGGGTCAAATATCATTTGAAAATTACAGATGATATTTCTGTTTATTTGATTTACATGATACACTAATTTTTAGTCACTAGAAATCATCAGTTTTCATCTACATACTAGCCATTAATCCATATATGTAGGATTGTAGGCAGACATTGTTGTCATGTCGGACTAGTAACAAGTACTGTTGACACCTGAACATTTTGAGCTACCTTCTGGTGTTTTGACGTGTTATATTCATTTGAAAAGTATTTCCGACTAATGTATTTTCTGCATGAAGCTTAACTTTGACGTGTTGCAACACCATCATGGGCTAACGTTTTTCCAATCTTGTCCAGGTGAAATCTATGCCCTCAGAGTACCTAAGGCAAGGGGAAGCTGAGATGATAGTTCCTTTATGGCTCAGCGTACTTCATGATGCAGCCTCAGACTATCTTCACAGTAGGACTGGTGATAATGTCAGAAACAACCATGCTTACATGCAAGGGAAAGGCGGAAGAACCCTTAAGCGTATTGTCAGGGACTTTGCAGAAAGCCATCGGAATGCCCCCATGCCCTGCCCTTCATAACGTGTTTGATGAAACTACCTCATGCGGATGGAACTGCCGCGATTAATAGTGTTGATTTTGGAGCTGTCAATGATCCCGGAGAGCTCACTGCTCACATGAGGATCTAAAGAGAGACCGTGTGGAGCTTCTGTCTGGCGTTACGGGTATATCACAATGCTGATACCAAAGGTTTGATCTCCACATATTCCATCCGTTATCTTTTAGCGGGATTAGGAGGTCGTTTGGTGCCTATTATGCAAAAGACCTGGTTTGGAGTCTGTTTCTCCTTTTGCATAGCGGCTGCAAGGGACAAGGTCACTCTGCAGACTAGTAGCTGCTCAGATTTGAGTGGGTCAGTATCCTCGAGGCCAATGACCGTTCTTCAAGTTGGAGTTTGCTATGCTATACTCTTGGAAACACATGGTTTAGCTGTGGCATACTCCAACATCTTCTGGTTTTTTGGGAAGCTGGGAACGAAGAGGTCAGAGGTGAATTTTATAGCTCTCTACACCCTCTTTTCACAACCCGTGCGATGTACAAAACATTCATCTGTATTCTGTCTCAAATTTTGAGTTCATTACCTAAGTTATATGTGGGCATGTCCGCATGTGATCAAAGCCATCAGCATGTCAAGTGAAATTTTGAGGGGTAAGATTTTGAGAAATGTATATATAATTGCTAGCTCATGAATCTCCCCTTTAAAACTAAATGGGGTTTGAAAGACTCATATAGATATTTATGTGGCCTCATTCGGATCAGATCTTGCATGCGATTTTCATGTTGAATGAGAAATGTGTAGTTAGTGTTGACAAACAAGAACAAACTCTGTTTATGTTCTCATCGTTAGACCCTGTGCAACCTGATGCCATACCACATTGAAAACACTTTTGAGAATGCTACGGTACTTTGACCTTTCGTTTTCACCCATTTGCTTATCTAATTCATTTCTTTGGGGTGGGGGGCATGGCATGCTAATCTCACGATTTCCATCATGTCGCAAGTAGCAGCACTGAAATTCAAGTATTATAACATCTATTGAATCATAACAACGACTTTATTTATAGAGACGAATTGAACACGGGAATATGACAATGTTCCAGTGTTGCTGTGGTAGGAATGCTGATTTGGGCTCCCATTCCTTTGTCAGGTGAATGCCAAACTGTTAACAGTTTTTTGTTTAAAGTTCGTAAACAATTCTTTCAAAAGAGATTAGGCAGGACATTTTGGCAAAATTTAAGCAAAAGATAAACGGCTCCCGAATCGCCCAAACGACCAAAATCCAAACGCCAAACCGGCCCAACCAGCCAGGCATGCAGGGCAGCAGCATCAGCAATCGCCTCTTCTGACGACCCAAATTAAAACCCTTAACCACCCATTAGCACCATCACCGCCAAATTAATTGCAGCCCTCCATGGCTAAGTTAGCTTATCTCCATGTCGTTTACCTCAAAAACTAAACAAGAAGAAGCAGTCGCACCCGCCAAGCGTCCAAGCAGGCGAGATCAAAATCCCAGCGATCGATCGATCTCCCCCCGGTTTAAATATCTCATCCTGTCCTCAGCAATTTGCCACAGGAACGATGACGGTAGAAGATACTATAGTACGGAGTAAGTTGCAAGATGCTCATGTGTACCTAACAATTTAGGTTAGTATGTTCAGTTACCAGCTAATGAGAGGTGATTAAGAGCTAAGCCCTTTTTGGTTTTGTCCATTTGAAAAGTACATGGTACGAGGGTAGGAAGTTGCTGATTAGTGCAGATGTGTGTGCAAGAGTTAGCTAGATATCATAATGTGGTGTGTGATGTTAGGATTTAGTGGAGATGCATGCTAATTAGCCTTCGTCACCAGCACCATCGCATGGTTGGGTTGTATCATTCTTGATTGTCGGCATATATAGGTTGCCGACCCGCGTGCACTTGCAGGGAGTTGTTAACTTCGGATTACAACAACTAGCCAAATGATGGGGACAAACTTAGTATGAAATTGTTTGATCGTTCAATGAATATAGGAGAACGAGTATATGGACACATTCAGTATAACAATTTAAAACTCTTCAGATGGATATTTGGACGGGAGTTATGAATGGACTCGGCCAATGGTTATTAAAAGTAGGAGTGTAAGTGGGCTGACTCGTAAACTCGTATATTGATACTTTTTATGTACTAATCTGTAAAACTCTTCACATGGATATTTGGACGAGAGATATAAATGGACTCGGCCAATAGTTTTTAAAAGTAGGGGGTGTAAGCGGGCTTACTCGTGAACTTGTTTATTGGTACTTTTCATGTACTAATATGTGGGCTTAGCTTGGTAAGCATGTATTTACTAATAAAAAATCCTTATCGTACCGACCATTATCACAAACTAACATATGGGACTGCTCGCGATAATGATCTATAAGTGAACCATTAGTACAAACATCCTTTTACCAGTGCTAATTCTAAATCCTTTATAGATACCAGTTTTAGATCCAACACCATAAAAAGGGCACTAATGAGGGATATTAGTTAGTACTAGTTCTGAAACTGGTAGTTATTAGTGTCTACTCGCTCCGTTCCAAAAAAAAAAGAGTTTAAATTTTGTCCCACAAAAAACCAACTTCTATCATCCTATCTACCATCAGCACGTAAAACGAGAAGTTTTATCCCTTCAATACCCTTTATATACTTATCACTCTTACTACTTTTTTCAATGATTAAGGGCATTTTAGGTATTCTCACTCTCTACTATTTCTATTTTGGGATGTTAGGAATGGGTTTTTTTGAGACGGAGGGTGTAGTTTAGAATCGATGGGTGTACCTGTTTTTTATTTTGTATTTTACCTATATGTAGTCACGCTTCGGTTCCCACAACTCACGATTTTTCTCCTAAAATATGTACGCATGCGGTTTATAAGACTTGATGAATCATGAACCCCGAGCCTCTCTCCATAAGGCCTCCTCCAACAAGGATGAGTCAGCTAGCTCATAAATCTCCACATCAGTTTTTGTCTGATGTGGAAGAAAGAGAAGATAAGGAGAGAGAATACACTATCTCTTCTTCAAGAGCTAAGCTCCTAAAGAAAATGTGAGAGGAATTGTGGAACCCAAAGCATTTTAAACAATGTGCTATGAGACAATCTATTGGAAAGGTAGACTTTTTGCTATCTCTTGTATGAGGTGGACAAGCATGAGCTAGTGCACTAGCTCAACCATTAAAGGAGGCCTAAGAAGCCTCCTTACCATTTCACGAATTAAGCATTTGTTGTTTTAGTTGCAGATATTATTCTTTTGACTACTCTTATATATGAAGCTTATAATACATATTAGATATCGTAGACAAGATCAAATAAAAATATTGTCAACCAAAAAGTTGTAGATATCGACAAGATCTATAACTTTTATATAGATTTTGTATTCATCATAAGTCATTTGAAAACTTTAAAAATTCACTTATCCAAATAGATCCGTGACTTAATAGCAGATTTTCGCACATCTAAATAATCTCAAATAAAAAGTCATCACCTACAAAGTTTTAGCTCTACAATTTTAATATATTTATCTTCATCCAACTTTATATGAAAAAATTAGTTTAGAAATACATATATGAGTGGCACCATTGTATGTATCAGTTTTTTTTCTAAAGAATCTCAACTTTGACCAATTGTATGGCTAGAAATTCTGAACCGGTACATATGAGGCAATACATATGTGATGTTCTGTATTAATGATCCTTGCTTATGGAGTATTGCTTAAAAGGCCAGAGGCACGGTTAGCTAGTAGCGGACTAGCGGTAGTACGTACTACTAGTATTGATGAGAAACTAATAGAGGATTACTCCCTCCATCCAAAAAAAGACAAACTATAGGTTTTCATGTCCAACTTTAACTGTCCGTCTTATATGAAATTTTTTTATAATTTGTATTTTCATTGTTGTTAGATGATAAAATATGATTAATATTTTATGCGTGACTTGTCTTTTATTTTTTTCATAATTTTTTCAAATAAGACGGACGGTCAAACGTTGGACACGGAAACCAGGTTTTTTCTTTTTTTGTGGGACGGAGGGAGTACGTCCGTAGTTCTTGAAAGGTGGAACATTGTGTGAAGTGTGAATTACGATGGTAGCATTTTGTGCAAAACTCTCAAACCCATTAATTGTACATGAAGAGTTAGTAGAGTAGTACTGGTCTTACAAAATATGATTTTTCTTTAGTTTTTTCTTATTTGATACCCTTTTTCCTTTTGATGTGAGTACAAGGCTAATTTAATCATGAGGTACAACGAGCTAAACACAATAAAAAAATATATATGATGGGAATTTCCTCCTTTAAATTGTAAAAAGTTTTGTAGTCCTAATACATTGAAATTTCCAAGTATCTACATCCTCCATAAACAAACTAACTTATAGCTATGAATCTAAATATAAACTACATTTAGATTTGTATTTAGAATTGATTTTTCTTTCTTTCTTTTTTTTTACCGAGAGAGTACGTAGAGCTGATCAAACAGCATGGACAAGGGAATAGGGGGGCATGGTGTTTTATTCCTAGTGGGCTAAGTGTGTTCAGTGCTCAAGTGGGCTTTGGCTCCCCACAATTTCAAATATATATATATATATATATATATATATATATATATATATCCTTATGCAGGTACAGCTTGCTAGCTAAATACTCATGCATTACAACGAAATTCAAGAATGATAACTTAATGATATGTTCTTTTGTTCTAATTTGCTATACCAACATATATTGTAGAAAAATATAATTTGAGCCCTTAAATATTTTATGACATATAGCAGATCCATCCTGAAACCACACGAAAAGATAGTTAAGCTTAGATGGACCACTTTAGCCCATGTACCGACTGCATGCCCATAACTTAGACACCCTTTGGCCTAGTAGACATCTCCTCTTGCCACTACTATTGGGTCCCACATGTTAGATGGAAGTGGTGGAGATAGTCTCAATGCCACCATCACTACTGGCTTTTAAAGTAGTATAGATTATAGATATGCTCATAGGAAATGGGACCAAATTAGCTCGAGGGTTAATTGACCACTACTGGCTTTCTATTTTTTTCGGAATCTACCATAAAGTTTGCCTCTTGATCATTTTGGTTTTCGAACTCACCTATTAGGCCACATTATCAGTGAACTCAACTCGACTGGCAATCTCAATGGTGTAAATTAAGAACTATAAAAAAAATTACTACCGGAAGATCTCACGAACTAGCTCCTAGCAAGTTGGAAAAAAAAACCCTTCTCTCCGGCCCGTCACCCTCCTTTACTTCCGGGGCTCCTCATTGGTGTACTGAGGGAGGGGGGGGGGGTTTCCAATGACAACACTTTTAGTTACAATTGATATTATTCACTGCTTGTCAAGGTTGCCTCGACCTCCACTTTTGAGAGGCCCTATTTGGGTTCGTGTCTGGGCTTTACTTTCTGGAGTTCACCACGGTTTCTACGATCCTGTTGTCGTCACCCTCGTCAATCTGGCTGCCACCATTGCGAAGACTGCAAAGTCAAGGACTTGTACTTCTCTTTCTTTTAGAGTCCTTTGCATTTTATATGCTCCAAGTGTAATTTGGCCATCTTCTAAGGGCCTCTTGGCAAACCTCACTGTACTTTCAGCTGGTACTATGAGAATCTATTATATACCACTGAGTTTACTCTAGTTTAACAATTTGCCATCTACTTTATCTCCCTCTATAATATGCTATTAACTTTTTCTTTTTATACAATATGCTATTGAAGTAGATACTTTTTAAGAAATGTCTAAAATATCATTCAAGTTATAAAGGGTAGATGTGATAGATATGTGGTCGACGGACCAGGAAATTAAGGATGGTCTCTGGCTCCTCTTATCATTGTTGACATTTTCCCTTTGCTATTGAACCAATCGGTCAATTTTTCATAGTGACGCACAAATGATGGATCTTGCTGACCAAGAGAGTATGATCTAGATCCCTTATCTTTTCTCGTATAATAGATCATACTCTCTCTCTCTTTTAATATAGGATTAATTAGATCCATGCCATTAAAAATATGCTGGTTTTAAAATATACCACTAGTATTCAAGTATTTGGAACCATGCCATTATAATTTTACACATATTTGATACATGCCACTATTTACCATTTGGATGCATTTACAAAAAAGATTGGACAAAATTGCCCTTCTTCTTCCTTCCTCCCCTTCTTCTCCATTCTTCTTCCTGTTCGATGGCAGCGGTGGAGTGGCCCGGCGGCAAGCGGCGGGCGGCGAGCTGCAGTAGCAGCAGCGAGCGGTGGGCGGCGGCGGCGGCGGCAGCAGGAGGCGGCGGCGGCGGCAGCAGTGGCGAAGCGAGCGGCCCGGCCTCCGAACCCCCTCGCCGCAGCCGCCGACGGCAACCCAACAGACCTGCACTCCTCTCGCCGCCAGCCGGTCCCTCACTGGCCTAAAAACCCCACGAAACCTCCCTCAGAAGTCCACGTCTCCCCTGAATTCCTCGAATTCCATGGCGGCCGTGAAGAGGATCATCTGCTGGAAGATGAGGCGGCTGATGGACTTGGGGTCGTCGTCCCAGGGGTAGTCGTGCTCGAGCTGGAGGATGTACTTGGCGGAGCGGCCTGGCGGCAAGCAGCGGCAGCAGCGGCAAGCGGTGGCGCGACGGCGAGTGGCAGCTGCAACGGCGGCCGGTGGAGCAAGAAGCAACGGGAAGGAAGATAAGAGAAGAGAGAGGTAGAAGATGAGGGTATTTTCTTCCAATACATGCAAATACGTATCTTAATGGCACCACTAAAATTTCAAACAAGTATCAATGGCATCGTTACAAATACGCAAATAGCAATGATATATTTCAAAACCAGTAAAATTTTAATGGCATAGATCTAATTAACCCTTTAATATATGACTATGTTAACTTTTGGTACAATTTTGATCATTCGTCTTAATGTCTTATTCAAAGTTTTGTGCGAATTTTAAAAATATAAGTATTAGTATTGCTTAAAATTCCTTTAGTGATAAATCAAGCCACAACAAAAGAAAAGATATTACTTACTCCCTCCGTCCCAAAATATAAACATTTTTAGCATAGTGACAAGTCAAACATTATTAACTTTGACTATTAATAACGAAAGAATAAAAAAGATTTATCCTGTAAAATTGATGTTACTAGATTTATTATTAACAAACTATCACAATATGTAACTCTTTTTATTTAAAACCTCTTACTTTTCTAGATATTGTTGGTCAAATTAGCATCTCGGAGACCGTGTCAGAGTCCAAAATGCTTATATTTTTGGGACAGATGGAGTAAAATTTTAAAATAAAACATGATATAAAAAATTAATGGTGCCATATATTAAAAACAGAGGTACGAAGTAGTATTTATTTATACTATCATCTGAATAGTTGAATAATTTTTTTACTAGTAGTAGAACTCAGAGAGCTTATTGTATAATCCCTCCGTTTCAAAATATAAGCTTTTCTAGGACTTCTACATGGTCTTCGAGATACTACTTTAACAAACAATATTTATAAATGTAAGATGTTTAAAATAAAGAAAGTTGCATATTATGATAGTTTCTTTAATTCTAGTAACATTAATTTTACATGATTAATCTTTTTTTTTTGCTATTAATAGTCATAGTTAAAAATGTTTGAGTATGTTAAAAATATTATATTTTAAGACTGAGATGCTAAGTTCTCAATTACAGTAAAGTTGGAAGGCTGATTTGGACAAAATGTAGCTCTAATGCTGAGTAGATATCGTCGGGCGAGATAACATGCTGACATGCATGTTCCCGATCGAGTCCAGTCTGAACTGGAACAAAACCATGCCAAAGTGACCTAACGATTTTGATATTAGATACAGCAATTGGACCGATGGTCCCAACCCTAATCACGCCTAAAAGATATTTATCCCCATCAAACTGTCTAGTTAGCTGAATTCATCTCGATCCTTTTATTAATTAGTTTTCGAGTTTTCGTCGAAAAAGACAAAACCGCCTCTTGTTAATGTTAATGGGTCTCGTGCAGTGAATGCAACTCTGGTTCGAAATTTCGGACCCCCGGCAAATCATTATCTCGTCTAAAATTTTCGTTTTTTTAATTTGGTTAAAATTTATTCAAATTTAGTTAAATTATGTTAAAATTTTAAATAATTTTGGTCTAAAAAGGGCTGAAAATCCTCAAATTTCGGGGGTTTCAATGCTACTGAAATAGTCGAATTTTTTAGCAAAATCGAAAGTGAAAACTCTGGTCATGCGACGAGGCGCACTCCTACTCAACTCCTACTCAAATTCAATGGAACATATTTTTCTGATTTTTCAGTCACTTACGCATCCGCGTCCTGAACAACAAAACCAAGAAATTAGCAGAGGGGACTGTAAATTTGCACGCGTGAGGCGGGTGAGTGACGCACAAATTAAAAAGCCACGTATGTGTAGCACTACAACTTCCCATACGTTCTTGAGATGGAGACAGAAAGGCGAATCTACAGTATAGAGTGACCTTGCAATGCAACACTAGCTAGAGCTCACTTCTCTGTATATATATATGCAGCTGCTGCTCATCGCCAAATCGACGGCAACAACTAACGATTGATCGCCATCAAGTATAGCTATAGCTAGCTAGCTTGTGAATTCATCAATGGAGATGACGACGACGACGGAGAAGTGCATCAGCAGCAGCAGCAGCGTCCATGGCGGCAACAATCGTCGAGAAGAATACCCCAAGGAGGGAGCCGACGACGACGTCGAGGCAGGCGTCCTCGGCCGTGACGGCGAGGCTGCGGCGACGACGACGCGGCAGCGCCTCGTGTCGCTCGACGTCTTCAGGGGAATCACCGTCGCGGTGAGCTTAATTAATTCCCATGATATTTCCATCTCCAGTGAACATATTCTCTAATCATTAATTCCATTTATCTTCTAGCATCGATCACCATTAATCACGTTTATTATATTCCACGCAAAGCTAAATTAAACTGCGCCAAATTAAGTATAATTAAGTAAAGGTACACGTCTAAAGAAAGTAATACTAATATAGTAATTAATAAGCCAGTGACATGTTGACATGATTAAGCACAGCGCTTATCACATCATATCATATCATATCATATCAGATATAAGTGGAGGAGAATAATGCTATAGAATTGTGATAGAGGAAGAGGGCATAATATATCTGTCTATCTATTATCATCCACGAGGGGTGTCGTCGTTGCTTCTCCATCACAGGAGGATCGAATAGGGGCACGAAGAGGATAAAACAGAAGATATATATGCTCGGTATCACTACCAGCTTAATTAACTAACGGCTGTGGCTTCGCGCGCGAGCTCCAGCCGAAATGGACGGCCGGATTCGCGCCATGCAGAAAGTTGGGTGCCTCTTTTTTTTTTTCTTAGCCGCGTCGCGGTCGTCGGTGAATTCCTAATACTCTTTCCGTCTTAAAATATATAAAGCCATTGATTTTTCACATAATATTTAATCATTTATCTTATTAAAAAATTATATAAATATCATTTATTTTGCAGTGATTTGTTTTATCATAAAATAAAATTATAATATTAACTTATACTTTTACATATTTATACTAAATTTTTAATAAGACGACCAATGGTCAAATGTTATGTGAAAAATCAATTGTGTCATATATTTTAGGAGAGAGAGGGTAACAATATTTATATATATATAGCCGTTGTGTTAGACTGTTTGTCAACCATACTTGGACACGATTAATCCTAAATGAATATATACGTGCATGGCAATTCACCCACATGTTAAAAAAAAGGTATAACTAGCGGTGGCACATAGAGAAAAGTTTTTGCTAAATTTTGCTTCTAATTAACAAAAACATTCAAAATCCATTGTGTGTTTGCCTGACAAACCCAGGCGGCCATTCGAGGTCGCCTCGCGTTGGATCCAATTTGTATCGTAAGCAATTTGTATTTTCCATTTCTTCGGTCGATATTTTTTGAATTATATTATGTTTTACTCAAAATATGATGTATTAGGTATGGACTACAATAACAAATGACTTAGGACTCCTTTGGAATTTATTAGTTTTGTATGACTTTCACATAAGTAGTTCAATTCCCACAAAAATCTCTATAAAATCCTCCATTAATTCCAAAAGGAGGCTTGACATAGTTTCTTTAATGGGAAGAGAGTTTTTTAAAAAAAACTAATAGTCACATCGTTTCGTCTACCATTGATTATAAGTCGTAATACTTATTAGCAACTTAAAAAAATAATTTGATGCATAAATATTTTATATATTTGTTATTTGTGACTTAAAAGCTCCTGGTGAAAAAATATTAAAATTAACTCTAAAATTAAGCTTTAATATTTAAATGTTCGCTTCGGCTGATAAGCTAAATAGAAAATGACCTATAATAAACCAATTAGCTACTAGCTAATATTCGACATACTTGTAGGACTAGCTTCCACCTTCAATCCGTGACCCTTGCCATAGGGAATAAAATCTTTGGCCTGTCTCGTATAGCTTTTTTTTTTTCTGAAAATCTGCAGTATAGCTTATTTTATTTTTTAATTGATTTTTTTCTTTTTTTTTTGGGGGGGGGGGGGGCGTTCACCATTTTCATTACCCATTCTTGTTGCCATGCTAGGTCAGAAACTGACTAAAAATCTACTTAAAATTCGCACATCAAATTTTTTTTTTGAGAAAAAACGGTGCAAGTGGAGCCCCATCGTATTTTTTGAACCACCCAAAGAACTAATAAGAGTTTTTTTGGCAACCGGTGGATATCAATATATTAATCCATTATGTACATAAATATAAACCTAAATACTTTTGTGTACCTACACCTAATAGATTAACATGCATATGTACATGTGTATATATTCTATTGATTTCTCTTGGGTTAAAGAACCAAGTATATGTAAGCCATAAAGCTGAACTTTCCCAACTTGGTGAAGTTTGTCAAACCTTTATTATGATATCTTACGTTATTTTAACTAAAGATAGACAGGTACCTCTAAATATATATATGCTCTCAACATTTGTTTTGTTTCCATAAATTAAGAAATGGAATAGGGCTTTGCCCTTTTGATCTGAGAAAAAAAGAATCATATATAGTACTTGCACAGTATATCTTCAACCAGTCCACTTCCTTCCATGCATGAACACCTTAGTTAATTACCTGGAGTAGAAGATATTTCTTTTGAAACACTAGCTTTTTCCCCTAGTTGACATATAGTTAATTTATACATTTTACGGTCTTGGAGATACTAAGTGATGTGCTATCTGGTACTGTACTCCCATAATTCTTGCTACTTTTTGAACTCCCCAAATGACAAACAAAATTGTGATATTTTTTTGGTACCTATCGGTACATTCCAAGGGCCCTAAATAAAACTTATTGATTAAAGTTATTACTATATATATCGTCTGTAGATCATGCTAAAAAACACCTACAATATTGCAGCTTATGATCCTCGTGGATGATGTTGGTGGCATTGTCCCGGCGATCAGCCACTCTCCATGGGATGGCGTGACGCTAGCGGACTTTGTCTTCCCCTTCTTCCTCTTCATCGTTGGGGTCTCCTTAGCTTTTGCCTATAAGGTATAGTAACCAAATAGTAATGTGCATATCATTCAAATTAAATCGGAAACCGCCTAACTCTGGTTAATTCATGATTTGTGCAGAAAGTGCCAGACAAAATGTTAGCAACCAAAAAGGCCATGCTTAGGGCTGTAAAACTCTTCATTGTGGGCCTTATATTGCAAGGTAAATTCTTATAGGGTTGGGATCAATCTAGGAATTGAATGAAATAAAGCCATAGATATGGGATCTAACCATCTAGGTGTACGAAGCATATATCATCCACATATATAGCATAAAGCACAATAACTATTGAATTCCCACTGGAATGATCATGTTAGGTGGCTTCTTCCATGGCATCCATGAACTTACCTATGGTGTCGATATTCGCAAAATTCGGTTAATGGGTGTACTACAGGTACAAACACAAAGTTCCAAACAGTCCCTACTGTGAGCAATATATAAGAGCTTTTTACACATGATATTTTACACACTTGACGCAGAGGATTGCAATAGCCTACTTAGTGGTGGCGCTTTGCGAAATCTGGCTAAGGAGGGTTAGTAGTGGCGGTAACATTGGCTCTGGCTCTATGTTAATAACAAGATACCATCATCAGATGTGAGCACACTTTACACAACTTGCTAATTTATCAGCTATTGTTAACTGATCTTAAACTTAAGAAATTTCTCATGCATTACATCACATGTTGTCCTTTTCCTTACTTTGCAAAGGTTTGTGGGTTTGGTTCTGGTGGTCACGTACCTGGTGATTTTGTATGGTTTGCACGTGCCAGATTGGGAGTATGAGGTCACATCTCCGGACTCAACTGTGAAGCATTTTCTGGTAAGTTTTTTTTCTTAAGAAATTCTCCTATATTTTAGTTTCTTAAGAAACTCTCCTATGTTTTAGTTTCTTCTGTTTGTTGTTATCTGAAATGGAGAAATCCACTTTTGATTGCTTTTATAAAATGTTGCTTTTGGATGGGTGGTTGCAGGTGAAATGTGGAGTGAAAGGAGATACAGGGCCAGGTTGCAATGCTGTTGGCATGATTGATCGGTCTGTTCTTGGAATCCAGCATCTCTATGCACATCCTGTTTATCTGAAAACAGAGGTACATATATGTTGACATAGACAGATGAATTTTAAGAACTACTCCGTTCGAGAAAAAACTAAATTCTATGGATGAATCTAGATAAATGCTTGTCTAGATACATTGTCAGAAGTTGATTCTTTTTGCACGGAGGGTGTACTTAAATACTAAAAAGTTCAACAACAAATTAACCTAAACAATAATGATCATGCATTTTGGGATGTGAATGCATATAATGTTTGAACACCGCAATATGTTCCCCATTCCACGATTTGTTTATTTTCTTTAGATATATTAATTGTTTAACAATATTTTTCATGGAGGAAACTAAGGTTGCGATTATCACGATATTTGGACTTGTTGTACCTTTCTTATGCAGCACTGATCATTTTTACATTGTTTTTTTATTGTGTATCATTTTCGTCTATGCACATAGTCTATTAGAGATTGGACAAATGTTGTACAAAGAATATGATGAATGAAACTAAGTAATGGAGACTAAAAAGCAAATAACCATAAATTTTTATGAACGCAAAGGCACCTCCCTTCCTCTTTTTTTTGTGTCTCTAAGATGGAGAGGGTTCATCTCACATAACTTCCCACCTAATGTGAGTACGTGATCCCTGACATGTGGGTTTAAGGGTGGTGGGGCCTACATATCAGCGATCACGTCTTTATGTGAGAAGATTCCAATCCCTCTAAGATATTGGGAGTAATTTCGAGTTCTCTTTCTTTTTTTTTGACAATTGCAGCAATGCAGCATGGCCTCTCCACGCAACGGCCCTCTTCCACCTAATGCCCCATCATGGTGTGAAGCTCCATTTGATCCTGAAGGGCTTCTTAGGTGAACAAAACAGATTTTTTTTATATAGTTCTCTAATTGAATTTTAAATCATAAAAAGTACAGCATAAATGCATCCTAAATGTTGTATGCTGGCCTGTTTATATATAAATGGACACATACAAAATGTGCAGCTCGTTGATGGCGATTGTGACATGCTTAATCGGTCTCCAGATTGGCCATGTAATTGTCCATTTCAAGGTAACTAATCATTTTCCTGACGGCATTTCCTCCTTTGAGCCGTCGGGGAAACTTGTACTGCGTTTTTCAGTAACATGATAATTAATTATGGACTTAATCATGATATAATCAACTTCGATATGCATGCAGAAGCACAATGAGAGGATTAAGCGATGGTCGATTCTATCATTGTGCTTGCTCACTCTTGGCTTCTCTCTTCATCTCTTCGGTAATTAATAATTCTTAATCAAGGCCAGATATGTGATTAATTAAGGCAAAGTATTTGTACTAATGAACTATTAACACTCATATATGTGTGCAGGTCTGCACATGAACAAATCACTGTACAGCCTGAGCTACACCTGTGTCACCACTGGCACTGCTGGTTTATTCTTCGTGGCTATCTACCTGCTGGTTAGTAACAATTACTCCTCTCTCTCTCTCTCTTAACTGACATTGACTTTTAAATATACGTTTGGTCATTCACTTCATTCAAAAATTTTATACGAGTATAAAAAATATAAGTGATACTTTACGGGCTCCGTAGCAGAAAATTATATATTCTGTCAAAGAAAGGACTTAATGATAAAATAAATAATAGTTATATAAATTTTTTAATAAAATGAATTGTCAAACTTATATCCAAAAGTCGGCAGCGTTGAACATTAAAACCAGAGGATGTATTAATTAGAACTGAAGTACTCTTGAATAGATAGGTGTGGCTACCTGCTTTCAGTTCCTGACTGGAAAAAGAGACTAACTCAATGCATGTTGATACAGAAATTACTACTATATTGGACACCCAGAATCCCTGATTTAATTTATTGTGCCCTTTGGTAATTAAGCATGACAGCTGTTTTGACGATTAATAATTAACATGAAATCGTTTTGTTAGGTGGATGTGAAAGGGTACAAGAGGCCAGTTCTTCCCATGGAGTGGATGGGCAAGCATGCTCTGATGATCTTTGTTCTCGTAGCATGCAACGTTATCCCAGTACTGGTTCAGGGATTCTACTGGAAAGAGCCCAGCAACAACCTTGTAAGTGATCACAAAACTCCTCTTTAATTACCACTAGTACTAATCAGTTGCTTTGTTCTTAATGTTTTCCTTATTTTTGGGAATTTAATTTCAGATACTTGGACTGCATCATAACATATATTTCTGTTAATCTTTGAACAGCTGAAACTCATTGGAATAGGAGGCTGATCGATGAATATATATCTTCCGGAAGTTCATGAGAGGGGATAATTAAGCTGCAAGCACAACATCATCATTTGCAGTGTTAGGTAGTCTACTGTTGATTTAGTTTTTTTTTAAAAAAAATGGTCTACGGAATGGCATAGAAATGGAGCAAGGCCAAAAAATCAATAAAGTCAACCAGCTGCAGATACTAGATTGAAGTGATTATGAACGAGGGGTCGATCGATCTGATCCAATCCCTTCAGATTAATTGGAGGAAAGAATTTTCTTTGAACGACGAAGTTCTATCGATAGAGTAGGAAAATATTACAATATTACAACCCTAAAAGGTCGTAACTAGAAAAACGAAAAAAAATATATCACCACCCATACACCGACAGCGCCAAACACGGATCCAGGAGAAGGCTAGCACCGGACTGGCCGCCGCTAAGCGTAACCGACCGCCGCTAAGCCAACAATAGAACACAGCCGAGATCGCCTAAAACCTTACCCTTACAGCCAACACAAAACCCCACTCTATCCAAGTATTTGGGATTTAGGGAGGGAGGGTCAGAGAGAAGAATGGAACTCCTCTTCCCTAGGCCCTCTGACGTGGTCAACTTGCAGAAGCTAGGACGCCGACACAAGAGGATATGAATCTAGAGAGAGCTTGCACCAATTGCTTGGGGGGATTTGGCAAGGGGATGCCTAGACGACGTCTCCAAGGAGAGAAGCGACGAAACACCGCTGCCGCCGTCCGTCAAGGTCCCAAAGAGAACCGAGACTGGGCTTTCGCCCGACAGCCACACTTGAGGGTTGTGACGGCACGACAACGCCCTCAGGAGGGGAACGACGCTCGAACATTATCGTTGCCCTAGGTTTTCACCCGCCGTCCACCACCTGCCGATCTACAACTGTGCACCATTGCTCCACCGCCATCTGAACCTCCGCCGACACGTGGGCACCACTGTACATGCGCCCCGCGCCGGCCAGTCTCCGCGTGCTGCCGACTCATCGAGGCCTCACCGGGCTCTACCTCCACTGGCCTCACCTCCCGCTGCGCGGTCACCGCTCCGGCCAACACCGCCACGCTGGCCTCGGCCGTGTCTCCTTGCATCGCGGCCTCCGGCCACGCCTTCTCACGCCGTGCCAGCTTGCAATGCTCCTCCTTGTACTACACGGCCTCCGGCAGCACTCTTTGCGCCGCCCGGCCGCAAGCCGCGTCTCCTTCGCCGTGCCGGCCACCGGCCTCGCTGACTAGCCACCGCGCCGGCCGGCCACCGGCCCCGCTGACCAGCCACCGCGCCGGTCAGCCACTCGCTGGCCAGGCACAGCCGCGGGCCAGGCAGCCACAACCGTTCGCCCCCAGCAACAATAGCCGTGCCTCCGCAACTGCCGAGGTCACCCACGCCTCCACGGCTACCACGGCCACCCGCACCTCCGCCGCTGTCGCGCCTGCCGCCGTGCCTCCGCCGCCGTAGTGCCTGTTGCGCCTCCACCGCTGTCGCCGTCGTCCGCGCCTTCGCTACGACGCCGCGCCTGCACGCAGCCTCCCGCGCCTCGACGCCGGCGCTGCGCCGCGGGGGTGCCAGATCCAGCGGTGGCGGTGCTGGATCTGCCGCCACAACGCCTCGTCGCCGTGCGGCCTTCCCGACGGTCCGCGCTGCCCCTTCGCGTAGAGACAGCCGCGCTACCAGGGATAGGAGACTCGCCGCCGCCATCCTGGTAGGCCGCGCGGTTTCCGGCGACGCGCTCCGGCGGTGGCGAGACGAGGAAGGGGAGGGAAGTGTGGCATGCCAACTAGAAAAATTATGGTGCTACTTACCTTTCTTGATTTGGCAACCCATGATACATTTGCATCAGAAGTGTACTCTCCAGTCAGAGAAGAAGATTAAGGCACATATTTTGTCTTTAATTAAACTAGCATGGTGGCACGCGCAGATTGCACGGCTAGCATAATTATATTTTCTCTCATATAATAGCATATATGTTTTCTCATTATATTATTCAAATATATTAAAATGACAACATAATTTTAAATTTTGCAATAACTTTACAAAACTACTGATGTGTAATATTCATATTGTATTTTATATACGTGTTAGTTATTTATTATTTTTAATATCAAATTTTAGTTATTTGTAAATTACATATATATTCCTATATGGACTCTAGACTCGTCTTTTAATATTTCTTTTTTTAATTTCGAATTTTCTGTAAATTGTATTTTTATATAGACTCTATACTCTTCTTCCAATATTATTTATTTTATTTCTGAATTTTTATTATTTTTAATTGTATTTCTATGTGGACTCTAAACACATCTTTCAATATTCTTTAATTTTTAATTTGAAATTTTAGTTACTTCTAAATTGTATTGCTATATTGACTTTAAACTCTTCTTCCCATGTTTTCTTAATTTCGAATTTTAGTTATTTGTAAATTGTATTTTTATACAGATTCTAAATTCTACTTTTAATTTTATTATGTTTATTCCAAATTTTAGTTAGTTTTAAATTTCTATATGGACTATGTACTCTACTTCTAATATTCCTTATTTTTTAATTCCGAATTTCTTATTTTTGTTAATTGTATTTCGATTCTATACTCTACTTCTAATATTGCTTATTTTTAATTGTAAATTTGAGTTATTTTCTAATTGTATTTCTGTATCGACTCTATACTCTACTTCTAATATTCCTTATTTTTAATTCCAAATTTCATTTATTTCCTAATTGTATTTCCATATGGATTCTAGTCCCCTCTTCTAATATTCCTTATTTTTTAATTCCGAATTTCAGTTATTTCGGTATTTCCTAATTGTATTTCTATATGGACTCTAGTCTCCTCTTCTAATATTTATTATTTTTTAATTTCGAATTTCATCTATTTCTAATTTGTATTTCTATATGGACTCTATTTTTTCTTTTTCTCCGATTAATATGAGAATTTCTAGGCTATGAGAGTGAACGTGGAGACTCCTTTTTCTATTCTTTTAATAATATAATAGATTGGCTGAACAGATTTATGGCAGAAGCTGTAGATGTAGATTATTTCCATTATAAAACAAAATTAACTGAGTATGTTCCACTCCTCAGTGCTCTCTATTTGTGACTTTTTGGCTGCGTTAGAAACAGCTAATTAGTTGCACGTAAAACGAGAACATGATTAGTATATGATTAATTAAGTATTAATATATAAATATTTGATGGGTAAATTTATTAGATTTTTTAAAACAACTTATATATAAAAAATTTTCACGTGAAATATACTACGGTTTAATCGTTTGAAAAGCGTTGTAACGGAAATCGAGGAGTAGCTAAGCTCAAATAGCTGAAAAGAAGGCAGCCTTTATCCCTAGCATGTCCTATAAGCATAAAGCATGTAGTACATGTTAGTGACAAGTGGAATTGGTACTTATTCAAACCTGACAAAATTAACATGCTCTTAATCAAATCAAGCCATGCATGAAAAACATGTAAAATATAAACCAAATAATCATCAGTGGAATTAGAAGAGGCACCCACAACACAACACAAATAAGCCAACCCCCTCACTCCCAAATCAAACAACGAGAGATCGAAAACCCCAACTCCAAAAACTCCAAAAACCATTCCAATTACAAACAAATCCATTCACATCGGAGACGGCGCCGCCGATCCGCCGCCGCCGCCCCCTTCCGCCTGCTGGTAGAACGACATCACGGTGTAGACCGTCTGCATGATGGTCATGACGAGGAGGAACATGGCGGCGGCGAGCGACATGAACGCCCAGGGGCTCCTGAAGTACGTGTGGATCAGGTTCGCCCTCCACATGTTCCACGGCTGCCGGCAGTAGGCGTTCACCTGCCGCTGCACGCCGTCGAGCGCGCTCTCCGGCTCCAGCACCACGTCCTTGGATATGCTGTTGAACAGCTTCGCCACCGCCTTGTCGCTGCCCACGGCGTTCTGGATGATCCCCTTGGACGACAGCAGCGCGACGTCCTTGGCCGAGTCGATGATGCTGTCCATGAAGAAGACGTAGGCGGTGACGTCGTTGCCGGCGCCCGGGTGGAGGCGCTCGAACGCCATCATGTTGAGGAGCATGTACTCGGTGGAGTCGTCGACGGCGACGGGCGGCATCGCGAGCACGCCGTGGCGGAACCGCACGTCGTGGAGGCTGTCGGTGCGGGCGCGCCGGAAGCGGATCCCGGCCTCGTAGAGCTCCACGGCGGAGCGGATGATGTCGCCGCCGCCGTCGTCGGCGTAGGCGGCGGGGCGGATGATGTCGCGGTGGTGGGCGCGGGCGCCCGCGCCGTGCCCCCAGCGCGGCGACTGGTACTCGCCGTGCAGCATGCTCCGCCGGAGCGCGTCCAGCGGGTGGTGACCCAGCGGCGTCCCCAGCGCCGGCGTCCGCGCCGACGGCGACAGGAAGCGCAGCACCATCCGGTTGATGTGGTCCTCGTTCTGGCCATGTGCAAGGATCAATCAAAAAGATTTCGAAATAATATTTGGAAATTTTGAACGGTCAATTTTGGACTTCAAACAAATTTCTTTAAATTTGATAAGTTTTTGCTAGACTAAACAAGCGAAATGGTCAGAGCAACTGGTAGGTACACTCCGAAATGTTGCGTATGCATGCATCATCATTCATCAGGATTCAATATTTCGGAATGTATCCAGGGAGACCGAAACAAAATTTGGAAATTTCGAATGGTAAGCTTTGAACATCAAACTGCAATTGTCAGAGCAACCGGTAAACCTGCAATTTCGGGAAAACGGTCCAACCTACACAATGGTTTGATACTTCTGTAATGAAATTTCCGTATTTTCAGGAATTTCGGAAATATCGGTCCAATCCCATCGCCATGGTTTGCAATTTCAGTACGAAAATTTTTAAAATTCTGGGAATTTTGAAACTATTCCGCCCGAATTTTTTTTGAATTTAGCGAAAACTATTTAAATTTGTTCAAGATTTATTCAAATTCTATTTTGACAAAAATATTTTGAAATTTCCGATCCCCTGCGGATTTGTGCATAGTGAAATAGTAAACCCTGACATGGTCATGATTAGTTCTGATGTTGTGTCTGCTGATATTTATATATGGTTTAGTTTTAATTATCTACCACATCGAGTAGTTAATTATGCTTTAGTCAAACAATGTTGCACTAAAGATAAAGAGTGCCCTTTGATAGTTGTGATGTGATGTCAACAAGGAAAGAATTTTCAGATATACTACTTTATATGCAACTTAATTAGCCTTTTGCTTTGCATCACGGTGCAATGAGAAAGCAAATCTCTCATGAGGTGAACGTACCTAGATAACGTGACAAGCTGCCTAATGCAATTCATGTACAGTGTGCTCTACACTAAATTAGCACACAATTTCGCCAGTTATTAGTCATCTCATCTAGTGACATATCTAGAATTTTTATATTGATGATTCAACTTATATAATTGTTTTAAAATACCCTAAAGAATATAACAAAGTTAAAAGTATAAACGGATCAAATATACATCATACTATATTAAAAACGAGTATATATGCATTAGGTTAGGATTTTTTTTCATGCACCACCCACTAGATCCACTTGCGATCTCGTCTCGTTACTTTAAACTCTCATTTTGAACACACTTATATCGAAAATGAAACACATTTTTCGCTAATTATATGTTGTGTCATGATTTCGTTACATTCAATTCTCGTTTTCAAACCTAGGCTGAACTTAACTTAGAACCTGTTTGATTCAGCTTAGGATTATTATAATCTGGATTATTAGAAGTAAGCTGAAACAAACAAGTAGATTATTATGCTAGATTATTATACTCCTAGCTAGATTGTAGCATGAAACTTTTTCTCTTTGCCTCAAGTTAATTTATTAAATTAAGTTTTAAATTTTAAATTTTAGCTTTAACTGGTAAGCTGCAATCGATGCAGTTGGTATATTTTGGATGACGTAGAGTTTACCGAAACTCGTACACTGGACCTCTCGGTCTCAACGAACATGAGTGCTCTACAAAAGGCTGCATTTGCAGGGGTTCTCAACCCCTCCCTCTTATTTTTCACGCGCACGTCTTTCAAACTGTTAAACGGTGCATTTTTTACAAAAAGTTTCTACATGAAAGTTATTTAAAAAAATCATATTGATCTATTTTTTTGAAAAAAAATTAGCTAAAACTTAATTAATCGCACGTTAAACGTGGCTTCGTTTTGCGTGTCGGGAAACCCTCACTCCCGAACACAGCCTAAGTGTAGAAATTGATGTAAGAACCTAAGTTAAATGTACAAGAACACGAATCTTGATGTAAGAACGTATGGACGAAAAATCCAAAAACACACAAAATAAAATTATGCAAGTGAAATAGCGAAACCGTGTAGAAATTACCGAAACTCGCGAATGGACGACATTAGCCCTCTCGGTCTCGACGAACAGGAGCCTCTCCAGCACCAGCAGCGGCAGCTGGTTCTCGAGCATGAGCATGTCGCGGCGGATGTACGGCACCATGTACAGCACGCCATGGCGGCTGAACACCGGGTCGTTCTCCGCGTAGTCCTCCTCCGCCGCCGCGTGCGGCTTCCCCGCAGCCGCCGGCGCCGGCGTCGCCGGCGACACCGCCGCCGCCGCCCTCATCACCTCGAGAAGGAAGCACCCGTCCACGATCATCATCTCCAAGAACCTCTCCCTCGCCTCGCCGCCGTCGCCGCCGCCGCCGCGCCAGCCGCCGCCGAGGTCGAGGTAGGCGGCCTCGAGGCGGTCGGCGACGGCCTCGACGGCGGCGACGAAGTCGGCCAGCGGGCGCGCCGCGCGGCGGAGGAGGTGGCGCAGGGCGCGGCGCTTGTGCTCCTCCATGGGGGCCAGCCCGGGGTCGCCGTGGTGGAAGGGGCCGAGCGACACCACCTGCGGCTGGTAGGCCTTCGGCTTGAGGTCCTTGATGCACGCCGGGACGCGGTAGATGCAGTGGGGCCGCCACCGCGACGCCTCCGCCGCCGCGTCGGGCGCGTCGTGCAGCGTCCTCTCCACCTCCACCACCCACGTCCGCCTCTCGCCGCCGTCGCCGGCGCCGCCGGCCACCGTGATGTCCATTGTTAGTGTTCTTTGTGTTCTTGTGATGTGATTGGCTAGTTGGTGATCATGTTGAGCTAGTTGCGTAGGTATATATAGCTATAGCCATTAATTAATCTGGAGGAGATAGATTAGGATCAGTTTAGGACGGATTACTAAAAGGAAATTATATAATGGAGAATTAGACGAAGGAGGAAGATGAAGGAGAAGAGATGAAGCAAAAGATGTTGGCTTTAGTTGTGCATATGCGATTACTTGCATTGTATGCTAGGTAAGAAAAGGAGACACCATGGTCATGTGCAATAGCTCTAGGGTCTAGGCTCCATTTGAGATTGAGATGTATTTAGGCAGTGTTCTTTACAAGATGTTGGGAGCTAATCTCTCGCATACGTAAAATGGAGCGACTCGGCTATTTTTTTTATAAAAAAATAATATGATTTTTAAAATCAACTTTCCTATAAAATATTTTAAAAAAACATATCGTTTGGTAGTTTAAGAACGTGTGCGTGAAAAACAAGGAAGGTAAGTTGAGAAGTATAGGTGCCGAACCCAGCCTTAATTATGCAGGAACGTGCTAAGCAACCACCGTACATAGCCTCTAAAATTTTAGGTTTCAATTCAAGCTGGTACGTTCTAATATGATTTGAGGATATATAAACTCAGACCATTTTATAAGTCTGTCTCTTCCTTCTTCACTTATCTCGTTTGAAATAAGCAAATTTTCTGGGCTCTAACAAGTGTTATTAGATGATAATGACAACCACTTCAAATACCGGTATCTTTTATGCATGACGACGAAGTGAACACACGTTTCAATCAGCACTAGAGATTTTATTTTTACATTTACGGTCATCAAGTGAAATAGTTGGTCTACACCTGATTATGCTATACATAGTCCAAAATGATATTCAATTACTCCTTGGTTTAATATTATTTTCTAAACAGGTTTTAACACCAGGGCCTCAAATGTTTAGACACAGCCCTAGCTAGAAACATGGTGCAAACTGCAAAGTATTTCTCCGTTTCACAATGTAAGTCATTCTAGCATTTCTCATATTCATATTTATGTAAATGAATCTAGATAAATATATATATATCTAGATTCATTAACATCAATATGAATGTGAAAAATGCTAGAATGACTTACATTGTGAAACGGAGGAAGTAGTACAAACAAGGTAAAGCTGGTGAATGTTAAGAAGAATTACTGTGATAAATGGGTGGTGTACGTTATGGTCAAACTGATTGTGTTTGTTGATGATCTGTTTTTCCTCTTTACAGCTGCAAGACGGACGGTCGATCACAAGTTCTGAAGAAAGGCTTTACGTAAAGAGGTCGAGATACCATAGGACAATGGCCTACACCGGCTCATGCATATGCAGCTAAGCTGGCCTGGATAGCTTGCTCTGATGAAGCCAGGAATATGTGCAGTGTGATCTCGTGGAATGTTGTGGGCTGTGGCCTTCAATTTCTCCATCGTTGGGAATGTTGCATACCCTAGCTACAATAATCAATTGAGATCGTGTGCAAAAGATGGAGTAGAGTTTAGGGGAGGTATAGTATCACATTTAATTAATTAATTTGTATGTAACAAAAAAAAATTGCTAGGTTTGTGCCCAAAGGAAGGAACATCGTCCTGCAGGCACGTGGATCACGTGATTCATTGTCTACGGCAATGGCATTTCCACAAGAGAAGTAGTATTGATATGTGTGTAGTACTTCCTCTGAATTTTGATGTAAGACGTTATTGTTTTTATTTATATATGTTTGACTATTAACCTAGCTTATTAACAAATTATGTAATTATCATTTATTTTGTTGTGATTTATTTTCTCGTTAATGATGTTGTAAGTATGATTTAAATTTTTCATATTTACATAAACTTTTTTGAATAAGATCGATGTGTAATCAAACATATGTTCGATGTCTATATAAAAAACCAAAGAGAGTATCGTATAGATATGTCCCTATATATGGTTAGAACTCTCATTTAGTATATTTATTGGTACAAAGAAACTGTCACACAAAGTCATATTATCGCTCATATAATTAATTATACCATATATTTATCTTTCTAGTATGCATAAATGGGTTTCTTTGTTGTTGTAGATATATAGTACTTCTCTATTTTATATTATAAGTCACCTTCACTTTTTTATTAGTCAAACTTTTGTAGGTTTGATGAAATTTATAGAAAAGTTTAGCAACATGAACAATACAAAATTAGTGATGTTGAATATATTTTCATAATATGATTGTTTTGTGTTGGAAATGTTGTTATATTTTTCTATAAACTTGACCAAAGTGAAAAAAGTTTAACTAGGAAAAAAAAATAAAAAACAACTTATAATATAAAATGGAGTATTTCTCAATCAAGTCTTTTGACTTTTTATCCACATAGTCCTACATTGAAGTCTTGCAACTGTTTACAAAGACCAATAACCCGTATATACACATGTCCGGCCGGCGACAATTCTATTTCTACTTGGAACATTCAGGCACTTCAATATATAAAGTAGGATTTAAACATATGGCAAGGACCAGATATAAAATAATCTTACCGGACCGGTGGTTCAATCGAAAAAACCAAACCAGCTCCCCTCACCGGCTCGGTTTGCTCCAAGGATCCGCATGGGAAGCGCATAGTAGAAAATCTTACCGGCTCGGTTTGCTTCGAGGAGTCATGGGAATCGATCCTTGGTTACTACTTATCATCCGTTTCACAATGTAAGTCCTTTTAGAATTTCTCACATTTATATTTCACATTTAATAAGTCTAAATTCATTAACATCAATATAAATATGGAAAATACTAGAATGACTTACATTGTGAAACGAAGGGAGTAGTTAGGTTAGAGGATTTACTTACATACCACCAGGCTAAGCAAGCTACTACAATAATAAGAAAATACTACCTCTGTCCCAAAACAAGCTTATTTTTTACTCATCCTATACATACCAATACAAAACCAAAAAGACAAAAAATACCCATACTTTATTAAATCCCAATACAATTATTTCCCACTTTATCTACTCCCATTACAATTATTCCTTACTTTCATAAACTCCGACGCAATGATTACTTAAAAAAGAACTTAATTTGGAACAAATGGAAAGAGCTAAAAATAAACTTTTTACGGGATGAAGGGAGTATTAAATGTACATAACCTTAAACCATGGTTCAACCAGTGCCTCAATGCTCGGTTCAATGACTTCATCGGGTCTGATGCACGCCAGGCTCTGATGACATATCGTCACCTTGGCCAAGCGAGCTCCGTTACTTCCGTAGCCATGGCGCCACGTTGCACGCCTCCCATGGTTAACGAGGGGGTAAGTCCATTTTGGGTCCCTCGTCTTGACGCCGAGTTTGGATTTCGTTCCCAAACCATAATACCATATATAACATGTCTCTCAACTTACAAAACCGGTGTATTCGGGTACATCGGTTTTACAAGTTGAGAGATGTGTAATGTCTGGTATTGTGGTTCGAGGATTCAACTTAAACTCTTTGAACACGAGGGATTTAAAGTGAACTTATTCCTTAACGAGGCAGCCCACAACGGCATCTGAACCAGCCCAACCATCATACGGCCCAGTCTGGCCCACCAGAAACTGGATCCCAACCCACATCACTTTTCTCAGAAAGAAAATGGGCCACATCACCAGCCCTGATCACGAGACTATAGCAGGCCGGGCTTTGATGGGCCACTGCAGACATGTTACATCGCGTACGGCCCAGTTCCCCAAGGTCAAATCAGCCCATATCTGAGGTGCCAAACTGGGCTCCATTTTAGCGGGCCGAACTTTTGGTGGGCCAATTTCGCCATATTGTCCGCATGTCGAAATCCGTTTCCCTTTTTTTTTTGTGAGACAAAATCTCGATTTCTTCACGCGCATACAGTTACTCACTCACGTACAGGTGGGGCCCACGAAAAAGAAGAGGAGACAGAGCGTGCAAGCACGGCCCCACATGATTGTATACGGGTAGGTCGTGAACCCAATCGATCGAATCGAGCTGAATAGGAGGGATCAAACGGGGAAGATTAATTGGCATTGATTAATTATATTCCAGCTAGGGACATGATGATTAATTTGGGCTTTTTGCATTTGCTTGATTGCTTCTCCGGGCCTGGAGACACATTTTGATCTGGGCCCATCTCAGTAATCTCATCATAGTTCAACTATGGCTTAACTTGCGAAATGTAGGGTGTAGTAGTTGCTCGGTGGTAGGGCCTTGCAAAAGCTCCTTTGATTATATATCTCGATCAATTCATCGTGCAAATTATACAGGCCTTCTTTGGAAAAGGAAATTTAGAGGATTTTTTATTTGTTATTTTTGGATTTAATTGTACTGTGATCCTGTAAAATTCTTGTGTTCTAAAATTTTTTGATAGTTGTAATCTTTTTAAATTATTTCAGTTGGGTTTCTTTTTATCATCAGAAACACTTTATGATGTACTCCTATTAAACTCCTAGTGCCCTCTCCTTGGGAATCAAAAGGGAGCAAGCAAAAGCAGTCATGAACAACCAAAGAAGCAAAGCTCACAGACATCCATGTAGTAGTATCATCATACATGCACGAACAAAAGAAATACTCTATGAACAAATAAAGGAGCCAAAAAAAGGCGCAGCAGCCAGAAAAAGGATCATCCATTCGAGCATGCGTCCCCTTCAGAGATCAAACCATTCTTCCTCTGCTTAATCATGCAGCAAAACCACTCAATTACTCACTCCATTTGCCACACATTTTTTCTCCTCCTCTTCCTAGTGCGATCTGCGTCTCACGCCATGTTCGTTCGATCGATCGATCGATCGATTTCGGTCTCAATTATTCGATCCTTTTGTCGTAGCAAAAGCAGAATAATTCAGACACAGAAAATTCGAATTAATTAAGAGTACCATCCGAAAAAAGAAAGAATGTTACTAAACCAGTTCGTTGGATCCAACGATCAATCGATACCTTTGCCTAGCTTTTATCGGACAATTCGATCGATCCAGAGACTTTTCCTATCTCGTACTATACGTATCTAAGATCGATTTTGATTTTTAATTTCCAGACTGAACAGAATTTGTTCTTTCAACTTTAGTACCGGTGCGTACTTCAAATTATTACTGGCCCATCTCCATTTTGCGATGCAAGTTGATGTACGTACATATGGGTCGTACACGAGTACGTATTGCTACTAGCTACATATACCTAACATCTGATCCGGAGAGGAGTAAATTAAATACAGTCTGTGTACGTATGATGCAAATGTATTTGTACCTAAACGGACGGCACTGATCTGTCGTACACGTACGTACTGTATTGCGTATGTGTATGTACGTACGTATATGTGGGGGGTATCCAATTCCAGAGCCTGGCTGTACGCATTGAATTTGTGACTGAATTTGTGAGAACACTGCACATGCTAGAGTGTGGCAGCTAGCGTCAGGGCACCGTTAGCTGACACATGCAAACTTTAAGGACCGGTTTGAATTGGTATTATCTGAATTTTCCACAGGGCATCAAACCAAAACGACCTTTAATTCTGTACCTACTTCGGTACACCATTTAAGTTCATGTTCTAAACTTGATGTACGTACTAATATTTGATGTTATTTTTTTTTATGATATGTAATGTACCTGTCTGTCATAGTAAGGCGTCTGTTATGATTTCGTCAAAATCTCAAAGGTATTTTAGTTTAGTAATTGCAAGATATAAATAGTTTATCAAAAATTAGGGCACCGCAAAATTCAAATAAATAGTTTCCCTCTATAATTCAATATTTGCTCGAATAAGCAGGCTAACAATGCCGATCCTCGGAGTGTTTGGAATGCAGAAATTTGGTCGGAATTAAGATGTTTAAGGCCTGTTTGGTAGAGTCATAACTCCTAAATTTAGTTTAAGGAGTTGGGTCTTAAGTGGGGTTGTTAAGCAGCCTACACCCAACTCCACATCTCTAGTTCATTACGTGAGAACGCTGCACCAAATTTCGTTTCTATTTTATGTTGAGCAAAAAATTATTTAGCTGGGCTGTAGCTCTAGAGGAGATGGAGTCAAAGAGACATTCATACTCTAGTACTAGAAATACAATCAGTTTGGAATACGCATAATTGGTCAGTGTTGTGCCCCCATCAATATTGGTAGGGTCTCTCTCACTCTTTCAATACCATCAATGGTTGGCTTCCTTGATTCTTCTCTCATCTGCCTCACAAATGGAAGAAGAAGAAAAAGAACAAGCACCAGCAGCTGGCTGCAAAAGAGAAAAGCCAGAGAAGCCCCTCACCTCCACACTGGATTTTTCACATTTTGGTCCTTTTAAAAAATTTATTTCGTAAATAGACCCCTAAAAAAACTTATCCCAAAAATAGTCCTTTTTAGGGCGCCAGAGTGGCTGGCGCCGTCGTTCAACAGGACGGCGCCAGCCTCTTTGGCGCCGTCCCCCTGCCGACGTGGCGGGGTGATGCTGAGGTGGCTAGGGGGAGTGCGCCAGAGTGGCTGGCGCCCCTCCCCCCCGAAATTTTTTATTTTTGTTTTATTTGTTTGATATTTTTTTCACGCTTAGGGACACACAAGAACCAACCATAGAAAAATTAAACTTAAATGGACGTAATATGTGACATGTAGAATTTTTCCTCTCCTCTCCTCTCTTTCCGAACTAGTGCAGAGGAGAGAGATGTGCAACTTTTTTATTTTTATTTTATTTTTTTGATATTTTTTTCACACTTAGGAACTCACAGGAACCAACCATATAAAAAATAAACTCAAACGAGCGAAATATGTGGCATGTGGAATTTTCCAAAGCTCCACCGAAAAACTTCTCTCATCGAAAACACAATCTTGCAAGCGAAATTTGGAGGTTTTAATATCACCGAACCCGGCGTAGATGGGGAGAATCGGATGTATCATTTTCTGTAGATGTCCGTGCATATATTATTTGCCTGATTCTGAGCCCGTATGAGAAAGTTACGCCTATTTTAATAGATGACATATTTTGTCCGTTTCGGTAGAGTTTTGGAAAATTCTACATGTCACATATTTTGTCCGTTTGAGTTTATTTTTTATACAGTTGGTTCCTATGTTCTCCTTAGTGTGAAAAAAATATAAAAAAATGAAATAAAAATAAAAAATTGCATCTCTATGTACTGTTTAACTTATATATATGTCATTTCATGTGGTTATATTTTGAATTAGATTAAGTAATTTCATATAGTGGTAGAGTGCATTATGTTTAACATGCTGATCAAAGGGTTTTACTAAAGGAGTTATGGTCTAATTTTAGTGAAGGTGCAAAGTAGACTAAGTGGTATGCTAGATATTTTCAGACTTACCTAAGTGGTAGTTCGAGTTTAAATTTTTTTTGTGGTTGGTTGTATCGTGATACTGAGTATAAAAAAACATCCGAAAAAATAAAATAAAAATGACACCGTTGCAACTCCATACAGAGAAAAAGGAATGGAGGCGGCGGCGCCAGCCTCCTCCTGCCACGTCGGTTCGCGTGCGCCACGGTGGCAGGAGGACGGCGCTAGAGAGGTTGGCGCCGTCCCGTTGGATGACGGCGCCAGCCACTCTGGCGCCCCAAAAAGGACTATTTCTGGGATAAGTTTTTTCAGGGGTCTATTTGCGAAATAAGTTTTTTAAAAGGACCAAAATGTGAAAAATCAAGCATCTCGAGTCATTGACCTCAATGAGCGAAAGCAACACGACCCAAACGCAGCAGATGCCTCTTTTTCTTCTCCATCCTTTCTCCCTTTCCAATGGCATGCGATGCGATGAGACGCGAGGAAAGGAGACACCGACACAACCCAACCCCCGCAATGCTGCTGTGAGACTGCTGGTACTCGTACTCCATCCAAAAAAGCTGCAAGGATCTCGACCCAATTGTAGGACTAGCGGTAGTACAAATGCACTGCCTGCCACTGCTGCTGTGGTAATGAGTGTACTGCTTTGGTCCAGCTTGGTGCCCACTGCCCACTGCTGCACACTGCTGCCTTCCCGGTGAAAGAAAACTACCAGAACAGATAGACACATTAGCCTGCCTGTTGTTTGTTGTTGTTGCTTCTGTCAGACATGATGCAGCGGCGGCAGAAGCAGAAAAGAGGAGGCCAGTAAGGCCTGCTGCAAACCTTTACTACTCCCGTTTTACTCCTACTGTAGAATTATTATTATTATTACTACTAGTCGGAACAACCAAACGAGAGAGAGAGAGAGAGACAGATTATTTTATCTGCTTAATTATGAAAATGAATCAAACATTTTGAAAAGTGAACTTAATAAATAACCACCCGTTCTAAAATATAGAAGTAGCAACATGCTCCCAGCTCCGCATTTCTGCTGCGTGTATTTCTAAAATGTACTATTTGTCCGGAGTAGTAATACTTCAGTACTGTACTTATTTTCAAAGAGATGAAGCAATCCGATCCGGCTAGCACTCCTACTCACAAAAAAAAAAAGGGAAAGGAAAGCTGAGCAAAGGCAGTGTGGTGAAGCACAAGGAGATGTCAGGTGTGTACTGTAAAACCCAAAAGAAAAAAAAAAGGCAAATGCATATGCCTCCTGCCATTGCCAATCTCGCTGTCTACTACTACTCCCAACTCCAGTACCACCAGCTACAGCAAAGCTGTGCAGTGCAGTAGTGCAGTGGCCCGTGGCTGGGGGTATCTTTTCACATCACCAGTCATCCAATCCAAGTATCCAACCCACCCCACCCCCTGACACTGAACTGGGTGCATTCATGTGGATATCTTTATCCTGCATCTCATTAATCCGCCTCGGAAACCGTGCCGATTTGGGTACAGTAGTACAATTAATCCTGCGGTGATTAATGCCCGGATGCAAAAAAAACTGCCGCCTCACCCACCGAAAGAATCCCACCTTTTCCGGACGTAACGGCACAATTTAATTAACCCCCCTTCTTTTAAATCTTTTTTTCCGTTTTTCATGGGAAATTTGATCTCGAACAGTTTGGTTTCCCATGGAAAATGGGATAAGTAGTTGACAGTAATAAATAAAATGGTAAAAAAAGGGCCATGCATTCAATTTTTACAATCAGATGCCTGACTTTTTTTTTTACAACTTGTAAGCTTTTCTTGACCCGGAAGGCCAAAAGAGGACACGGTGAAATTTTCCACTGAGCGGTAATTTTACAGAGAGGGGATGAACACAAAACGCCAATTGAATTTAACCATGTCATCATTTTTTTTACCCTAATACTAAAAGAACAAAACGAACTGGATCAATTCAGCTAATCCCCCTACCTAATCTATGTCTAGCTAAATTACTCATCTGGAGTTAGCGAGATCGATGGCGATGAGGAGGACGGTGTTCGATCAGTTGATGGCGATGTGGACGGAGGCGTTCTTGGCGGCGAGGCAGACGGGGCAAGCGTCCAGCTTGGGCTCGCACGCCTTGCAGAGGCAGAGGTGGCGGCATGGGAGGAGCAGCACGGTGGCGTCGCCCTCACCGCACGACTTGCACGACCACTTGGACGCCGCCGGCGAGGTGGCGGCGTCGTCGGCGGCGTGCGCGTTTGTGTCGAAGCAGGAGGACTGGGCGTCGTCGGCGGCGGCGGTGGCGAGGGGGTCGGAGTCGCCGAAGCCCTCGGCGGGTTGGGCGGGGGCGGCGGCGGCGGCGCGGAGGAGGAGGTGGTCGAGGGTGGCGCGTAGGCCCGCCGCGACGGCCTCGTTGCTGCGGGCGAGGCCGCACCACGCCTGGCTCTCGGCGGCGACCTGGCGGAGCCGCTCCTCCAGCTCGGCCGCGCGGCGCCGTGCGGCGTCGAGCTCGGCCTCCTTCTCCCGCAGCCGCCGCGCCGCGGCGGCCGACGCCGCGCGCACCACCGCCTGGCACTGCCGCTTCCGCGCCTGCTCCAGCCCGGCGCGCATCCGCTCGCACTCCATCCGCACCACCGCGTCGATCTCCGCGCTCTGCGCGCACAGCTCCGACACCAGCGCATCCCCCACCGCCGCCGCTGACCTCCCACTCGTCGACGTCATCCCCGACTCCACCAACCGGCTCACCGGCGCCGCCACCTTCATCATCCCGGGGATCGGCAGCAGCGCCGCGGACGACGCCACCGCCGCATACTGCTCCACCACCTCCCTCTCCCGCTTCCTCCCCGCCCCCACCCCCATCCCCACCGCACCACCACAAACACCACCGTTGTTGCACGTCAGCTCGCTCTGCGCCGCGCCGCTCACCACGGCGGCGCAGTCATACCCTCCGCCGCCACCGCCGCCGTTGTAGCAACCACCACCTGCCGCCGAGAACATCGCGCCGAGCTCCCGCATCTGCGCCTCCACCTCATGGTCTGGCAAGCACATCCCCGCCGCCATCCCACCCCCATACTGCGCCTGCACAGCCATGGCGAAGGAGAAGAAGTGGAGGAGGCGACAGAATGGCGTGGCTGGAGGAAGACGAAGACGAAGGCGAAGGAGAGGGAGGCGCGTGGGCTATATAAAGCAAGCGGAGGAGGGGTGACACATGGATGGATGGTGGTGGGAAGCATCGATCACTCGCACACGAGACAAAATAATAAAATAATAAATAAATAAATAGATAAACAAAAGGGTTAGCGCTAAACCAGGTGATTAACCGCTTGACCAAATTAATTAATTAATTAACCCCCGCAATAATGACAACCACCACTCCATCCATCCATCCATCTAATCCTCGCATGTCCCTACGACCAAGACACACCCGAAAAGCCCATGTGGGCCCCACCTCCGTCGTGGCAGCACAGTGCATGTGCACATGTTTAAAAACTGTTGAATTTGTATATTTTTTTCGTGTGTGTCTCTCTGGATTTGATAGAGAAAAAAAAAGGGAGAGCTGGCTAATCCGATCCGGGGATCTCTGCGAGCGTCGCTTTCCGAGGCGCTGATCACACCACACAGGCTAGCTTGCCGGTCCAGATTAGAAAAAAAAGGGTTAGTGCGGCATTAAGCAGGGAGAGAGAGTAATACGGAGTAATTATTGTATCGTGGCGTTGATGGAATCAAAGCAGATGGGGGTGGTGGAGGAGGTGGAGCAGATAACAAAAACGCCATGAGATGAGGTGAGGTGGTTTCGTCCTTTCCTTTTCTTTTTGTCCACCTTTGCTTGCTTGCCTTTTCTCCACTGCTCATCACTCCTCATCATCAGTCATCCCACCACCGCTGCTAACCTCACCTTTTTTTTAATAATAATAATAATGATATTTTTTTGGAGTTTAGAAATCCAAAGGATATTAAAAAGAAAAATCTGTAAAGATATTAAAAGTGTCACTTTCTTGGTTTTTTGTTGATGCTGCTGCGTTCAAGGGAGGTTGGCGAACGAGGAGGCAACCACGGAGGTGGGGCCCACGTGAGGGGTCGATCGCCGTGTGGCCCCACACGCATGACTTGACTTTTTTTATTTGGAGGGAAAAGGAGTAGAAAAATCCTTTGCCTGCTTTTTCATGTGTTCGCTTTGCTGTGACACCTCTCCTTTTTCTTTTTTATTTTATATACTCTGGTCTATATTTTTTTTTCTCTTTTGTTTTAGTGGCAGATGCGTGCGTGGGCCGGCCGGCAAGGAGGAGAGCACGGTGGGCCCGGGCCCACCGGAGACGGGAACAGAGCGGTCAGTCAAACCAGTCGGGGGCCCAGATTCCGCCACCGCTAATGCTGCTGCTGCTGATCTATGTTTAATTAATTAATTGGTTGATTGGTTTGTTTAATGGAACAGTATCGTTAAGCTAATCGAAACCTAAACTAAACAAATCCGGTCCAATCTTTGGTGTGATCTGGGGGTGATAAGTGAAGAAGGGTGCGAGGATGACCTGGCGGGCGTTATATAATCGCTCTGCGTCCTGTACTGTTGTACTACGTACCTTGGAGCAATTAGGATTGTTAATTTTGTGATTAGAGTATTGGCCATTTGGCCCCAGTTTGGATGGATGGATCGATGAAATCGGGATATGGTTTTTTTTTTTGTTATTATTATATGCGGTGGTGCAGCGGCATCTGAGGCAGCCGAGCCGGGGGCAGGATTTGGTGGCGACATTGCTGGATCCGGACCTGAAAAGCGAGCACATATGCACATGATTTTTTTTTTCTCTCTCACCTTTTGTTTTTGTTTTTTTTTCCTTGATTAAGTAACAATGTACTAGAAGACTAATTTGATGATTCTCTTTCATACGTAGATGGTGTTTTTTTTTTGAAACCAAGATATAGATTTTGCATCGATTTTAGTTGCATGTATTTCAAATTATTAAACTTTTCGTTTCGTGCGAAAACTTTCTGTATAGAAATTATTTTTAAATATTTAATAAATTTATAGTAATTAAAACTTAATTAATTATACGGTAGTTTATGTGTGCTGGCTTATCTTTATTATAGAAAAGAACATCATTCACAGCTCACTATTCTTTTAGTGATAGATGGCGTACCCGTCAACAGCGAGGCGTACGTGGTGACTTAGTCAATCTTAAGATATATCGCGGTTTAGTTTTTAAGATGTGCTCGTAAAGATAGAATGAGCATGTGTGTTCATAGGAGTGAGCGAACACACAGTGTTGTGAGTACCTTCGTTTATACCGTATTTCGAAAGGGAAGAAAAAAAACATCACTATAGGACTCGCACATACTTCCTCCGTACTTGTAAAGAAAGTCGTTTAAGACAATGTTTAAGTTAAATCTTAGGAATATAAGTCATAAATAACTATCTAGATGTTGAGTTTGAAAATGTAAAAATTATGCTTAAAAAATATGCTCAATAAATATTTTTATAGAAACAACAAGTTAAAGTTGTGTTTTGGAGACCGTGTCGCTGTACAAAACGACTTTATTTACTAGTACTGAGGGAGTACTAATATAATAATCTGATCGTTGATTATTATTATTAGTTGAGCTTTGTTGGGATGATTAGCTAGAAAGGCAGTTGGGGACTTGGGGTTCCTTCGGGCGTGGCATGCGGCAGGCATGCATGTGCACGGGTCCCTAGCGTGTCCGTCCACCACCGAGCCACACCCCCCACCCCCGCAACAGCCAAAGCCCACGCCCATCTCATGCGCGCGCGGTGGTGTACGTCGTACTAGCGTAAAAGCCTCGCCCCCCACCGCCGCGATGCTTCCCCCCTCGTCGTCGTCGTCTCGCGCGCGCGCGCGGCGCATCTGCGTGTACGCACGCATTTTTCTCTTGGTTTGTTGCGCACACATCCTGCCCCGAGCGGCCCGCGCGTGGCTGCTCACGTGGGCGCTCGTGTGTTCGGCAAAAATCCACGGGCCACCGTGTTGTGGACGGGATGGCCGTGATCGCTCGGTTGGATGGGCGTGGAGGAGATCTAACGGTCCGTGGACAAGGTTAAAAACATACTACTGTTACAGGCACGAGATATACTTCCTCCGAAAAAAAACCAAACTAATATTAGACGTTTTGTTGTACTTTTTTTTTTTAAGGATGGAGGGAGTACGTACGTACTCGTGGTGGTGGTCTGCACGTGAGTCCGGGGCTATGAACCTGTGTACGTACTGTACATTATACTAGTCCGACGTATACGTACAGTGGTAATACTGTTGAGCTGGCAGGTGCTTTGCATTGCATCTGCCCATGGGCGCTACAGCTAGAGCCGTGCCAATGTACACTCCTAGTAGGCCCAAGCATAGTGGATCCATGCGTCGGAGTACTAGACTTACACATCATGTCACAGCACGTAGTACGTACATGCACGAGTTGATCGTGGAGCCGCGAGCAGAGATTTTTTTAATTATTTTTTGATTTTTTTATTTAATTAAAATAAAACATTTCAAAACTTATTTTCAATAAATATTTTGTCCCATCTAACGTGGTAAAATAGCCAGTTCAGCAGGATCAAATAACGCTACCAAGTGATTTTGAAAATAAGTTTTTAAAAGGATTTACTATTAAACTTAAAAAATTAAAATATATAAACAAAATTCACAAGCAGAGATGGCAGCCACACGTGGAGTAGGCGAAGATTAGCACGTCAAGTAGGGCTCCATCGTTTGTCTATTTTTAAAAAAACTTTTATATATGTGTTCTCGTTGACTTAAAAGCCAATACTGAAAAAAAAACTGCGTTGAAAATATCTTAAAATTAATATCAAAATTAAATTTGAAAATTTAAATTTTGACTTTTTCTTTGGCTGAATAGGTAATCCGATGGGAGCCTAGATCTCTTGCCAAGATAAAAGGCCGGACTACTATGTATAGCGTTTTTTTATTAAGAACAAGCCTACGTATAGGTAATCGACAGTACGGTAGCCTGTGGCAGAGATGCAAATGGACCGACCTGCGAAGCTACTTATTTATTTTTTATATATATTAAATAAAAGGTAATCCGTGGACTTGTCGCGTCGTAGAAAAACAAGTGGGTCAACCCATAAACCTATTTATAAATTAAATTAGTAGTTAACCTACGGGTTACTCACTAATTTAATCTATAAGCGGTTTCGCAGGTTAGTCCGCTTGCATCGCTAGCTGTGGCTATGCCTAGGAGTTAACGTTTTCGTATCACGCTAGCTGATCGAGTCATGGTAGAAGTGGCGTAGGAGCATGCGCGCGTAGAAGCATCATCACACATACATACGAATACGGGAACTGGCGAACTGCGACCACCCTGAGTGGGTAGAGGCCTCTTTTGGACTTAGAGTATCACCAACAATTCTCTTATTACATTCCCGATCCTAATATTTTGAAATTTTAATGAAAAAAAATACCTCCAACAGATCTCCTATCCGAATCCTAATCGCGCCAGATTTTTCTCGGGGGGACTGCGATACGCGTGGAGGGAGCGCCACGAGCGCACGCGAGAGAGACGAAAACGGAAAAATCTAGTGTTAGTTTAACAAAAGGACCCACTTTTAATTTTTGGGATAAAATTTAGGTTTTCTCTTGGTGTGATCTGTTTTCTGGCTACCTATTTTTAGTTTAGAAAACCAAAAACAAATTTTTGGGGAGAGATTATACGTGATAAGAGCATCACCAACAGATTATCTATAATTTTCTCCTAAAAAAATATTTTTGGGTTTCCTAAACTGAAAATAGGAAGTGAAAAACCTCATCCCTCCAACAGATAGCCTAAATTCAATCCCACAAATTAAAAGTGGGCCCTTCTATTAAACTACCAAGAGAAAATTCCGTTTTTTTTCTTTCACGCACAGAAAGATCGCTATCTCCCACGTGCGGGAACGAAGGAGAGAGACGGGATTGCGTGATTGGGAGCGACTTTCGTGTCTGCATATAAACAGAGCGAGGAACTTGGGAAATGGAACTTCAAAACTCGGGTAGAAGAGTAAGGGATCTGTTGAAGCTGTTTTGGACTAAAATCCCTCAAAATTAGTTTTGGGAATCATATAGATAATAGACTGTTGGTGATGCTCTAAGTCGGAATCAAAATTTATATTTTAAAATTTAATTCTGTAGTCGATTTTAATGTTTTGTTAACATAGTTTTTTTTTCAACATCA